GTGGCCWTCARGAAGAGCTGGGBGTAGCCACRCMCAYCTCATTKCCCTKCCACSCATYRCCRYTYGYWGTCACCYAVSSARGSMAGGGAAACTGCGAGATTAGTTTTAAAATCTYGCAGTTTCCCTTCCCTGGGTGGGTGACTGCAAACGGYGATGGTTGGYAGGCAGGGGAATGAGRTGGGYRTGGCCAYRCCCAGYTCTTCCTGAAGGCCAYGCCCCSAGTGGCCDTCAAGAAGARCTGRGCRTAGCCAYGSCCACMTCATTCCCCTGCCTGCCATCCATYGCCCTTTGYAGTCACACAGAGAAGGGAAACTGCAAGATTTTAAAAGYAATCTYGCMGTTTCCCTKSYYTSYSTGRCWRCAWRBGGYGATGGATGGCAGGMAGGGGAAYGAGGTGGGCGTGGCTACRYCCAGCWCTTCTTGAYGGCCACTGGGGGYGTGGCCTTCAGGAAGAACTGGGYGTMGCCAYRCCCACCTCGCCCTTCCGCATCGCCAGGGAGGCCAGGGAAACTGCGAGATTGTAAAGTTTGCACCAGACATATGAAAATAATTCCGAAAAATGGGTAAATTGTTCCAATTCGTAATTACTCCTCACACTATTCCAGCATGGCTCGAAATTGTTTCTAAAATCATTTAAATACGAATTCATTTTAGAAACTTCCGAACCAGATCAACCAAGCCTAGTGTGAATCATATCTATCTATCTATCTATCTATCTATATCTATGGCTGGATGGCTCTTTGTCAGGACTTTGATTACGTTTTCTTGCCCTGGTGAAGGGACCCCGACTGGATGGCCTTAAGTATTTTCTGTTGGTTGTGGGTGTTCTATGTGGGAAGTTTACCCCATTTCTGTCATTAGTGGGGTTCAGAATGCTCTTTGATTGTAGGTGAACTATAAATCCCAGTAACTACAACTCCCAAATGTCAAGGTCTATTTCCCCCAAATGCCATCTGTGTTCCTAGTTGGGCATATGGGATATTTGTGCCAAGTTTGGTCCAGATCCATCATTGTTTGAGTCCACAGTGCTCTCTGGATATAGGTGAACTACAACTCCCAAACTCAAGGTCAATGCCCACCAAACCCTTCCAGTGTGTTCTGTTGGTCATGGAAGTCCTGTATACTATGTTTGGTTCAATTCCATCATTGATGGAGTTCAGAATGCTCTTTGTTTGTAGAACTATAAATCCCAGTATTTACAACTTCCAAATGTCAAGGTCTATTTCCCCCAAACTCTACCAGTGTTCATATTTGGGCGTATTGAGTGCTTGTGCCAAGTTAGGTCCAGATCCATCATTGAGTCCACAGTGCTCTCTGGATGTGGGTGAACTACAACTCCCAAACTCAAGGTCAATGCCCACCAAACCCTTCCAGTATTTTCTGTTGGCCAGGGGAGTTCTGTGTGCCAAGTTTGGTTCAATTCCATTGTTGATGGAGTTCAGAATGCTCTTTGATTGTAGGTGAACTATAAATCCCAGCAACTACAACTCCCAAATGACAAAATCATTTTTTTTAGTGGAGGACATACATTGGACTGTTTGGTGTCTTGTGTCCAAATTTGGTGTCAATTCCCCCAGTGGTTTTTGAGTTCTGATGGTAGCACAAACTAACATTACATTTTACTTATATATAATAGATAGATAGATAATAGATATTATATATAGAGAGAGAGAGAGAGCAATAATAAAATAATAATAAAATATTTGTCTATAAAAAGCGAAGGAAAAGATTTCTCTTTCAAATATTCCTGCTGCTGCTGCAACACACAGATACCTCAGCCTTTCTGATTCCGCTCTCACGAGAGTCTGAGGGGCTGAACTCACGCGGGAACCGATCCCATTTTTCTAAGTCTCGTGGTAACATGTGAGGTATCGCGAGAGCACAATTTCCTTTCGCCGCTCGCGCCGGCCGCCTACCTAAAGAGGCGGAAGAGCGGCAGGGCTTCACCACTCCGACAGACCGATAAGCAGGTAGGTATTTAAGCAGGCCGGCTTCCTTACTGTTTACCACAGGCTCGGACCAAAGGCCTGAGGGCTTGGAGATAGTCTGTTTGGCCTCCAAATACGCGGGGCCCGGTCCCCACCCCACCCTCGGGATGCCTGCATTGAGCAGCGGAATAGGCAGCGGATGCTGGTCCCTGACGGGAGCCATGGCATGTGGCAAGCCTAGGAATACAGCCACGCAGGGCATCAGGCTGAGTAGACGCCGCTGCTGCTTCTTTGCGCCTGCAAAATCCTGTCATTTTTACCATGCATTGGCCGGGCAGGCTGCTAGAGTTCCGAAATGATCTCTTGTTTGGGCTGGATCTGCCCTACCATATCATTCATCTCAAAAGCATATAAACTAGATTCAGAAACTGGATTATATGGCAGTGTAGATGGGGGCCTTCTTTTCCCCTAGATATCTGGCTCAGGCAGAGCATTCAAGTCGAGGCTCCCTTCTCAGGCCCCTTCTACACTGCCATATAATCCAGTTCAAAGCAGACAATCTGGATTTTTATATGATAGTGTAGAAGGGGCTTCAGGACCCTTCTAGACAGGCCCTATATTCAGAGGCGGCCCTAGGTAATTTTCAATGGTAAGCAAACAGAGAGGAAACAACCAGGCACAGATTAACACCTCCCAGCAAGAGATTTTCCCAGGCTCAGGCAGGCCTTCAAATGCTAATGAAGGTGATCAGCTGAAACATTCACACCTAACTGCAGCAGGGAAGAGCTCCTTGCCCCACCCCAGCCATTCCACAGATATATAAACCCTTGTCCTAATTCCAACAGACCTCACTACCTCTGAGGATGCTTGCCATAGATGCAGGCGAAACGTCAGGAGAAATGCCTCTAGAACATGGCTCTATAGCCCGAAAAAACCCACAAGAACCTAGTGATTCCAGCCATGAAAGCCTTCGACAAAACAGTATTTTGCCCCCAATAATATATATATATATAGTTATATTATATTGGGACCAGGCATGTAGCGGGGGGGGGGGGCTTGGGGGGCTTCAGCCCCCCCCCAAATTCTCATGGTGGTCCGCGAGAAGGCCTTACTGGTACATTATTTAAACTGTTATGTTATTCATATCATGATCTGATCACCATGCTCAATATATCCCATATGCATGGGGGTATTGGGGTAACGATACAAAAGGTTTGCTAGGGTAGACCCTCTTTCACTCAGACTCAGCCCCCCCCCCGAAGCAAACTCAGCCCCCCCCCAACAAAATCTTGGCTACGGGCCTGATAGGGGCATGTGTGTGTGTATATATATATATATATGTATGTATGTATGTATGTATATATATGTATGTATGTATGTATATATCTGTCCGAACACATCTCCCTCTATATCCCACCCTGGAGTTTGAGATCATCTGGGGAGGCCCTGCTCTCGGCCCCACCACTATCACAAGTGAGGTTGGTGGGGATGAGGAGCAGGGCCTTCTCAGTGGTGGCCCCTCACCTGTGGAACTCACTCCCGGGGGAAATTAGATCATCAACATCCCTCCTCTCCTTCAGGAGGAAATTAAAAACTTGGTTGTGGGACCAGGCCTTTGGGCAATCTGACAACTAGATAAGGACAATCAGACGAGTAGGACTGACAGGACTGACAAAGTGGAATTGGAATTTGGACTATGAGATGGCGCACTTCCTAACGCCGGGAAAGGGACGTGCAGTGGCGTTGCTGGGCATGCGGGAAAAGAGGCCTATGCATGCCTCTTTTCCCGTGTGCGGCAACACTGCTGCACGTCCCTTTCCCGGCGTTAGGAAGTGCGCGCCCTGCATCGCCCCTCCTTCTCCGCGCACTTCCTAACACCTGGAGAGGGACGCACACTGGCGTTTTTGTCTCCCTTGCCCTGTGAGGAGGAGGAGGAGAGGCCCAATGGGCACTTGTGAGGGAAGGAGGGAGGGAGAGCGAGCTGCCTCTTGGTGTTCTTCGGGGCAGGGGCACATCAAGAGCGCCCCCCGAGACGCCGCTATATGCAAAAGCATAATTTGCGTACTGTGTTGAGCCGCCTCTGCCTACATTCCTAGTTTTCTGGTTATCCAAGATTACTTTGCAGTGTGGACCATATAATCCAGTTCAAAGCAGAAAACCAGGGATCGGATCCTGGGATGTGTTTATTTATATAATAACTTGCTGTCCCCTGCCATGCGTTGCTGTGGCTCACATGGGGGTTCTGTGTGGGAAGTTTGACCCGATTCTATCGTTGTTGGGGTTCAGAATGCTCTTTGACTGTAGGTGAACTTTATAGCAACTACAACTCCCAAATGTCAAGATTCTATTTTCCCCAAATTCCATCAGCGTTTACATTTGGGCGTATTAAGTAGTCTGGTAGAGTTTGGTCCAGATCCATCATTGTTTGAGTCCACAGTGATCTCTGGATGTAGGTGAACTACTACTCCAAAACCAAAGGATACTGCCCACCAAACCCTTCCAGTATTTTCTGTTAGTCATGGGAGAACTGTGTACCTAGGGCCGCCTCTGAATATAGGTTCAATTCCATCGTTGGGGGGGTTCAGAATGTTCTTTGATTGTAGGTGAACTATAAATCCCAGGCACTACAACTCCCAAATGACAAAATCAATTTTTTTGAGTGGACGTACATTGGGTTGTTAGGTGTCTTGTGTCCAAATTTGGTGCCAACTCGTCCAGTGGTTTTTGAGTTCTGTTAATCCCACAAACGAACATTACATTTTTATTTATATAGATAATAATAACGATAATAATAATAATAATAATAATAATAATAATAATAATAATAATAAACTTTGTTGAAGGTTTTCATGATCGGAATCACTGGTTTGTTGTAGGGTTTTTTTTGGGCTATATGGCCATGCTCTAGAGGCATTCTCTCCTGATGTTTCTCCTGCATCTATGGCAAGCATCTTCAGAGGTAGTGAGGTCTGTTGGAACTAGGAAAATGGGTTTATATATCTGTGGAATGACTAGAGCGGGACAAAGAACTCTTTGTTGGAGCTAGGTGTGAGTGTTTCAACTGACCACCTTGATTAGCATTTGATGGCCTGGCAGTTGTTTGTTAAAATAAAACTTTATTTATTTTCTGCCACCATCTCCCTGATGGGGACTCGGGGCGGCTTACATGAGGCCAAGCCCAAACAACAAATTTCAGCAAAATAAAGCAGAAAACACAAGCAATTAACAACAACATCATAATTACATAAACATATGAATGCATAACAGTATAAAAATTACAGTAAACATAATCACAGTGACAATGGGCAGGCTGCATGTAATGATTAAAAGAAAAACTAATTAAAAACTGGTTAAAACTCGGGTGAGATAAAGGAGAAGCAGGTTATTTGCGGAGGAGAGCTCATTAAAAACGGAGGTTGTAAAATCAAGCTTTTTCACAATGATAAAACGTTGAGGCTAAGTTATTTATTTATTTATTTATTTCATGCACTCCCCCGCTTCTTTCCCCCCCCCCCCCAAAGGCGGATTCAGGGCGGCCTCACACAAGCACCCTACGATGCTGTCAATTCGAAATAGAATTAAAGCATTAAAAATCATTAAAACACATTATACAATTCATTAGACAGTAGATTATACAAGCCGGTAAAACCAAATCCAAGTCTAGACAGATTCAATGTCGTAAATATCCTAAGTCTTTTCTCCAATTGCCGCTGTCCGATTAATCAAACGCCTGGTCCCAGAGCCAAGTCTTCACTTGTCTTCTTAAGGACAGGAGGGAGGTGGCCAACCTGATGTCCCTGGGGAGAGAGTTCCACAGACCGGGGGGGGGGCACTACTGAGAAGACCCTGTCTCTCATCCCCACCAACTGCGTTTGCGATTATGGTGGGATCGACAGCAGGACCTCTCTTGAAGATCTTAAACTTCGTGATGATTCATGGAATGAGATATGTTGGGACAGGTAGTTTGGGCCAAAAGTGTTTAGGGCTTTAAAGGTTAAAACCAGAACTTTGAATTGTGCTCGGAAGCTGATTGGCAGCCAGTGGAGTTGGCGTAACAAAGGAGTTGTATGTTCCCTGTACTTCGCTCTGGTGAGCAACCTGGCTGTCGACGGTTGGACTAGCTGAAGCTTCCGCGTAGTCTTCAAAGGCAGCCCTACGTAGAGTGCATTACAGTAGTCTATTCGGGATGTAACAAGAGCGTGGACCACCATGGCCAAGTCAGACTTATCAAGGAACGGGCGCATGTGTAAAATCCTGCATTATCTGCTTTGAACTGGGTTATATGGCAGTGTGGATTTAGATGACCCATTTCAAAGCAGATATTGTAGATTATCTGCCTTGCTAATCTGGGATTTATGGCTGTGTGGAAGGGCCCTCTGGGAGCTTTCCATGCAAGCCTTCGTGGCCACTTCAAACAAGAGGAGATCATTTTGGAACTCTAGAAACCTGTCATGCAAATACATGGTAAAAATGATAGGATTTTGCAGGCACAAAAAATGGCAAGCGTCTCCTAAGCCTGATGCCCAGTGCGGCTGTATTCTTAAATTTCACATGTTGGCTCTTTAGATACACATTGTTTTATGACATGGGAATTCAGTTTTCGTCACAAATCAGAGATTCAGCCAACCCTTTATATTCCCAGATTGTGCGGAGAAATAAGAGATTGGAGCCCATTGTGGCCAATATGCCCCAAAAGTGCAAAGATTTAGCATAAATAAGGCAAATAGTGAGGGAAACAGTACACCTCGGGAGAGCTCTACCCAGCTCGCCTCATGATTTCTGTATTTGAAAGTAAGAAAAAGGATTTAGAAAATAATATATATTATGTGCTGCAAGGCTCTAAATCAGGGGTGCTCAAACTTTTTAAACAGAGGGCCAGGTTACAGTCCCTCAAAGTGTTGGAGGGCCGGATTATACTTTTTAAAAAACATGAATGAATTCCTATGCACACTGCACATATCTTATTTGTAGTGCAAAAAAAAACCCAATTAAAAACAATACAATAATTAAAATAAAGAACAATTTTAACAAATATAAACGTATTTCAATGGGAAGTGGACCTGCTTTTGGCTGATGAGATAGGATTGTTGTTGTGTGCTTTCAAGTCATTTCAGATTTAGGTTGACCCTTAGTGAGGGCCAGGTAAATGACCTTGGAGGGCCATATCCGCCCCCCGGGCCATAGTTTGAGGACCCCTGCTCTAAATAGTTAAAACTAGATAATTTGACAATAAAGGTTATGGGCTACAATACTATTGTGAAAGCTAATTTATAAGTTTCAATTTTGTTTGTTAATTCAATGTCCGGTATCTAATCGTTGCCTATTGTAAGCCGTCCTGAGTCCCCCCTCAGGTGAGAATGATGGGGTATAAATGCTTGAAATAAATAGATAAATTATCAGCCGAGATTTGCAAAAGGAGAAATTAGCAAGAAGATCTATTTGATAATACATGGAAGCCATTAATTCACTTCATATGTAAAAGTAATGGCAAATTCAAACCACCGAAATTGATCAGGAAAGACTGTAGATGAACAGTTAGAAAATATACGGTATTACAACAATTATATGTAATGGATGAAACTAGACTAAATAATAATAAAGAACTGACAGGGCTATATTTTATATAACACTGTGTGAATGATGGAATAGGGGTGGGCAGTATAGATATGAGAATCGATGATGTGATTAGACAACTGTATTGTGTGGAATGTTTTGAAATTAATAATTCAGTTTTTAAAAAACCCATATAAGAGATAGAGACACATACATAAATTGCAACAGCGAAATGTATGAGGACTCAATATAACTTTTGAAAATCTTTTGTTTATATTTTTAAAAATCTTTACCTGTAAGATCATAACATGCATTTTCAGGATTTCTGTCATTGTGGAAAACACTGCCTTATCCAAAAGGCTTGAGACAGAAGTGTTTCAGATTTCTGATTTTTAAAAATGTATTTTAGAATACCTGTATTTACCTATCTGTACATAATGAGATAGCATGGAAAATGGGACCCAAGTTTAAATACAACATTCATTTCTCTTTCATATGAGCCTCATGCAGATAGCTTGAATATAATGTTATGTGTGATTAAAAAAAATTCTGCATGGAACAAAGTTTGTGTACCATTAGAAGCCAAATATATCACTGTCTCAGCCACTCAGTTTTGGATTTTAGAGTGTTTCTGGATAAGGGACAACATATAAACGTAATAATTAAAGCTGCTTTATAAACTCGCTGGGTTTTACTTCTGAGCAAATCTTTAATCTTTAAAAACTGTCTTTAAAAGCCTTTCTGAATAAAAAAGTTGTAGCCTTTTTATTCAGGCAGGCTTTATGTATTAGACCTGGAATAATCAAGATTATATATGTGTGTGTGTGTGTGTGTGTGTGTGTGTGTGTGTGTGTGGTTCACCTCTTGTTAAATATTTTTCTCAATTGAGAAAAATGAAGCTGAGGAAAGTGTGCTGTTCTCCTGGTAAACACATCTATCTGTATTTTAATTCTTCTTCCAGGAGCAGAAAACACAGTGTGTAACAATGGCAGCAGATTCAATGGAAATAGATGATGCTTTGTACAGGTGAGATTTTGTGTCTTGCTACCTGGTATAAAAACGAAGAATAGATAAATACGACAATGCTGATAATCTGTTGGGTTTGTTTCGTGTGTTCCCTGGGGGTGGATTAGTTGGTTGCTGAAAAGAGATAATGACAGCTAGGCTATTTAATGCTAAGCCAACTTGCTGTTTCACCCAACTGAAAGGGCTTGGGTCAGGTGATAGAATAATGAAACTAAGTACTGTTTGAAAATAGAAGAAGAGCTTTGCTGATTATCTTTATTCCACTCACAAATCTTTTGCATTGCAGTCTCTTCTAAAGCAACTCTAAAGGAATCTGTTTTGTTCATTTCCCCCCACTTTATTTGCTTTATTCTTTAGATATGATGCAAATACAGTCTACAGCAAACACAGTATCTCTCACCTGATTAGAAGATAAGCATACTGTAGACTTGTTTTCCTTCTCACATGTTAATTTCTCTTCTTATTTCTAAAACTGCACTTTAAAAATGATTGGTAACATAATGGGTTTATACGATAACGAATAAACAACAACACAATATAAGTAAAAGTATTCACAATTGTATTTAGTTATTTTGTGACCCATACCAGGAGATAGGTATGTCTGTATCATAAAGAGAATACATAATGACTAGATTCATTGGGTTAGCACAGTCTCAGTTACCGTACAGTCTTTACATGGGTTCTTTCAGCTCAGTGGGGCTTATTTGTTCCTTGTTAAATATGTATAGCATTACAGATGAACTTGTTTTGATGTGATATTTAATGCCTATTGAACATGTATTATTGATTTAAATATTTAACATTAAATATTTTAAAGTGTTGGATTTATGCAGTGTGTAACATTCACCTGACAGACTTCAAAGGTTAGCTGATTAAATATAAATAAAACAAGTCTCTACACAAATGTGTCCAGTTAGTTCAGGAAATATTTGGAAATATTTCAAGCCTGGAGAAAAAGGAATTGGTGCAAAACATGACACCTCATTTGGACAGCATTTTGAAGGTAAAATATGAGGCACACATTGCAGTTGTTAAAATAGGCTTCATGTGTGGCTTCATATTTTCTAAACACTAGGTTAGTATTGAGGCAGTAAGAACTTAGAATGTGAACGTTTTGAAATCTGCACGTGATAGCATGTCCATATGATCTTAGCTTAATGTGAAAGCAGCAAACTTGCATCCTGTATATAAGGATACACAGTCCTCTGTTTCTCACACAACATACTATTTTTTAATGCAAGTTTGTGGGAATCTGCAAATTTGAGGAAAGGTGTGGGAGGAGATTGCTTAAACTTATTCTTACTTTTTTCCATTTTGCACCAGTGGAGGGAAAATATGATATATCAAAATGTGTTTCATATCTACTTGTGCCTTTAAATTGCTGTTTAAAACAATCAGATCTATTGAGATGCAGCATATCTTTGAAAGATAAATGCAGGAGATAAGCAAAAAAGAGAGTGTTGCCTGGATGTTACTTAAGCTTCCCTGGAGTTTTTGGCAGGCTATTGTTGGAAATATTGCAATAGTGAATGTGTCTTTGATCTGATCCAAGAAGACAGTTCTTATGAGAAATGGGGAAAAATCATGTTACATTGTAATAAGAATTTAGAAAGGCTCTGTCGAAGCAGAATACTACATAGAAAAAAGTTGTATTTGTAGAAAGACCTATCATTTGAGATAGGCATATGTGTATATAAATATACATAGAGGATTGAGGAAAGTAAAAGTGTCAGTGTTCCTGGTTCAAGTTCATAAAATTACTTCAATTACAACAACAACAACAAAACTTTATTTATATACCACTCTATCTCCCCAAGGGGACTCAGAGCGGTTTCCAAGTGACATAATCAATACATACAAAGAGAACAACATGAACATAAAATTAAAAAGACAAAAAAGCATTGAAAACTACAATAGCACATGTATTTAAAATAATCCTGCCTGTTCAAGGCAATTTAAAAGGCGGGGCTGGGCTAGTGAAATTTTAGAGGGCCCAGGAAATTAAGGCCCTCTAAATGTACATTTCCAGGGCCTAATAGAAGAAAGTGACCCGGGTAATTGGTAGAAAAAGATATGGCCAATTTCTACAGTATCTGAGGCAGTGCTAGAACTAGTCGTTCTCGAAGGTTTGTTTAAACCACCAGGTCTTCAGGCTTTTACAAAAAGAGGGGAGGGATTGGGCCTGTCTTATTTCTCCAGGAAGGGCATTCCAGAGGCGGGGGGCCACCACCGAGAAGGCCCTCTTTCTCGTCCCCACCAACCGTGCTTGTGACGGTGGTGGGAGCAAAAGAAGGGCCTCCCCGGAAGTTCTTAAAGTTCGTACCGGTTCATAGAGGGAGATGCGATCACGAAGATAGGCAGAGCCCGAACCATTTAGGGCTTTATAGGTCATAATCTGCACCTTGAATTTGGCTCGGCAACTTATCGGCAGCCAGTGAAGCCGTTTTAAAAGGGGCGTTGTATGCTCCCTATAGTTTGCTCCAGTAAGGAGCCTGGCTTCCGCCCGTTGTATCAGTTGAAGCTTCCGAGCCGTCTTCAAGGGCAGCCCCACGTAGAGCGCATTGCAATAGTCCAGTTTGGATGTAACCAAGGCGTGGACCACCCTGGCCAAGTCAGACTTCACGAGGTATGGTCGCATCTGGTGCATGAGTTTAAGTTGTGCAAAGGCCCTCCCGGCCACCGCCGACACCCGAGCATCAAGTGACAGTGTTGAGTCCAGAAGGACCCCCAACCTGCTCCACCCAGGGGGAGTGTAAACCCGTTGAGCACAGGTTGCCACCCAATACCCTGGTCGGTCCCAAGACTGACCAGGAGGACCTCTGTCTTATCTGGATTAAGCTTCAACCTGTTAGCCCTCATCCAGTCCATCACAGCAGTCAGACACTGGTTCAGGGTCTGGGAGGCTTCCTTGGAGTTTGGTGGAAATGAATAGTAGAGTAGGGTGTCATCTGCATACAGATGACACCCAATTCCAAAACCCCGGATGACCTCACCCAGTGGTTTCATGTAGATATTAAAAATTATGGTCTCTACCTAGAATGCTTAAGGCACAGTGCATTTGAAGCAGTCAGTCTGTGAAGGATGTCAGGCAATCGTGCTGCTGTTTTTTAATAGAATAATAAAAAAATAAAAACATCCACTAACATTCTTTTGAAATGCTTTGCTGGCAGTAATGTTGCTTGTTGGTTTAAATTTGTGTATAGTAGATACAGCTGGTAAGTCCTAGGTTTCATGCTTTACTGGCAATGTTTTATGTCAAATTCTGAAAGTAGGATTATGTTACTGAATGGTCATTGTTTATTTTTCTTTCATTTCTTAACTGCACATAGTCGACAGAGATACGTACTTGGAGACAGAGCAATGCACAAGATGGCTCAGTCCCATGTGTTCCTGAGTGGAATGGGAGGACTTGGAGTTGAAATTGGTAAGTTAGAAAACCCTGGTTATTTCCCCCGCTTCTTGGTGTTTTGGACAGCAAGCTCCATATTATCTTTAAATTAGGGAGAGCAAGATGCATATTTAAATCTATAATTTTAGCTTGACTATACATTTTACTAAAGACATAGTTAAACAGTATACTATACTAGCCGTCCCCTGCCACGCGTTGCTGTGGCACAGTCTGGTGATCTGGAAAATAAAGTAACGGTTTCGAATATATGTAATTCCTTTATGCTTGTGGGTAAACAGTATTTTTTGTTGTTTCTGTGTCAGTGTTGATGTGGAGATTGTCTGGTTTGCCTACTCTGGAACATGCAACATATGTGTCCTTTAGGGGTCCCTTTCAAATCGATGATACTATATCTGTATGTGTGTGTGTGACTGATATATATATATCTATATCTATGGCTGCATGGCTTTTTGTCAGGAGGGCTTTGATTACGTTTTCTTGCCCTGGTGAAGGGAGTTGGACTGGATGGCCTTAAGTATGGTGGTTCTGTGTGAGAAGTTTGTCCCAATTCTGTCGTTGGCGGGGTTCAGAAGGTTCAGAACGCTCTTTGATTGTAGGTGAACTGTAAATTCTAGTGACTACAACTCCCAAATGTCAGGGTCTATTTCCCCCAAACCCCATCTGTGTTCATATTTGGGCATATGGAATATTCGTGCCAAGTTTGGTCCAGATCCATCATTGTTTGAGTCCAAAGTGCTCTCTGGATGTAGGTGAACTACAACTCCCAAACTCAAGGTCAATGCCCACCAAACCCTTGTAGTATTTTCTGTTGGTCATGGGAGTTCTGTGCCCCAAGATTGGTTCAATGCCACAATTGATGTTCAGAATGCTCTTTGATTGTAGGTGAACTATAAATCCCAGCAACTACAACTCCCAAATGATAAAATCATTTTTTTGAGTGAAGGACATACATTGGGTTATTAGGTGTCTTGTGTCCAAATTTGGTGTCAATTGGCCCACTGGTTTTTGAGTTCAGTTAATCCCACAAACGAACATTACATTTTTATTTATATAGATGGAGGTACTGCTAGTGTAATGAGAATTTCTTTACTTTTTCCATCAGTATTGTTATTTAGCAAGCAATTGTCTTTGTGCCTTGTTGAAGGGGATCAGTTATGTAGGAAACCTTCTGGTTTGGCCATATAAGCATATCAGAGGCCTCTTAGGGTCTTCATCCTCTAGAACTGAATCAACCAAATTAACAAATAAGGTTAATGTAAGAATGTAAGGAGATTGGGTCAGATGAAATTAAGGTTAGTTCAGGTAATGATGTCATGTGGTGTGTTGGCTACATCTTAATTATGTATTGTCGAAGGCTTTCATGACTGGAATCACTAGGTTCTTGTAGGTTTTTTCGGGCTATAGGGCCATGTTCTAGAGGCATTTCTCCTGACGTTTCGCCTGCATCTATGGCAAGCATCCTCAGAGGTAGTGAGGTGAGGTTAAGATATCTTAATTATGGTTCTTTTGGCTCCTGAACTGACTTGTGTTGTTGAGGTCGCATAGCAGTATAAGTAGTAGTAGTATTTCTCTTTTCTTATTATTCTTGCTAGTTGGCAGATAGGGCATTCCAAGCTGAGAAGTAGTATTATATTTAGAACAATATGGAGTGGTGACCACTGTGAACTCTTAGCACATGGAAAACTGTATTACAAATTTATAATGTTCATCCTTTCTTTTCAGCTAAGAACATAGTCCTTGCAGGAATAAAGGTAACCAAAATAAATATATTCAGAGTTATTTTTTCCTTAAAGAATGTAGTAATAGTGTGGAAAAGATAGACTTTCACATTAAAAGGGAAGTGTGTAAGACATTTGTGAACTTGGAAGGTGCATTTGTGTAACTTTAAAGGCAAAAGAAGTTATTTTCATACAATAACCTTTGAACTGGTTCAGATTGCTGCACCTGTTACAGAAAATTGTGAATTCCATTTTATCCACCAGCCACTGTACATTGGAGCAAATGTTGTGTTGCATATATATAGAGAGGGAGATTATATATTTATACTTCAGATTTTTAGGATCTCAAGAGTCACATGCCAGATTAGTTGGTACATTAATGTATTTGTGTATATAGTAGCACAATAGTCTACATTTTCCTTTCTTGCTTCAAATTTGTAAGGGCTAAGGAAATCAGAATCCCCCAAAACTTTAAAAGGGCAAACTAGATATATGTTACTGTTTGCAGTGGTAAATGCACATGGCTGTAGTGTAAGTTGTATATACATTGTCGTGACATTATATAAAAGTCTCTTCAAATAATTTAAAATTTTGTCTTCCTTATCCTGCCTGTAGACTCTCACCATCCATGATACTAAGCAGTGCAAGGCATGGGATTTAGGAACAAACTTTTTTGTTCACGAAGATGATATTCTCAATCAGAGAAACAGGTTTGTGTAATTCTTTCAAAATGTTATGAAGTTTTGAGACATTTTTCCTCACTGTAGGTGCTAGTTCTGTTGATAGATTTTAAGTCTCTCTTAAGCGGAATGCTCCTGTTTGCATTTTTGCCCTTAAAAACATTGGGTTCATGTTTGTTATCTTACTGCAAATAGGTGTTGGCCGAATACATTAAAAAAAAACATTTTCCCCATATGCATTGAAAAATGAGCACAAATGCACTGCAGATACTCAAATAATCATATTCATCAAGCCAGGGTCAGTTCCAGCTGTATTGCACAGTTAATTATGCTGGGCTAAATGTTTGCTCTCAAAGTCAAGTTTTCCCTTGTTTGCGAAATGACAGCTGGGAAGGGGCCAATTGAATCCTACTAGGGAGTTTCACAGCCAAGGAGCCACCACTGAAAAGGCCCTGTCTCTCATCCCCAGTGTTTCATTGGTGGAGAGGGCAAGCAGGTTTGGTGTTTCCCAGAGTCCAAAATAAATGATAATTTTATAATGTCAGATCTGTCAAACTCCACTTAGAAGTCCTTTGTATAAAATATGTCGTTGAAATTATTAAATCAAATTGTTTTCTTCATAGCTATTGTATTTTTCTTTGAACTTCATTTTGTTATCATTTGAATAATAATGAGATGCAACTGGCCAAAATCCCAGCTAATATTAGCTAGGCTTGATCATCATTATATGTTTCACAACTGTTATGTATTCTGAAGCTCAGTCTAGGTTTGGCTGAGTTTTTACCGTCTTACAAATGACATTTTGGCTATATGGCAAGTAAAAACCTCAAATGGATAGACGTGCTTTTAAAAGAAAAGCAAGGAGTCTTGGTGGTTCTTTGCCCTTTACAACATTTAATGCATTGGCAGTTAGTTATTTGATTGAGTACAGAATTAGGCATTCTTTGAAAAACTTTGTTTTTAAAAAAGAATTTGCATTTATCCTGTCAATAATATAATGAAAAATACTTTTCAGAGCGGAGGCAGCACATCATCACATTGCAGAACTGAATCCATATGTGCAAGTAATGTCGTCAACGGCTCCACTAAATGAAGTTACAGACATCTCTTTCCTCAGACAATACCAGGTACAAGATATTTGTCTGGAATACTTCACTTGCCCAGAATATATTTCAGTTGGTCCTGGTAGCCAGCCAGTCCTGACTTACTTCCACCCACCTCCTAGAATTCTCTTGTTTATACAAAAGACTTGGAGAATGTCTGGCATCAGCATCTTCACTTTCGAACTGGGATTTGAAAGCATTCATATGTTTTTGCTCATCCCAGGTGTCTGCAAAGCAAAGTTCAATGTGAAAATCTAATCTTGCTTTTCCAACATCTAGAGCAGTCATGTCAAAGCTGTGGCCCTCCAGCTGTTTTGGACAGCTCCCAGGATTCATTGATAATATTATAACTGAATCCTCAGTTTGCTTCTTTAATAGATAAATTCATCAGCAAGAAAGTAACATCAGATTTGATCAGGTACTGGCATAAAGGAAGGTTCAGGTAGAGACAGACAGGATTCAAGCAACATTTATGTGTATTTGGAAACAAAAATCAGAAAAGGATCACAGAAAAGAAGTTCAAGAATCCTCCTGACGTTTTGATGGATCTACTTCTTTTATAATAAAAGGAATTAGTAATAGAAGGTGAAAAGTACATGACCGTTTCATAGTTGTTTCAAGAAAAGAGCCCAAATTCTGTATTTATACATGTTTTGCAGAGTCTTCTTATGATGACTGAATTTCAAGAAAATATAAATCTTTGTTCAGACATTTTTTTTTTCTGTGTCAGGAGCGACTTGAGAAACTGCAAGTTGCTACTTGTATGAGAGAATTGGCTGTCTGCAAGGACATTGCCCAGGGGACGCCTGGATGTTTTGATGTTTTACCACCCTTGTGGGAGGCTTCTCTCATGTCCCCGCATGGGAAGCTGGAGCTGACAGAGGGAGCTTATCCGTACTCTCCCCGGATTTGAACCTCCGACCTGTCGGTCCTCAGTCCTGCCAGCACAAGGGTTTAACCCATTGCACCACCAGGGGCTCAGACATGATGCATAGTTTACAATTAGAAGAAATACTTGTACCTTTGCAGTTTGTATCCTGGCTTCAATAATCTAGAGCCTATCTCTAACTTTTCTTTCTAGTGTGTTATAGTAACTGAGATGAAGCTATCTTTGCAAAAGAAGATTAATGACTTTTGCCATGCACAGCACCCACCTATTAAGGTAACTTATTTACGAAAACTGACTGTTTCTCTTGAAAATTTCCCTTAATTATGCCCTCCTTGATGCCTCACTTCCTCCTTACTTTTTAAATGTAACTCATAATTGCCTACCAGAAAATGGAAATATTTGATGTAAATGGGTGGGTATTAAAATAGGAATTTGGGGAGGTTTTCTGCAGAGATGCCGCATTGCCCACCCCAATTGCTAATTTTCATCCTAGAGAGCCAGACCAGAAAGATGCAATGCGGCTCTATCATTTCCAGAAAGTGGATTGTAACAAAATATTTATTCCGAACTTGAGAAATTTAATAAATGTTGACTTTGTCTTTTCTTGCAGTTCATTAGTGCGGATGTGTATGGAATGTGGGCACGTCTCTTTTGTGACTTTGGTGATGAATTTGAAGTGCTGGACACTACAGGAGAGGAACCAAAAGAAATCTTCATTTCAAACATCTCTCAGGTAAGGACAAAGATGTGCATTGCTAAGCCTTGATGCTTTCATTTACACATTTTATTACCTTTAAAATAATATTTACTTAGCATTTCTTTCCCACTACATTTGCTTAAACCAGCAAGCTCAAAAATACTCCATATGCCAAAACTTGATTACTGGAGGGGTTTGGGGAAAACTCATCTTCCTTTCTGGAAGTTGTAGTTCGCCTACAACCAGAGAAACTGTAACCTCCACTGATAATGAACCTAGACCAGTGGCTCTCAATCTGGGGTCCCCAGATGTTTTTGGCCTACAACTCCCAGAAATCCCAGCCAGTTTACCAACTGTTAGGACTTCTGGGAGTTGAAGGCCAAAAACATCTGGGGACCCCAGATTGAGAACCACTGACCTAGACCAAACGTGGCACATACAAACCCCATAACTAACTCAACCTGCTGGAGGTTGAGTTAGTCATGCATCTAGAGCAAGCTTGTCCAACATAACAAACTTAAAAGTACTGATGGAATTTCTCGGCATGATGTCAGCTATTGTTAATCCACAACCGTATGCATTTTGTACAATTAAAAAACTGACTTTTTCAAATAACCCAGGCAATGCTGGGTACCCAAGCTAGTATTATATAGGTTGTTGTAGGTTTTTTCGGACTATATGGCCATGTTCTAGAGGCATTCTCTCCTGACGTTTTGCCTGCATCTATGGCAAGCATCCTCGGAGGTTGTGAGGATGCTTGCCATAGATGCAGGCAAAACGTCAGGAGAGAATGCCTCTAGAACATGGCCATATAGCCCGAAAAAACCTACAACAACCTAGTGATTCCGGCCATGAAAGCCTTCGACAATACATAGTATTATATATTACTATGGACTATGATTTCAGGACTATGTGCCTTGTTTTTAACTGTTTATTTAAGCATATTTAAATGCACAATGTAATTTGTATGCTTTTTTAATGTCTTAATGCAGCATTGCATTATTACTAATTTGGAAGCCGCTCTGAGTCCCTTTTGGGGTTGGGATAGAGTGGGGCTAAAATACAGTAAATACATAAAATAAATAAATATAATAGAAACATGGGGAAAGTTTATTAAGCTGCATAAACTTTGTTTTTTGCGGGACATCCTGTTGCACATATAGATTCTCAACCAATTCAACATTTCTTGGTGTATAACAACTATTTTCTAAGTAAGTACTGCACAATTAAACAGGAAATAACACTTTCAAACCAGGAACAGAAAAAATTCCAAATTTTGTTACACAGTGTAATTCCTTTGGGCATGAACATTGGATTCATAATGTTGCATTTTTTGGTTCTGGGAAAGTGATGTTAATTAGCAATCTATATAAATAAAAATGTAATGTTCGTTTGTGGGATTTACATAACTCAAAAACAACTGGACGAATTGACACCAAATTTGGACACAATATACCTATCAGGCCAGCGAGTGACCATCACTCATAAAACACTCATACAACAGAAGAGACTTAAAAAGTCAAAAAAACAAAGGATACATTACAATGCATGTGTAAAACCACATATATACACGTAAACACACACACACACACACATATATTGATATAGATATATATATACATATGTGGAGCTCCATGCAGTCATGCCGGCCACATGACCTTGGAGGGGTCTACGGACAATGCTGGCTCTTCGGCTTAGAAATGGAGATGAGCACCACACCCCAGAGTCAGACATGACTGGACTTAATGTCAGGGGGCTACCTTTACCTTTACCTATATACATATACACAAATATATACATATACACTTATACACAGACTGGGCCACAGCAACGCGTGGCAGAGGATGGCTAGTAGAGGATATTATCACAGATACATAAAAATTACAGTTATGTGTATACATCTGAATTATTATTTTTTGAAAATGATTCATTCAATTCTGTCTCCATCCTGATTTCTAACTGTAATTATAACTATATGATTGTTTGTAATTTCAGTCCAATCCTGGTATTGTCACTTGCCTTGACAATAATCCCCATAAGCTTGAAACGGGACAGTTTGTAACTTTCCGGGAAGTTAATGGAATGTCATGCTTAAATGGATCCACACATCAGATAACTGGTAAGTACTGTTTCCCAGATTATGTAAGAACATCTTGTTGCAAACTTGATACATATATTTACTAGGGCTGGGCGGTTTCGGTTCGTTAATTCATAATTCGTTAATAATTCGTTAATTTTTTCAATTACAAAACGATAACGAACCATTCTGGAGCAATTATTTAAAAAAACGAATTTTCAAAAACGTTTTGTAAATGCTTCGCATTTCGATATTGTATTCGTTTCGTTATTGTTTTGAGGTCGTTTCGTTATTATTTCCGCATGTCTGGGCCAGTTTTATGGTTTAATTAGTGAAAAAAAATTATAATATCACACCAACAGTCAACAACAGAGGGAGAGGGAAGCTTCAGAAGGTTTTGGAGGTTTTTTAGCGTATTTCGCGGTCGCGTCCGCCATTAACGAATCGATTCGTTATTGTTTCGGAAATCGATTCGTTAATTTTTTTACCATTTACGAAATTTCATAAATATCGAACTTTTTAAAAGGAAAATTTTGTAATTATTTTAAATATCGAAACAAAAAAAAACCCCAAATACAAATCGATTTTAGAAACAAATTTTCCGTTGTTACCCAGGCCTAATATTTACATTTATGTTGTTGTATTGTGTCTTCTGCCCTGTTTCTCCATTTCCTTACTAAACTTTTATTTACAATACTATTTCATGATATGGCTACATTCTGTAGTCTGTAATTAGACTGAAAAAATCATGAATCATAGTTATGAGAGATGGGAGGAAGGGTTTACCCTGGAATTTGATATTGGCTAAATTACTAACTCAATTTCTGTTCTTAAGAGGGTGTTCTTTGTGACTGCATGGGTAGAAAATGTTTAAAACCAGGGTGTGTATTGAAAGAGTGCACTATAAAAGCAGAGAAAAAAACCCTGTTATTTATTTATTTATTTATTTATTAACTTTATTTATACCTCGCTAACATCTCCCAAAGGACTCGATGCGGCTTACGAAGGCCAAGGCCACCAACAAAACAATAGCATACAAATACAACAGTAAAACTCATAAAAGCAAATAACAAATATCAAGCAAAACAATAAAACACTAAAAACAATAACACCATGACGCATTTAAAACCTAAGGCCGGGCCAAATAAATGGACAAATTTAAAAGTGCTGGACATGACAGGTGAAATGTAGAGGTTTTTGGAGGTAGGTATCCTTCTTACATGTCCTTCTATTTTCAAGCAGTATGATAGGGCCTACGAAACCCAGAGCACAAGTACAGAAAACTGTGTGACAGCATAGAATCATAGAATAATAAAGTTGGAAGAGACCATATGGGCCATGTAGTCCAACCCCTTGTCATGCAGGACAAGCACAATCAAAGTACCCCTGACAGATGGCCATCCTTTCTGAAGTTGTCCTTAAATACACGTTCAAAGATTTTGCATTTCTAAGAGTTTAGTCCCTAACCTCAAAAATTTAAAAATATCCATTAAAATACAACGAGGACCCACAATGAAATTTGTCATCATCATTTAAACATATTATATTAATTTTATACTCCACTTTTCTCCCCATCGGAACTCGAGGTGGCTATCAACCACACAATCTGCCCACAGTTTAAAACAAAGAAAATACAAAAATTAGGAAACCAATGAAATAGCACTGTGTGGATATAAAGATGGAACCCAATGAAGATATAATAAAAACAAAATTACATATAAAACTCACAATCCCATCCAAAACCTCCCCATCTCTCTTGAAAATTGGCCATCGAGCATTGTTGTGTATGCAAAGTAGAAAGTGATGGGCCCAGTATACCATTAAGTGATACATATTTTGTTCATGAAGGCCTTTGATGGTCACCACTAGGTCAGTGCTGTGGAATGGATTCAGCCTGTGTTTGGTTGCACTCATTTTTATGTTTTCTAGCAATGTTGCTCTAGGGTCCTCTTACTTGTATTGTTGCCACTACTCTCTTGAAAATCCAGGAATTGCCTCTTTGAAGCCTCTTCCCACATTATTTTTAAATCTCAATGTAAAACGTTCATGTTTTCCAATTTTTAAAAATTAAGTTTAAATTTAAGTTTAATATAAATCTTGTCTATTTTGTGCACATATGTTGGTCAATTTGGTTTGCTGTTGTAGTTTTTATGTTTTATCTGGATAATTTGTTTTACAATCACATTATAGACGTTTATATGTTATTTTTTTCCTTCTCTGTGTGTATGTGTATGCCCATATATTTTAGAATGTATGTGTTTGGCAAAATATATTGTTTATAGATGTTTTACTTGCAACACGCTATGTTCATTGATGATGCTATATAAACCACCAATAAATAATACTATTAATTATAATAACAATATTATTATTAATGTCAACTTCATTTGTAGATAATATCTAAAATGGAATTGGAGTCTGCCCATTTCACTTCCTTGGTCCACTAACCTTACGATTTTTCCATTCTTGTTTTCTGTCTTAGTGATATCACCTTATTCTTTTAACATTGGAGATACTACAGATGCAGAACCTTACTTACATGGTGGCATAGCTATCCAAGTAAAGACACCTAAAATATTTCACTTTGTAAGTATTGTCCTGGAAGATAAGTATTAGCAATATTTGTATCTTTCCATAAAAAGCTGAAAAGAAAATGAGAAAAGTCTCTCCCCTTAAATGGTAAAGACCAAATAAAAAATAAGGAGCACACTAGCCATATATGCACAAATTCATTAATATCCATGCTAGCATATAGATTAAACTTGGTGTGTGTATATATTTAATGATGTTTTGTAATTTTGTATATTTTGACTACATGTATTGGTCAGTTTGATTTACTTTTGTATTTTTATGTATGAGTTGACTTATGGCGATTCCATGAATTCATAGGGTTTTCTTAGGCAAGGAATATTTAGATGTAGTTTTGTCAGTTCTTCCTCTGAAATATAGCATCTAGTACTTTATATTCATTTGGCAGTCTTCTATTCAAATGTTATGCAGGCCTGATTCTGCTTCATTGTGTAAAAATGTAGTTTAATATTTAAAGTACTTCCAGATTGTCATGAAGTTACAATGTATAAATATGATACCCTTTACATCAAGAGAGTGTTGGTAGGAGAAGGGGGCATAAAATATAAGCAATCCCAGAGTAGTTTGCAAAGCCTTGGCCATGCTGTGTTGGAAGTGGGCTTTGTGCCACTGCGTCAGTGTCCTCGAGTATAGTTATTGCACATTCTCATAAAAATTGTATTTCTTGACTTACAGTAAAAGAAGGTGAAAGGACAAATCCATTTTTATAGAAGTTAAAGCCATTTTTTCTACCTGTTAATTTTGAATTGTGATAAACTGCCAGGCTTAAGACCCACAAGAAGAATCTACTTGTAGTGTCCTTAAGAGACCTATTTTTCTTCAACAAAAATTATTCTCAGAGTCAAAAAGTATACTTTAAAAAACTGGAATGTCTTATCCATGCATAACATCTAATAATATTGCATTCTTCCAACACCTTATGGTGACTCATTCTGCCTCTAATTTTCCTGCAAGAGGTGAAAGATAAACTTGGTTGCTGTGAATTTTCCGGGCTGTATGGCCATATTCGAGAAGCATTCTCAGATCGTACTGCAGTTGCCCTCTTGTCTTAGTGTCTGAAATTATTAAATTGATAAACCAAATAAAACAGAGTGGGCAAAGTGTGGCTTACAGGCTGCATGCTACACTGCGGTGTCCCTGAAGAGGTAAAAAATGCTTCAGAATGGCCTATAAGGGTATGTTTCAAGGCCCCCTGGACCCTAGAAAGGTCAAAATAAATATTTACATTTTTTAAAAAATGCTCCAAGCCCTCTGGTGAGCTAAAAACATGGGGAATATGCTCTCATGTCCCTAGGCCAGGACTTTTAAACTTTTCCACCTGAAGACCTTTTCCACCCAAGAAGATTTTACGCAACCCCAGCATGTGGTATACAGAATTGGTATAAAATCAAATATTTCCTGATAATAATAATAATAATAATAATGAAACTTTATTTATATCCCTCCCTATCTCCCTGTAGGGAATCAGCATTCCCTACAGAGCGGCAAGGTGAGCCGCAACCTTGAGGGAAGGGGTTGGGACCCACAGTTTAAGAAGCAGTGCTCTAGAGAATATTTGGGGGCAAAAGATTTTATTTTATTTTTTGGTTGCTCGTTTGTTTGGAAAAAGCAGGTGAAGTTGGAGTGTGACCCTCCAAGAAGTCTTGGGGATTGATGTGTCTCCTGGCCTTCCATAATTGCCCATCCATGAACGAAGGTGAGGCAAGGCCGCAAGCTATTATTACATCCTCCTTCCTGGAGCTAATAAAGAGAAATGCCAGCTAGTGGGCCCCTATTCTGGCAACCTCCTGCAAAGGATCATTGCCTTGTTGTGGTGCTGGAGCTTGAGAGCCTTGATGCCAAGAGCGAAACTGTGAAGAGACACCCAAGACAGGAGGGTCATGGAGGAGATGTCAGACTAAATACAATCCCCGGAGAATGTAATGGCAACCCACCCCAGTTTCTTTCCATGAAAACTGAATGGATCAGTACAACCAGAGATACAACTAAGAGTCTATGCCGGTTTGTAGGGGGAGATGCGATCGTGGAGATAGACAGGGCCCAAACCATTTATGGCTTTATATGTAATAATCTGCACCTTGAATTATTCGCAGCCAGTGGAACTGCTTTAATAGGGGCGTTGTATGCTCCCTATAATTGACTCCAGTTAGAAGCCTGGCTGCTGACCTTTGCACCAATTGGAATTTGGGACTGTTTTCAAAGGCAGCCTCATTTAGAGTGCATTACAATAATACAATCTGGATGTAAACAAGGCATGGACCACCATGGCCAAGTCAGATTTCATGAGTTATGATTGCAACTGGTGCAAAAGCTTTAACTGCAAAGGCCCTCCCAGGCACTGCCGACACCTCCGCATCAAACATCAGCGCTGAAACTAGGAGGCCCCCAAGTTGCGGACCTGTACCTTCAGGGGGTAGTGGATCCCCGTTGAGCACAGGTTGCCACCTCATACCCCAATCAGCCCCACAACCGACCAGGAGGATCTCTGTCTTATCTGGATTAAGCTTCAACTTGTTAGCTTTCATCCAGGCCATCACAGCTGCCAGACACTGATTTAGGGTCCAGGAGGCTTCCTTGGAGTTTGGTGGAAAGGAGTAATAGAGCTGAGTGTCATCTGCATACAGGTGGCCCCAAACGCCAAAACTCCGGATGGCCTTACCCAGCGGTTTCATGTAGATGTTGAAAAGCATGGGGGATAGAATGCAACCTTGAGGGATCCCACAGGTCAGTGGCCAGAGGTCTGAGCAGGTGTTCCCCAGCTTCATCAGCTGGGAGCGACCTTCCAGGAAGGAGTGGAGCCACTGCAAAGTAATTCCCCCAAGATGCATTGCGGAGAGCTCTCCCAGAAAGATACCATGGTTGATGGTATCGAAAGCCACTGAGATGTTCAGGAGAATCAACAAGGACACACTCCCCCTGTCTAGTTCCATCTGGAGTTCATTCCCCAAGGCAACCAAAGCCATCTCTACCGTGGCCAGGCCTAAAACCAGACTGAGATGGATCAAGATAATTGGTGTAATCCAAGAATCCCTGGAGTTGGGAGGCCACCACCCATTCTAGAACCTTGCCCAAAAAAGAAGCGATTAGAAATTGGCAGGTAGTTGTTCCATACCGTGGAATCTAGGGATGCTTTCTTAAGGATAGGTCTCACTTGAGTTGTTACAGAATCTTAGTTTTCCTTCTTGCAACATTCTTGGTGGAATCTTCTGATCTGCCCCCAAAAGACTATGGTGATGCCAGTTAGTATCAGTTTTGGACATGTTTTTTGCAGTTTCAGCCTGTGAACGTTAATCCTGATATATGTTGGATTGCTTGTATGCTATTTTAATGCCTCTGTTTTAAGAAAACCTGTGCAAATGGGTTATCTTTTTCTTTCAGGAACAGCTGGGGAAGCAGTTGGTCAACCCGAAATGTCTTGTTGCAGACTTCAGCAAACCTGAGGTTATTTGTCTTGTTTTAAAATGCATTTTACATCTTACATTTATAGTTCTAGTGGTGTTGTGCTCAATTTTTTTCCCTTCAGTGGGTCAACTTACTATATGTACTGACAGGGCACATATAGTGATTTCAGTTCGAAATCTACCAGCCATTTTCAGCTGGATTTCTGCAGCTTAGGTTTAATATATTTTTTCAGAACAACTGGTTGTATAAACATGTGTGAGAGGAGCTTGATTAGGACTGCACATAACTTTAATTGGAATTTCTAAACTTGGATTCAGAAAGTATAATCTTTTCGCCCTGGTCACAAAAGTCTCAAGACTATATATAAGAAATTGTCTTTTAAAGATGCAAAACAATTTAAAATGCAATTTTATTAATAATTTCAAATACTGAAGGCAACTTGCATCAGTGCAGTTTGGGTTACTTGCAAAACATTCATCAAGGATGGTGTCCTTTAATTGGGAATTTCACAGTTAAAGTCTTGGAAAGGCTTTCCTGGTGTTGTTGTGCTCACCAATATATTGTCTTGTCATGTAGAGATAAGCAAAAGGGCTTCTACTGAAGATCTCTAACTTCAGGCAGAGCATATGCAAAGAGACAGTCAGTCTGATATCCTTGCCCAGACTGTATAGAGCTTTGTTGATCAAGAGGACCATCTTGAACTGAGTTCAGAAATAAATTGGCCGCTGGTGTAGAAGGTTTAGGACCACCACCATTGGTTCCTAGACACATGCCAGAGAAAACTCTTACTTTGGACTATCTGCAATTTTGGAACACTGTTCAAGGCAAGAGCATCTTGCAGTGATCTGATTGAGAGATAATGAAATCATGAATCACTGTGGCCTAATCTGCCTTCCTTAGGAGGGGTGCAGCAAGCACACCAGCCAAAAGTTGGGCAAAGGCATTCCTGGCCCCAGCAGCCACTTGGCCTTCCAGGAGCAGCACTGGGCCCAAGAGCACCCGCAAGCTGCAAACCTGCTCCTTCAGAGGAAGTGCAGTCCCATGCAGAACAGGTTGTTATTTTTTTTTAATCCATGCTTTTTTAAGTTTCTGTCTCCTATGGCTTGAGTATCAATTTATCCATCTACACATCCACTGTTGCTACATCAAGACAGGGATTTACCACTAACCCTGGCCTTTTTTTCACGTTACTATAGCCTCCTTTGTAACATGCTGCTTTTCCATAATAAAGTGAGTCCCCCAGGGGTGAGAAAGGCGGTATATAAATACTGTAAATAAAGTGGGCACATAATTGCTCTCATCTTATTTTTTAATGAGGCAATTGGCAATTCAATGAATGTGACATTAATTCAGCATAAAAGTGTCATAACAAACTTTGTATTTAAGTCCAGTGCAAAATTAAAAATCAAAAGAGAAAATAAAGGCAATTCATATAGCTAGTTGAGTCTGCCTGTAGTTTGAGGGGTGCTTAAATACAATTAGATGGAGGGAATGTCTCATGAACGTGTTATTCAGAACTGATTTTACAATGTTCATCCAAAGGTTCTTAACCGTATCTTGTTGAATGAAGTCCATTAAACATCACATATGCTTTTGAATCTAACAATATGTTATCATTTGCTATTAGAAATGAGAAACCATGAATTAGAAAATACTACCATTGATTTTTAAGGAGAGTTTTGGTGGCACATGAGTTAAATCGCTGAGCTGCTGAACTTGCTGACTGAAAGTGGCATGAGCTACCACTGTTAGACCCAGTTTCTGCCAACCTAGCAGTTTGAAAACATGCAAATGTGAATAGATCAATAGGTACCACTCCAGCGGGAAGATAACAGTGCTCCACGAAGTCATGCTGGCCACATGACCTTGGAGGTGTCTACGGACAATGCTGGCTCTTCGGCTTAGAAATGGAGATGAGCACCAACCCCCAGAGTCGGGCACGACTGGACTTAATGTCAGGGGAAAACCTTTACCTCTATCCTACCATTGATTTAACTCCTGTGATACTTTCTTTATGGAAAGAAAGGATTATACATTTTCCAAGAACCCATCTTTAGTTTTGTTTTGTTTTTTTTTTTGTACCCAAGACTTTTGGAGCATTTTCAAGAATAACAGGTTTTTTTGCCTCAGACTTTTCTGGTTTATAGTCCAGTTCATGCACTGAAGGAATTTGACTGTAATCTGTGAAAGCTGATACCACGATAATTCTGTTACATATTAAGTTGTCATAAGACTCTTTTGTTCCTAGATTATCCGGGCCACTTCTTGAAATATACTTGGCAGACAAGCTTATGCAGTTGCTTGGCATCGTACTGATATTCACTGTTTTCTTCCTTTATAGGCACCTCTGCAGATTCACATTGCAATGCTGGCCTTGAATGAGTTTCAGGAGAATGTTGGGCGTACACCAAACATTGGGTAATGCATCTTTGTAGAAAACTGCATAAATGGTGTAGATTGGCTAAGAAAGGATTCGGAAAAAGTGGAGGAAGAAATCTGGAATATATTTTTTTAAAGAGTTTACGAGAAAAGAAACTGGGGAAGTTAGAAAACCAATGTTGAGCAATATATTAGAAGTATGGGACAAATATAGGAGAATGTTAATAGCAGATGGTTCGGTAATAACCCCAAGTGTAATGGAAAATAATTTTCCATTTTTTTTAAAAAAAAGTAATGGATAAAAAGTTAAGGGAAAAAACTTAACAAAATAGGGGATTGGATAAAGGTTGGAATGAAGAAGGAAATGATTTAAAGAATTGGAAATGATTTAAAGAAATGATTTAAAGAAGAATTTAAAGAAATAAAATTGACATGGTTCCATTGTATACAATTAGAACAATGGTTTAAAAACTGGGTAAAAAATAAATAAAAACGGAAGTAAGCTTAACCAATTCGAACAAATAATACAAAAAAGATAATACAAAAGATAATAATTGAAATAAAGGAAGGAAAAACAAAAAACAACATCCTCAAGTAGGTCTGGGAAGAAGATTTAGGGATAAAAATAAATGAAACAGTGGCAACAATTATGGAGACAAAGACTTCTAAAAATTTTATCAATACGGGTTAAAGAAAATTACTATAAATTAATATGGAAATGGTACCTTACCCCACTAAGAATAGCAAATATAAATTCAAATTACTCAAAAAAAATTGCTGGAGAGGATGCTAAGAATCAGGAACGTATATACCATATATTCTGGTGTATAAGACATCTTTTTACCCCAAGAAAATCTTCTCAAAAGTCAGGGGTCGTCTTATACGCAGGAGTCATCTTACACGCTGGAGTAGCCTTATGCATGGGGGTCATCTTATATGTGAGAGTAGTCTTATACGCCAGGAGTCGTTTTATAGAGCGGGCGCTGAAACTTCCAATCCAGATTGGAGAATCTGTGGTTGCTGTATATTGTGGGGGGAGCTCAAAAATGGCAGTGGCCATGTCCCTGCCATATTCAGCAACTATATGAAAGCATTAAGGACACCGCTGTACAAGTATGGTAGAAGAAAATCCATTCATCAGGATTCGTGGACTTAATGCGGTCCCGATGGAGAAGTGAAGGGGCGCCTCACTAGGAAGGTGTAAGTGAAGGGCGGAGCAAGCTGCAGGCGTCTGGGGTGCCCAGGATATGGAAAAAAAGAGTGACTCTGGGCCCAGAAAAACACAACTCTTTTGCCTGTCTGGCCCACTCTTGTATCCTATTACTGTACCTCCTCCTCTGCCTCTCAGATCTCGCTCCTGAAGACTGCAGTGAAGCAGTGCAGGTGCGCATGTGCGAGATCTGAGAGGCAGAGAAGGAAGTACAGTAATAGGAAAATTACAATATTGAAATCAAATCTGATGCTTTTACATTTTTTATTTGGTGTGTGTTGGAAGAGGGGTAGTCTTATACGGCGAGTATATCCCAAACTCTATATTTTAACTGGAAAAGTTGGGGGTCGTCTTATACGCCCAGTCGTCTTATATGCCGGAATATACGGGTACATATGTGGTGGCAATGTAAATATGTAAATAATTTTTGGGGGAAAGTGTTTAGAGAAATAGAGGATATAATGAACATTAAAATAGAAAGAAGTCCTAGTATAGCTTTATTATCATTATATAATAATAAATTATTGCTTAAATCCTGTTTTCTTCGATAGAATTTAAGAAATCTGCATTTGTGCAGTGTTGTCATCCTGCTTTTCTGGTGTTTGTAGCATGAAACAATAATGCAGTTACACAAATGACTTTATTTGATTTGTCAGTCATATAGAGCGATGTATTTTTTTTCACAAAGAAACACATTCTACACTGGAGTGTGCAAACAGGATATCTGAGGGATAGAAACTAAGTCTACCCCTAATCCTACATCCTAGTTGTCACTGTGTGCTAGGACTTGTGACAAGACTTGGTTATCAACTGCAGCACTGGCCAAAGTAAACTGCATGTTCCACAGTATAGAGAGGATTTCACTTGCAGGAATGTAATAATAAAAAAAACCCTATCAGGTACTTCTACTTTTGGCTTCCCCCACAACTTTATGGGAAAGTTATGGGAACCAAATAAAGTCCAACTGCTGCCTTTTGGATATTGCTTTGCAACAAATGGAGCAATTTCAAACATTTTAAAATAAAACAAACCAGGAATCAGGAGTCTTAATGGCTGCATTTTCCTATCCTTACTATAGTGCCCCACAAAAGTCTGAAGTGAGACCCATGTGTCCCATATTTTTGGTTTTTGAACTTACATGCATAGTATGCCTTTGGGCTCTACAGAGGCAACGTTTTGAAATAATCTCTCAAAAAATGATCAACGAAACTACTCTCTTGAGTGAACCTAGATTTTTCTCCTTAACAATTTTGGGAGAATCATGACCTGTACTCCTGAACTATCTTTGCGATTATAGTCGACAAAAGGTTTTGGTCTTGCTTGTTGCAAAAGAGATTATTTGATTATCAGCCTTGTGAACTATTGCTGGTTGTCCTGTTCATAGCACTTCATTTATTTTGCTTGTTAAAGCACAGAGCCCACCAGCTTGCTAGTAGGGGTTCGAGATGAAGTTAGCAGTGGTTTTTTGTGCACATGAAAGGGCCTCTGTGTTCATTTGATGTCATCAGTCCAGAGATAATGACTATTGGAAAACCATTCCTTTTCTCTGATAGAAATTGTGAACAGACCTGATGTACATTTATATATCAGTACTGTATTCATATGTGCATTCATTTGAATAACACTAATTATTGCTAAAGTTTTTTTTGTTTTCGGTTCTAGGTGTCTTCAGGATGCAGCAGAGATGGTGAAGATAGCATTGTCTTTAAGCAAAACACTGGAAGGCAAAGTGAGTAGCTCTGTTTCAGCTACAATATTTGTGGTGGGTATGGTAATGTCTATATTGCAATGCATTGTGGCTAAATCTATAACCAAGCATCACATGAGAATCTTCCTTCTTCTTCCCCCTTTGCTGTATAGTGGCAATGCTTGTATATTCTAGGATTGTACCTTCCTCCTGTTCTTTGTGACACACTGTGCCTTGTCTAATGCATAGTTTCCACACAAGTAAAGGGGAAATGTCATTAAGATGGCTCTTTAGATATCCTTTTATCTTAGGTATCTGCTCAATACCATTAAATCAGTGTTTACCAACCTTCCTAATGCCATGAACCCTTAATACAGTTCCTCATGTTGTGGGGACCCCCACACATAACATTATTTTTGTTGCCACTTCCTAACTGTAATTTTGCTACTGTTATGAATCTGATATGCAGGATGTATTTTCATTCACTGGACCAAATTTGTCACAAATACCCAATGCACCCAAATTTGAATATTGGTGGGGTTGCGGGAGAGGTTGATTTTGTCATTTGGGAGTTGTAGTTGTTGGGATTTATAATTCAACTACAATCAAAGAGCATTCTGAACTCCACCAATGATGGAATTGAACCAAACTTGGCACACAGAACTCCCATGACCAACCAAATACACTGGAAGGGTTTGGTGAGTATTGACTTTGAGTTTGGAATTGTAGTTCACCTACATCCAGAGAGCACAGTGGAATCAAACAATGATGGATCGGGACAAAACTTGGCACAGATACTCAATATGCCCAAATGTGAACACTGGTGGAGTCTGGGGAAAATAGACCTTGACATTAGGGAGTTGTAGTTGCTGGGATTTATAGTTCACCTGCAATCAAAGAGCATTCTGAATCCCACCAATGATAGAATTGGGCCAGACTTCCCACACAGAACCCCTATGACCAACTTAAAATCTTGTGTTTTCTGATGGTCTTTGGCGACCCCTCTGACACCCCCTCATGACCCCCCAGGGGTCTCAACCCCCAGGTTGAGAAACACTGCATTAAATACTGATGAGTATCTGCCTTTCAAAAGAAAGAAGTATAGCTTATACCTTTTAACTTACTGTTTTCTGCATCGCTATCAAGATGGACTACCTGAGTGCGATGGTGAGATTTGAGGAACGTTTTGGAAGGGAAGAAAAGCTATAGCTCAGTGAGGAGGAGGTGAATATATGCAAACTATAGTATAGATTCTCTGATGTTTTTCTTTAAGTTTCTTTTTATTTTCTTCAGTAATTATGCTAACACCTCTGTTGTAGGTACATAGGGGAATAGCAGTGTTTTGCTGAAAACTTTTGGGAATTAGTGCTTCTGTTTGGAAGAATGCTCATGAAGTTATTTCATAGAATCATAGAATCAAAGAGTTGGAAGAGACCTCATGGCCCATCCAGTCCAACCCCCTGCCAAGAAGCAGGAATATTGCATTCAAATCAGCCCTGACAGATGGCCATCCAGCTTCTGTTTAAAAGCTTCCAAAGAAGGGGCCTCTACCACACTCCGGGGCAGAGAGTTCCACTGCTGAATGGCTCTCAGTCAGGAAGTTCTTCCTCGTGTTCAGATGGAATCTCCTTTCTTGTAGTTTGAAGCCATTGTTCCGCGTCCTTGTCTCCAAGGAGGCAGAAAACAAGCTTGCTCCCTCCTCCCTGTGGCTTCCTCTCACATATTTATACATGGCTATTATATCTCCTCTCAGCCTTCTCTTCTTCAGGCTAAACATGCCCAGCTCCTTAAGCCGCTCCTCATAGGGCTTGTTCTCCAGACCCTTGATCACTTTAGTCGCCCTCCTCTGGACACATTCCAGCTTGTCAATATCTCTCTTGAATTGTGGTGCCCAGAATTGGACACAATATTCCAGGTGTGGTCTAACCAAAGCGGAATAGAGGGGTTTGGATTTATACAGGCTACTGTTCTATTCAAAATGTATCTTTGCCTGAACTCATGATGTAAGTTTACCCAGAATGCCTCTCTACTGATACATCTTCCTTTCAGTTCTCAACACTTCAGTCAATGATTACTATAACTTAATTGACAGGCTAGGTTTGAACATTGAATGTGAAGAAGAAAGACGGGATTTCTTTTCTTTTTTGTGTGTGTCAGAGTGACTCAAGAAACTGCAAGTTGCTTCTGGTGTGAGAAAACTGGCCGTCTGCAAGGACTTTGCTCAGGGAATGCCCAGATGTTTGATGTTTTACCATCTTTGTGGGGGGCTTCTTTTATGTCCCCACATGGGGAGCTGGAGCTGACAGAGGAAGCTCAACCTGTTCTCCCTGGATTCAAACCACTGACCTGTTGGTCAGCAGTTCTGCTGGCACAAGGGTTTAACCCATTGTGCCACCAAGGGCTAAGACAGAGGATTACCATAAGGTAGAACAATGCAGAAGAAAAATTACTGTCAACTGGGAAAAAAACAATTAGAAACTAGAATTATTATGCTTTTAGGAAATTCAAGGAAAAGCAAATTAAAATTCAGGATATTCTGATTTTCCAATTGTCTAACTGGTGCTTTCTACCAATAGCAATACAAATCTGAAATGTGAAGGAAATATTCAACACAAATAGATTTCATGTGTTACTTGCTTAATAAGTTTCTTGTCGTAGCTTAATATGTTTGCTCCAGTATCCTCCTACAATTTGCTATATTTTTTTGTATGTTGTTGCTGGTCGGCTATTGCAAATAGTAACATGTATGTTTTCTCAGCTTGAATACTGACATATTTCTAAATGGAACACTTTAATCTACTATACCATCTACTTTTTTTTTTACTTTCAGGGTTTACCTTACAACAATGGTTAACAACATCCTAAAGCAGATACTTTTGCGGGCATAAAATACATGAAAGTTAGGTAATAAAATGTCAACTTTGTTAGCATTAGCATTGATAATGGGGTTGATATTTTATTGTCTATCTTTTATTGCCCTTTTTAGGCCTGTGATTCTGCTATCACTTTTTTGTTTCTGTATTTTCTCCACTTTCTCTTCACAGTGGACTGTGAACAGAAGCACTGATAGTCCTTGTCAAAGATCTGAACATCTCATTAGCAAAAGGCTTTCCGAATTAGGCATAGCCTTCTTTGTGCACAAAAAGTGAAGCCGTCAGTTGAATTTGGATGGATAATGAATTCTTACTCCATGTGTGTTCTGCTGCCCTTTTATATGCTCTTTTATGATGTAACCAGTTAAAAGTTTGAATATTTTAACTCATCTTAATTTCCAGATGTGATAATTATTTCATTCTGCATTGTAGCCTCAAGTTAATGAAGACATGGTGAAATGGCTGTCAAAGACGGCTCAAGGATCGTTGGCATCCCTCACGGCAGCACTTGGTGGTGTTGCCAGCCAGGAAGTCCTGAAAGCTGTAACAGGAAAGTTTTCTCCCCTGCAACAGTGGGTAAGTTTTCCTTGTTACATAACTTTAGAGATGTGAATACTTGGTGAGCAAAAGATTAAATTCCGGTCTCCTTGATGTTTTGGGGAAAGGTGACTTATTTATTATTATTATTTCAAGAATTTGTATCTTGTCCTTCTCACACACACACACACACACACACACACACACACACACCCCGGGGGGGGGGTGCTCAGAGTGGCTTACAACTGGCAACAGTTCCATGCCAACACATACAACCAAAATAATGTAACACAAATTAACATTAGTTAAAACATTAAAATGTCCATTTAAAATATTATTAACAACAATATAGCCACATCCAAGTCCAGTTCAGCATCCAGAGTCCCAAACTTCTGCTTTGCACTTCCATATTTCATTTCTTCCTCTTTTGGCATATAGGACTTCTTTATTTTTAAATGAATCAAGGCCAGTTTTCATTGGCTGAGGTTTCTAAAATTGAAGTTGTCAGCTTGCAATCCTGATTTGGAGGTCTTGTTCAGGCCTTAGTTTATTTGCTTGGATAAAATTGTAAGGCATTAATGAATCAAAACTTGTCATGTTGAATAAACCACTTTTGTAAAAACATTGTTCACAAGAAGAGTGGGTTGCATGTTAACACAACTCCTTCAAACCAGAAATTGATTGTTTCTCTAAAGGAAGGTATCAAAGCTACTTATAAGAGACTCTGTTCCTCTGTTGAACAGTTCTTACCATTAATTCCTCCTTATATTTAGGCAGAAATTCCTTTCATATAATTTGAATCAAGATGTATTGTCGAAGGCAGGCATGTAGCCGGGGGGGGGGGGGGGGGGGGGGGTGGGGGGCCCCCCCCCCCCCGTAATTCTCATGGTGGTTCGCGAAAAGGCCTTACTGGTGCATTATTTAAACTGTTATGTTTATTCATATCATGATCTGATCACCATACTCAATATATCCCATATGCATGGGGGTATTGGGGTAATGATACAAAGGTTTGCTAGGGTAGACCCTCTTTCACTCAGTCTCAGCCCCCCCCCAAACTCAGCCCCCCCCCGAACCCCCCCCTGAAATTTTTTAGCGCCCCCCCCCCCCCCGCCCCCCCGGAAACGAAATCCTGGCTATGGGCCTGGTCAAAGGCTTTCATGAATCACTGGGTTGTTGTAGGTTTTTTCGGGCTATATGGCCATGGTCTAGAGGCATTCTCTCCTGACGTTTGCCTGCATCTATGGCAAGCATCCTCAGAGGTAGTGAGGTCTGTTGGAACTAGTAAAAGGGTTTATATATCTGTGGAATGACCAGGGTGGGACAAAGGACTCTTGTCTGCTGGAGCTAGGTGTGGATGTTTCATCTTATCACCTTGATTAGCATACAATGGGCTGACTGTGCCTGGACCAAACTTTTGTTGAGAGGTAATTAGGTGTCCCTGCCTGCTTCCTCTCTGTTGTTGTGCTGTTGCAATTTTAGAGTTTTTTTTAATACTGGTAGCCAGATTTTGTTCATTTTCATGGTTTCCTCCTTTCTGTTGAAATTGTCCACATGCTTGTGTATTTCAATGGCTTCTCTGTGTAGTCTGACATGGTGGTTGTGAGAGTGGTCCAGCATTTCTATGTTCTCAAATAAAATCAAGATGTTTGTGTCCTAATTTCTAAAGGAGTAGGAAATAAGATTGCTGCATCTTCTTTATGGCAGCCCTTCAGATTACTGTTGGGCTACCTCTGAATCTTGCCTTCCCCAAATTAAACATACTTAAGTTCCTAATCTATTTCTCATAGAACTTGGTTTCCAGGCCTTTTAACACCTTGGTTGACCTTCATTATATGTTTCTTGGAGATAATTATTTTTAAATTTTTTATTCTTTAAAAAAGTGTACATAATCACAATTACGATACTTTTTTCCTATTTCATTCCCTTCTCTCTCCCCACACCCATCCATCCCCCTTCCCTGTTGACAACTCAATTATTTTGTTTTCCGTTACATGAGCCTTTTCCCCATTCTATCTACTTTTTTTCTTCCAGCTTTTATCATCTGGTTTAATAGCCTGTAACTATCTGTAAAATGGAGTCCAAATTTCTTTAATGTTCTTCTGTTTGTCTGACCATGTTTTTTTTGCTTCTTATAATATTAAGTTGTATTTGGTCCCACAGATATTTATACCATTTTTAAGTGTCCATTTCTTTTTATCTTTCCAATCCTTGGAGAGAATTAATATATTTCTCACAAACACTTTTGTTTCTGAAATGAGAGGAGTATATATTGATGGAGTTATTTTCCAAATCATTATGTTTAGGATTGCTGCTGCTGTGTTATTAGTTTTCTTGTAGTTGCAAACATGCCAGAAAGTTTTAATATAGGCAAGATTTCATCAGGTGCTAGATGGAAGTTGTGGATGGAGATAATAATTTTCTGGACTTTTAAATATTCTTTCACATGGCTTTTTAATACTTCAGAAAAATCGTGAGTTGTGTCCCTAAGTTGTCATGGAGTAAACTTTAGGGTGAGAGCATCCATAAATATGAAACCCCCATTTTTGCATCTGGAATGGTATGTGCAGAATACCATCATTTCGTTCTACTGTCTTATTCTAATATTTTTTCAAAATATCTGTTAATATATAGATGCTTATTCTGAGTGTATTTTTTGTAAATATGATAGATGGTGAATGTATTTATTTGTTTCCTTCTAGCTTTACATTGATGCATTAGAATTAGTCCCATGTCTCGAAAAAGCTAGCAGTGAAGAATTTCTACCAAGGTAAATATTTTAAAATGGCACAATACAGCTCTTCTAATTCTTGACTTCGTTTTATTTATGTACATTTATTATAACCTACCCTTTTTTCAAAGACCTCAGTGTAACATATATGGGTCTTCCCTTGATCTTCACACCAGCCACATGTAGTTGGTTCCTTGGGAAATAATGGTTGGCTTCTGCTTCACAGCTGAATGGGCATTTGTATGCAGCTTCCTTACATCTCAGTCCAGTACTCAATGATTATATCACACACTCTATCCAATTGTGTGTGTTTTAAAACTTTATTTTAAATGTATTAACAATGTTAATAATGTAATAAACATGAAGGAATACCATGTTGAGAAATTCCAGCTTATATTACATAATTGACCCTGGGTTATTTTGGAAATGACTTTGTAAATTAGTGTGTGATCCTGTTGGAAGAGCAAATTCTGATCACTTATTAACAAAAAGAGGTTGTGTCCCTTATCTGAAATGCTTGCAAGTCTTGGATTTCAGGTTGTTTTGGATTTTGGAATCAATATATTTGCATATACACACATAATGAGATAACTTGAAAATGAAACCCCAGGTTAAACACAAAATTCACTCATGTTTCATGTGCACCCTATACATATACAAATATAAATTTTTACACATTTTCTTTAGTGATTTTGTTCATGAAAAAAGTTGGTGCATACTGAACCATCAGAAAGCAAAGGTGTTATCCACACATCCACCAAACTTGTTTATTGACCTGGCAGAAAGACGGTTGTGCAGAAGGAATAATTTTCCCTGTTGCCTTCCCCGCACAGCTATACTTTTAGAAACCATCTAAACTGCAGGGACAGGAATTAGAGGATGTAGTCTACTGGCACTTCTAGTGGGCCGCCTGCATTGCATGTGGCCTGGTTGTTTATATGTGTCTGATATTAAAATAGTTGAGTACATGATGGTTAAGTAATTCTGGAAAAAATCCTTCTCCCTTCTTGTTCTCTTCTCTTTCTGTCTGTCATCACAAATAATTTTTTTCTGCATCAGGGGAGATAGATATGATGCCTTGAGAGCCTGCATCGGAGACTCCTTGTGCCAGAAGTTGCAAAATTTGAATGTATTCTTAGTAAGTATGACTTGTAGGATGAGCCTTACATCATGGTTTGTTCCCTCTTTCCCCCAATGGCCCCTCCTTCCATTTCTTCTTTTTGAGCTGTTCAGCAGTGGAACTCTCTGCCCTGGAGTGTGGTGGAGGCTCTTTCTTTGGAGGCTTTTAAACAGAGGCTGGATAGGCATCTGTTGGTTCTTTGAATGTGATTTTCCTGCATCTTGGCAGGGGGTTGGACTGGATGGTTCACAAGGTCTCTTCCAACTGTGATTCTATGAAACCTATGAGAGAGGTGATGTGTGGAGGAGGAGGAACTAACCACCCAGGCAATATGGAGATGGAGAGGAAGAAAGAAAGAGTCATTTTCCCAAGGGCCAGTTACCTTCTCTTCCCCCCCCCCCCCCCCCCCCCCCCCCCCCCCCCCCCCCCCCCAAAGCCCCACTCGCTTTACAGCATCCAAACCCATCCACCACTTTTAAACTCCCAGCCTCTTTAAAGAAAAATAAAAAATTATATAAATAAAAATGTAATGTTCATTTGTGGGATTAACAGAACTCAAAAACCACTGGACAAATTGACACAAGACACCTAACAACCTAATGTATGTCATTCACTCAAAAAAATTGATTTTGTCATTTGGGAGTTACAGTTGCTGGGATTTATAATCTGGGCTATAATCAAAGAGCATTCTGATCCCCACCTACGATGAAATTGATCTAAACTTGGCACACAGTTCTCCCATGACCAACAGAAAATACTGGAAGGGTTTGGTGGGTATTGACGTTGAGTTTGGGAGTTGTAGTTCACCTACATCCAGGGAGCACTGTGGACTCAAACAATGATGGATCTGGACCAAACTCTACACAAATACTCAATATGCCCAAATGTGAACACTGGTGGAGTTTGGGGAATATAGAATCTTGACATTTGGGAGTTGTAGTTGCTGGGATTTATAGTTCACCTACAATCACAAGCATTCTGAACCCCACCAATGATAGAACTGGGCTAAACCTCCCACACAGAACCCCCATGTGGACCACAGCAGCGCGTGGCAGGGGACGGCTAGTAAAACATAAAGATGCCAAGCAGCCAAGCTAAGGCAAAAATAAAATCTTTCCCTGCTGGCTGGCAGCAAGGCAACTTAGGCAAGGAAGGCAAGAAAGCAAGCACTGCAGGCAGGAGAGAGAACAGCAGCAAACCAGCCAGCACACAGCAGTACCGAAGGATGCACCCGCAATGGGCACTTTGGGGGCGGTTACCCAATTAAGTTGCCTAATGATGCCACTGTTTTCTTGGCTGCTGATTGATCAAAAGCCCCAAAGGCCACCTACTGCTTCTCTGACACATGCGGAAGGACTCCCTGTGCCACGTGAGGAAAGTCACGCGACCCGAAAACCAAACAAAGAAACAGTTACTGTTCAACTTTCCCTTTCGTTTCACCCCTTCTTTTCATTTAAGAAGGGGGTCTTTTATTTAGTGCCATCCAAATGGACAGTACGAAATTAAAGCACAAATGAGACAAATACTGGGCCTATCTCTAATACCTTGTATAGTATGAATCAGTATGTTATATAATTTTATATGTATTTGAATGCAGGACTTGGCTTCAGATGCTGGAGAGAGTTATTGTTTGCCATTTAAATTAGTTTTGCTCATTTACTACTCATGTGAAAAGCTGTCTAAAGTGTTAATCTTTTAGATTTAACATGTTAGTATTCTATGTGGCCCTATGATCTATACATTTTTAATATAATTTTTGCTGTGCTCTAATATTGGGAGGGAGTATTATTCAGTGTCCTGCTTAATAAGGTTTTGAAATGTGAAAAGTTTGTCTTTTGCTTTGCTTTTATAGGTTGGTTGTGGTGCAATTGGTTGTGAAATGTTGAAAAACTTTGCGCTTCTTGGTGTGGGCACTGGCCAAGAAAGGGGCATGGTAGGTTTTATCTTTCATCCTGGTTTCAAAGCTTCTTGTATCCTGCTTTGAGCCACATCATCATTATTATTATTATTATTATTATTATTATTATTATTACTACTATGACTACTACTATTATTTCTAGTTGTCTTTTTTCCTCCTATGAAGTTTACGAAGCAGGTCACATCTGCCTTGAATGTAATAAAACTTCATGGTGAAATTCTGTTCTGCTCATCAGAAAACCAAATATTTTGTGAGAAGTACACTTTTTGGATTGTATTAATTTGTATTTCCTTTTAAGATTCTTATTTTTTCACAATTCTAGTAACCAAGGTATCTTGGGCTAATGTTTACCAAAGACTGAGTTGAACTACCACATGAACTTTTGTAAATTATGTGCTTCAGTTGGTCAGATCTAGTTTTTATAAACCGAAACTTATGACATTGCACGAATACATTCACTGGAAAAATAAATTGGAAAAACATGAATTACATTCTGGACAATTAAGATTATTGATGATATGATGACTTGCACAAATAACTCTTCTAGAATTATTCCATCTTGACTCTTAAGATTCATGTATGGTTAGCAAGGCTGTGGATTTCCAGGACTGCTTCTTATTATGAAAGCTGCCGTTGGTTTGATAATATTGAATATGACTTCTAACTACAGCTTTCTGTTTCTCTAACTTATTATAGGTCACAATTACAGATCCGGATTTAATAGAAAAATCCAACTTAAACAGGCAGTTCCTTTTCCGACCACATCACATACAGGTATGTTGAAGCCAAAAAGACAGACAGTAATTTTGGGATTTTAAAAACATATCAAGTATAATGGTGAAAAGAGTTATTTTAAGGAAACTGGAAATGTGGGTCTCCATATGCATTACTTTCATGAAGTTAATTATCTCTTCTTCAACAAAAAAGCAACACGACTCGAAACCAAACAAAGAAATGGTTACCATTCAACTTTTTCTTTCGTTTCACCCCTTATTTTGTTCAAGAAGGGGATCTTTCATTTAGTGCCATCCAACTGGATGGTACGAAATGACCAAATGGTCAGCTACTGGTCAAAGGACATTTAATAGAATGCTAAGTTTTTAAAGTTTGGGTACCCCCAAACTTCTAAGTTTGGGTGCCCCCGGTGGCGCAGTGGGTTAAAGCACTGAGCTGCTGAGCTTGTTGATCGAAAGGTCGCAGGTTTGATTCCGGGGAGCGGCGTGAGCTTCCGCTGTCAGCCCTAGCTTCTGCCAACCTAGCAGTTCGAAAACATGCAAATGTGAGTAGATCAATAGGTACCGCTCCAGCGGGAAGGTAACGGCGCTCCATGCAGTCATGATGGCCACATGACCTTGGAGGTGTCTACGGACAACGCTGGCTCTTCGGCTTAGAAATGGAGATGAGCACCACACCCCAGAGTCAGACATGACTGGACTTAATGTCAGGGGACTACCTTTACCTTAAGTTTTTAAACTTTGTGTTTTCTCAAATACATTGGTTCGCTCCTGATACAACAAATAAAATTAAAAAGAAGAAATTGCTAACTTTAAATCCACATTTATGACTAGTACTGCACAAGCATTGGAATTTGAACATTCTTGGATCAGTGTTAGACATTATCAGTTAAAAGGGAAAAGGATCTTGGGTAACATGTCCAGGAACAACCTCTTCCTGAAAGAGATATCACACAGTTGCTACTTAATGATAGTAATTACCAGCACCATAATGGTTTATATCTTGTTTTTCCATCTCTAAAATAGATTCTCAAGACAGTTACTGACCATATTAAAATATTAGTAAAATAATCAAAAGCATCAAAACAGGGATAAAAATCGAAAACAATACCTGCAGTGCTAGTTTATGACTTGCTCAATCTAAATGCTCACTTGAACATCAGCCTTAATTCTGCAAATCAAGTGAGAGTATGAGTTTTATTTGTGTCTTAAATGTTTCTTTTATAAGGAACCACAACTAAAATGAAAGCTCACTGAAATGTATTGTCGAAGGCTTTCATGGCCGGAATCACTGGTTTGTTGTAGGTTTTTTTGGGCTATATGGCCATGTTCTAGAGGCATTCTCTCCTGACGTTTCACCTGCATCTATGGCAAGCATCCTCAGATGTAGTAAGGTCACTGCCTCTGAGGATGCTTGCCATAGATGCAGGTGAAATGTCAGGAGACAGTGCCTCTAGAACATGGCCATGTAGCCCGAAAAAACCTACAACAACCCAGCTCACTGAAATGCCAAATCAATTTTTAGAAAAAAATATAAACAATATTTGGAATATATCTTTTGCATGAAAATCTAGCTGTGAAACTTGCTAGCTCGAGGAGATACTACACTTTTACTGCTTACAAGTTACAAACCTCCAAATTAGAGAAAATCACACCAGTTTTTAGTCAGCTTCACATTTTTTCCACACAGTCATGGATAGCAGGAAAAAAAAAATCCACCATGTGTTCATTAATGAAGCTGATCAAGCAAAATGCAAAATGCTGGGTTGAACCATGTATGTAGTAGGCCATGATATTTACTGTTAGTATATGGATGACCTGACATCCCAGATCTCTGTACTACCTCTTATAGCAATTAATAAAGTCTGACAGTGGAGATGTCTGGTGGGAGGTGTACTGTAATCCACAGCAATGCATTCTAGGTACGAGCAGAAGCACTGTAAAAATGCCTGAAATACTCGTTCCAGCCAAATCATCCATATGAACATCCTGGTTAGTGGCACTGAAAACCATAGAAGTGGCAGAAATATGCAGTCCCTCCATGTTTGTGGTTTTGACATGGGCGGATTCAATTATTCACGGATTTGATTTAAAATGCTCTTTTTTGGAATCTCTAGGTCCTCTACTGTGATTCTGGTCAACTTCCTCCAGTAATGTTGGAGAACCTAGAGATTTCTGGAGAGAACACCTATCAAGGGATTTCTAGGTTCTCCAATTTGATTCTGAGGTCAGTTTCCAGCTAAAGTTGACCATAGAGTCAGGATGGATGATCTAGAAATTCTTAGAGAATTGTTCTATTGGGCAAAAATAGCATTTTTAATTTGTGTTTTTTCATTTTTATGTGGGTCCTGTAGCCTATTCCCAGTGAATGTGGAGGGATGACATTTTTCTTCTGCATATACTCTGGTATAACTTACCCTCCCAGGCAACTAAGGCTCTCTTGGTTTGAAAACAAACTAAATTGACTTGTAATGTTGCACAGTATTTTATCAGTAATTGGTAAACTTTCAAGCAACAAAAGAATGTATGTAAGAAACAGCTTGCACCAAATGCATAAGAGAGTCTGACCAACTAAATATCAATGTACATTTATTTGCTTTCAGTGAGAAACCCCCCCCAAGAGCCCCAATCATTAACTGTCCTGCAAGAGGTCCTGTGAACTCAGCGCTGTGGTTTCCTTTATGGAATCTATAATGTTGTCTTCCTCTTTTTGTGTTGCCTTCAACTTTGATTAAGCATTGCCATTTTATGTAGTATGGTACTATATTAATGTTCATTATAATTTTATAATCTAATAGAATTGATACACACTTTATAGAAAAAGCCACCCATTTAGTGGAAATGATATACTGCTCCCGGAAATAAAGTGCCTACCTACCAATGTATGACAAAATGTTTTGTGCCCATTCTCTGTTCAAGAGTCAAGTTTGTCCCAATTTTATTAAATAGTTGTTACCTCTGAGTATGATACTTTGGCTCAGTAAGATTAATCTTCCTGATATATTAATGTCTTGCATCCAGCATGAAAAAATAACCACACTTAAAATATTTTAATTTGATTAGAAACCCAAAAGTTACACAGCTGCAGCTGCAACCCTTAACATCAACCCTCAGATGAAGATAGATTCGTATCTTAACAAAGTGTGTCCTGCTACAGAAAATATATACAATGACGATTTCTACACCAAGCAAGATGTTGTTGTAACTGCTCTGGACAACGTGGAAGCACGGAGATACATTGACAGGTAAGTATGTGTTTCATCTACATACTCTCTCTTGTCTCTCCATAGTGCTTTTCTCTTTAAGTTCTTGCCATTTATGATAGTGTCATGGGACATGCACACCAGCGGTTAATTCAAAACAAACTGTCTTGGCTGATTTACAAACCCACTTGTCACCAACATTTCAGTCTCCTGGATTATTTTTCTGTCAATATTGCAATAAAGTATTTTGTGCTTCAATCAAAATATGAAGGGCTGTGTGGTGGTGGTTGGTGTGTGGAGGAATGGGTGTGGGGTTTTTTTGTGATGTGTGCTGGGAAAGGCATTTAATTTCGTTGCACAATGACAATAAAGCTATTCTGTTCTATCTGTGAGCTAGAGCAGGGCTTATTAAATTTTCTCTGCTCACAACCCCTTTGCACCTAAGACATTTTTACATGAAACCAGATAACCTATATAAATAAAAATGTAATGTTCATTTGTGGAATTGCCATAACTTGAAAACCTTCGGACGAATTGACACCAAATTTGGACACAATACACCTATCAGGCCAACAAATGACAATCACTCATAAAAACACTGAAAAACACAGCAGAAGAGACTTAAAAAGCCAAAAAATAAAAATTACAACTCTTCGCAACACCACATATACACAAATATATGCACACACAAAACACATATACACTGACTGAGCCACAGCAACAAGTGGCAGGGGACAACTAGTAAAAAATAGGTATAGAAAACAAAGATGTACTGAAAATAAAGGAATTTTTTCAGAGTTCACAGTAAATACTGCACATTGTTGCTAACAGATTTGTGTAAATGGGAGGCATTCAGAAATCTTTTACTGTTGCTGATTTTTTCATGACCCCGGCATTGAGCTAAGAGGACACCATTTAGGGTGGGGACCTACAGTCTAAGAAGCTGTGAGTTAGAATACTGTTTGTTTGGGCATTTTTGATTTTGTTTTGGTAGCGTCAATTGCTAGTGCTATAGATTCATGGCGTGGAGTTTTACTAGAACTGCTAACAGCATTTCTGTTTACACCAATTGCTTGTTCGTTGTTGTTATGTACATTCAAGTCAACTTTGATGTACATTGACACTATTATCGAGTTTTCTTGGAAGCATTTATTCAGTGGAGATTGCCATTGCCTTCACAGGTTGAGAGTGTGTGACTGGTTCAGACTCACCTATAACTCTCTATGGTGGTGTGAGGATTTGAACCAAGGGGCCTCAGTCCAATCAGTATACATGAATCAGGGGCTCTGTTAGGTCCTATGTGCTGTTTTCTCGCATTTTTGAAAAAAAGTATTTTGCTTCCTCCATGTAGCCGCTGCCTAGCAAACCTTCGCCCTCTCTTAGACTCAGGAACCATGGGAACTAAAGGGCATACTGAGGTCATTCTTCCTCATCTAACAGAATCATACAACAGTCATGTAAGTGCTCCGTCCGTGAAAGCTGTTGCCTCAATTGATGTATTTGTAACTCTTCTTTATTTTCCCTGCAGTTGGAAAACTATCAAACTATCTTTAAAGTCAGTCATGCTTTCTATGCCCCCTTTGTGTTATGTTTGTGAGGCATTTCTGCAGATATGTTGTAGTTTCAAATATCTATTTTACGTGAATGTTTGGCTAAGCCCAGTGTGACCTACTGATTTTTTTTTTTTGTAAAACATTCAATGACATTTGCATGCTGTATCACACAATAGGTTTTGAAGACACTTCAGTTTCAAAAGTGATTTGTGAAATTCTTGGAAAGGTCAGATTTAGATGTTCATGGAAATTTAGCATGTTCTTAGAATATGCCAAGGTTGAATGGTTTTTTAAAAGAAAGAATCCACTGTAATATTTATACACAGAGAGATAAAATGAACATATCAAACCAGTATTATTTGGCTGTTAAACTAAGCTTAGGGATTCGATCCAGCCAGAAATAATTATGAAATAAGAATTTGGCAAGTAGTGTCCCTTGAAAGTGGAAAATTTAAATTTCAGACTTGTATTTCAGCTCCTAATTTTCCTTTGGAAATATATTTGTTTTCATGTACAATACATTAGAATTCTTCTGGAAACATATTCATAGAGCCCAAAGAGAGGAATTGTTCTGGTAGTTGAAATTACAATGAGAATGAACATAGGTCAAAAACAAAATCAAGTTGTTTTTTTTTTACATTCAGCGAGATCCACCTGAAGAGGAAATACCATTTTGTACATTGAAGTCTTTTCCAGCTGCCACAGAACACACAATACAGTGGGCAAGAGACAAGGTAAGTTTTATTAAGAACATAATAAATGGTGGGCATTATTCGGTAGGAAATTGACTTATAGAACACATGTTAAAGTGAATAGGAAATACACCTAAACTACAACCTTGCCCCAAATTTAAGGAGTGGGACAGATTTTATTCTGTTTTTTTCCCATATGGTGAAATTAGGTGGAAAGAATATTTAGTACTGTTTTCTTATTACTCTTTCTTTGTTTTAGTTTGAAAGTTCTTTTTCACACAAGCCTTCCCTGTTTAACAAATTTTGGCGGACCTATTCATCAGCAGAGGAGGTGTTACAGGTAATGGTCTATTTTATAATGTGTATGTGAAACTACTCTTATACTTTTACTGTGATAAATCTCACATCATGTTGGTAGTACTGATTGGTTTTCCTCTCACTTTCTGTTGTCCCATGTTTGTAACTAGGAGTTGGATGTAAATCATATGTTTGTAACTTGGGGACTGCCTTTATGTGTGTGCATCTGTGTAGGATATTAACAATTGCCATAGTACTCCACAATTACATGCTGTAGTCATAAAAGTGTGTTTGCTATCATGTGACATGGCCCTAGATTTGTCAACTTTTCCCTCCCTTTGTCCTTCCCTAGAGAATAAAGTCTGGAGAGAGTTTGGAAGGTTCTTTCCAGGTGATCAAGTGTCTCAGTAGAAGACCAAGAAGCTGGCCCCAATGTGTTGAATTAGCAAGACAAAAATTTGAGAAATATTTCAATCATAAGGTCAGTATATGAATCTGTTTTAATTGTAGTGGTTAATAATATTAAAGAAAACAAAGATAGAGTTTAGTTCAGTTTAAGGAACTCATATCTCCAAATCTGTATGTACATCACAAGAAGAAAGCAGTGTTTTTATTTTTCAGGCTAGCTGAAGTAACTGAAGTGTGTTAAATGTATTTATTTTTCCAGCCTTTGAATATTTCTGGTTTAATAGGTTTTCTTGCAAATGACCAGTTAGTTGAAAAACAACTGCTGGGAAATAATTTAACCAACACCACTTTCCTGTTTGTGACCTTCCATAAGATATCATTTCAATGGATGTAGTGTTTGGTTATTTAGTTAGTGCTTTTTAAAGTTTTCAGTCACCAAGAAGGGTCCCTGTAGAATATTTTTTAAATAACTGAGATCCAGACTGTTTAAGCCAGGGGTCCTTAGACTTTTTTAAACAGAGGGCCAGGTCACAGTTCCTCAAACTGTTGGAGGGCCGGATTATAATTTGAAAACATCATGAATGAATTTCTATGCATACTGCACATATTTTATTTGTAGTGCAAAAAAAAAAAAACACCTTAAAACAATTCAATAATTAAAATGAAGAACAATTTTAACAAATATAAACTTATGAGTATTTCAATGGGAAGTGTGGTCCTGCTTTTGGCTGATGAGATAGGATTGTTGTTGTTGTTGTTGTTGTTGTTGTTGTTGTTGTTGTTGTGTGCTTTCAAGTTGTTTCAGACTTCAGTTGATCCTGAGTGAGGGCTGGATAAATGACCTTGGAGGGCTGTAACCGGCCTCTTGGCCTTAGTTTAAGGACCCCTGGTTTAAGCCAACGAACATTTTCAGCATTTTAATGTGAGCATAGGAGTAAAACTGGAAATCCCTTTTTATGTGCTTCCCTTCTCTGGGACTTCTGTTCCTCAGGTTCTGGATGATACTTTTCACTCTTATCAATAGGCAGACCCATCTTCTAAAACAGTTTTTCTGGGAAGAGGCTTCCCTGTTTCCAACACTGGACTGGAAGAGAAAAATCAGTCTGATTTTTTAAGACCTTTAAAACAGGGCTTCTTAAACTTTTTCTATTTGTGTCCCCATTTTGTCCAAGTTTTTTACATGACCCCTGTTATATTGGTATATAAAATAAGTATACAAATCAACCATGTACTGATAATGAATCATAAAGAAGTTTATTTTAAAATAACACTTTGGTGTGTGTGTGTGTATAATTTTGCCTTTTATTAAAGATGAAAGCAATTTTGCATGCTAATGAGATGGATGTGCTTTTTTTATTTTTCTCAAAAAAATCGATCTTGGTGGAATATTTGATATTGCAGGACATAGAGCATCTTTATAATTTTTCATGCCATGATGGCATGGCTGGTTTACAGCCTCAAGTAACAGGATATACTCTGATGGCTCTCCTTTTTATTCCTGGATTCATATAAATGCCTGAAACAGCTACTAGGTGACAGGCTACATGAAGTTGTCAGGACCCCCAGATTCAGTTGGGGGCTCTCAAATAGGATCTTTTTTTAATCGTGTCAGTAGCGGCTTGAGATACTGCTAGTTACTTCTGGTATGAGAGAATTGGCTGTCTGCAAGGACGTTGCCCAGGGGACGCCCGGATGATTTGATATTTTTATCATCCTTGTGGGAGGCTTCTCATGTCCCCGCATGAGGAGCTGGAGCTGATAGAGGGAGCTCATCCGCCTCTCCCCGGATTCGAACCTGCGGCCTGTCGGTCTTCAGTCCTGCCGGCACAGGGGTTTAACCCACTGCGCCACCGGGGGCACCAATAGGATCATGACCCATAATTTAAGATGCTTTATGTTAGATAATTATGTTGGACAGTAAAGTATCCAAATCAGATGAACACAGTGCAGAAGTCTAGTCATTAGGAAGGGGTGAAAGAATCTTGCATTCTTAATGAATGTATTAGTCAAGCCACAAATTACTCATGAGCACAGTACTAGGATGATATTTCAAGTAAGACAGTGATGAAGTACAGAGTAGTTTGGTAGCCAGTCCTCCCTTTTGATCCCAGAATATTACTCAGCGCCACTGAATAGCACTCAGTAGTGTTCCTTATGCTTGGTTGATTTTTAAAAATGGTTCAAAACTCATTTCGGATGTAGGGGGCACTGGTGATTAGAATCTAAAGTCGCTTCTGAATTTTTTAAAAAAAATTTCAAAACTTTCCGAAACTTTGTTAATAGCAGACATGCATGCGCAGTAGGAAAAAAAAAACAGCACTGGCACTGGGGAAACTTCAGGGGATTCTCCCTCTCTCATTTTTAGACCAATTCTTATGAAACTTGCTTCAGTGGTAGAACACATGGACCACTGCTAGCTCACCAAATGTAATAACTTTTGACTTATCCATGGATTTTTGGCGAATTTTAAAATTGTTTTTATAAAGTTTTTATAGACTGATCCAGCTTCCCACTGGGAAGTGAATAAGTATAATTTCCGAATTGCTATCTGCTATAGAGTGGTTGGTGGCTCCCAGAGAGAGTGCACCACCCCCAGAACCGAGAGGTCGAGTTCGATCCCTGCCAGGGAATTTTTTTTAAAGTTTTTATAAAAAACATTTTTAATAATAAAATCTGTTCCTGGCTTGAAAGTGTAATTTCTTGTTTCATTGAATGGTCTTAACTTTGAAAGTAGTTGTTCTCCAAAAACTTTGTAAACAGAAATCATATACAGACTCCATGAAGGTACATCTAGATTGATTCCCTTCTTTCCTGCTGGGAAGTGAATAAGTATAACTTCCGAATTGCTATTTGCTACAGGGCAGTTGATGGCTCGGAGAGAGTGCACCGCCCCCAGAACCGGGAGGTTGCGAGTTCGATCCCTGCCAGGGAAAAATGGCAAAAAGGAAAAATCATGGCAAATGGTGGCAAATAATGGCAAACGCAGGGCATGGGGAGCCAAGGCACACTTTTTGCTGAAAAGGAAGGTTGGCTAATAAGCAGCAAGGCAGTATGGGAAATATAGTTTAACAGCAGGACCTTTTGCAGTCTCTACCATTGGGGGCCTGGCCTTCACAAACTACAACAATGGCTGTGCTTAGCCAGGCCCACCTCATCCCTCTTTACATCATCGGGGAAGGAAAACCATGCTATTTTAAAACTGTTTAGGCTCTACCAAAGTTGCATAATGATAGTAAAAATTAAAATAAGCTTGAGAGATATCCGAACATTATGGAATATTTTTTTTAAAAAGTAAGTGGTTGAAATTCGGATTTGCCCCTCCCACCTTTCCTGCATGGTTCAAAACTGCGTTGAAAGTCAAAAGTCTGAAGTTTTTTACGACTTTTAGGCTCTTCCAAATGAACCTATCCAACCTTAGTGATCCTGCTCAAGCTGGAGCAGCTTGCAGAAACATAAGTGTACCTTTAGTGTCATCATTCTCTGGAGTTTAGAACTGATGATGATTTTGCATAAGGAGGAATATTCCAGAGGGAATTCTAAAATGTTGTATTTCAATCACTAGTAAGAATGCCTTTTCCCTTTCTGTGAAAAATAAGCTAGATTTTAGCACCGCTTAATGGATTCAGAAGGTTCATTAATGTAACCGGATACTCATACATCAATTTATTTTTTCCTCATCTAGGCTCTCCAGTTACTTCATTCATTTCCCATTGATACACGATTGAAAGATGGCAGTAAGTGCATTAATTGATTCAGTACATTTTGACTGATGTATTGTGTCTCAAGTCACTACTTTCAAGAATTAAACATTGCTTTCTTTCAAATCAACAGGTTTGTTTTGGCAATCTCCAAAGAGGCCACCTTTTCCAATACAATTTGATTTTAATGACCCTTTGTAAGTAAATGCTAATATATATATATATATTACCTTACTGCAAGAAGCAAAGAGTTTTATGTATAATTTTTATGAAGTTATAGAATCAATCTAATACTGGTATACTTTGATTTTAATTATTATCCCCCCTGAGATTTTATGGTATGATTTTTAAAAATATACATCTATAAGTTATCAGAAGACTTGGCTTCCTATAGTCTTTAACATGTATTCTGATTCTTATGATCTAAAACCGATCCATGTACTGATCTCAAGTACTTTGGGAACTGTTTAACATTTCAACCTGCTATAATTAAAATGGGGACTACTAATAAAGGTACTTAGTCACAACAGCAAAGACAATACATGGAGAATGTTTCAGGTTTGATTTACTGCATACCTTAGAGCACATTCAAGAGAAAGCAGTTATTTAGTTTGCTTTGCAGTATGCACAATAGTTTAAAAAGCACCCCAATCTCTTGTTTGTTTTTTCTCTCTCCAGGCACTATAGCTTCATGCTGAGTACAGCAAAATTATTTGCAACCATTTACTGTGTCCCTTTTACAGAAAAGGTAAGTCTCCTGAAGAAGGATGCAACACTTCCACTCTTTGGACTTTTTCTCCCCCTCCCCCCCTTAAAGTTGATTATAACTTGTTTCTTTAGCATGTTGATCAGAGCATTTCCTTTGCTGGTTTAATAACCTTTTAAAGAATTTAACCATATCCAAAAATGCCTTGAAGCAGTTCTCAATCAATGTTTTGATTTATGTGATTATTTTTATTGTAAAACTTCAGATAAATTGTAATCTCAATTGTCTATCAGGTTCTTGTTAAGGTGGTGATGGCTGTTATTATTTTTGTATATATATATGCATCTTGCTTTTTTCTAATTGCAAAAACATTTGCAAAATGTAAGCTGTAAGTAATTTTAGATGCTGATTTGACATATATTGAAAGGGAGCAGAGAGAGGTTATATAGAGTATTATAGTATATATACGAAATATATATAATTAGTGACTGATTAAAGTAATATGAAAGCAACATAGATGTGTTAGGGTTAAATTATCCATGAGTATTACAACATGTTCACAGTTCAGATGTCATCGAAATCTAGGGTGTTTTCCCCTAGTTTTGATTATTGTATTTTTCTTTCATTTCAAATGGAGGCAAGGATTCTGCTCCTATGCTCAGTAAGATGTGAAAACATTTTTTTCTTACTGGGAAAGGAAGGCTTAATATTAAGGAGCATATGATATGTGGTTTTGCATAATTCACAACTGTCCCTGTTTTCAACAAAACACAGGATATGTTAGAAGAGACCATTTTAAAGATAATATCTGAGCTGAAGATTCAAGAGTTTCGACCTTCTAACAAGGTAAATTTAACAATTGAATAATGTATATCAGAGCTTCTAAGATTTTTTCACTGGATAATTTTTAAGTGACCCTGGGTATATATGTATAGAAAATAAGTATAAATTCAAACATTTACTGAAAGTAAATCAGCATTTGCAAGACTTGTTGAACAGGCTAATTTCCCCTTTTTGTAGAGCACAGATGAAACCTTTTGTGCAGAGTTCACTGTAAACACTACACATTGTGCTATCACATTTACTGTTGCCAAATTTTGGGACCCCAACATTGAGCTAAGGCAGTGGTTCTCAACCTTCCTAATGTCGTGACCCCCTTAATACAGTTCCTCATGTTGTGGTGGCCCCCAACCATAAAATTATTTTCGTTCATAACTGTAATGCTGTTACTGTTATGAATCGTAATGTAAATATCTGATATGCAGGATGTATTTTCATTCACTGGACCAAATTTGATTTTGCCATTTGGGAGTTGTAGTTGCTGGGATTTAAAGTTAACCTGCAATAAAAGAGCATTCTGAACACTACTACAGATGGAATTGAAACCAAACTTGGCACGCAGAACTCCCGTGACCAAAAGAACATACTGGATGGGTTTGGTGGCCATGGATCTTGAGTTTTGGAGTTGTAGTTCATCTACATCCAGAGAGCACTGTGGACTTCAAACAATGATGGATCTTGACCAAACCTAGCACGAATACTCAATATGCCCAAATGTGAACACTGATGGAGTTTGGAGAAAATAGACCTTGACATTTGGGAGTTGTGGTTGCTAGGATTTATAGTTCACCAACAATCAAAGAGCATTCTGAACCCCACTAATGATAGGATTGGGCCAAACTTCTCACACAGAACCCCCATGACCAATAGAAAATACTGTGTTTTCTGATGGTTTTGGTGACCACTCTCAACCTCCCTAGGGGTTCTGAACCCCAGGTTGAGAAACACTGAGCTAAGGGGACCCATTTGGGGTCAGGATCCACAGTTTCAAAAGTAGTGATGTATACCATCACTCTTTCCTTGATAGTGTGTAATTTGTTCTCTAGCCATGTTTTTTGCAAAGATTCTGAACCTTGATTCCTCTTTTTTCTAATTTCATACCAGATGGCATGATATCAACTTAATGGTTGTAAGCAATATAATATAGAGCCAGTGTGATATTGTGACTTGAGCATCTTATAACCCAGCATGGCCATGGAAGGCCATGAGATTATCCTGGGCAAGTCAAATTCTCTCAGTCTCATAGGACATCCTTTTGAGAAAATATTATCAAGAAAATCCCCTGATAGGTTCACTTTAGAAACAACCATAAGTTGGTAACAGCTTGAAGTCACACAAAGGCAACCAGGATTATAATAAGATAAGCTAAATGAAGTCTGTTGAGTGTTTGAAAGCATAATATGAAAGAGTTTTATCTATAACGACAATTCTTCTTGATGGTTATATGGTGTGGAAAAAGCATCTAATCTAACCTGCATGAATAAATTAGGGAGCTTTTTGAAGGGAAAATATTAATATAGTACCAGCTGCTTTATTTACTATTAATGCCTTTCAGGTTGTGCAAACAGATGAAACTGTAAGGAAACCAGACCCCATTCCAGTCAGTAGTGAGGATGAAAGGAATGCTGTTACTCAATTGGAAACTGCCATTTTTGCCAATGAAGCTACAAAGGGTAAATACTAATTATTACAAATATTTTTATTTCGCTTATTTAGGGCACTTAGGGGAATGAATGTCAGCCAATTGTTATATTGTGTTTACTGTATTGATGGGTGTGACCTCATGTAAGCCGCCCCGAGTCCCCTTGGGGGAGATGGAGGCGGGGTATAAATAAAGTTGTTGTTGTTGTTGTTGTTGTTGTTGTTATTATTATTATTATTAACTTTATTTGTACCCCGCTAGCATCTCCCGAAGGACTTGATGCGGCTTACAAAGGCCAAGGCCTCAAAACACAACATAACAATACAAAACCTAAAGCAAATTAAAAACAGTTAAAGCAATATTAAACAAGAAACAATAAACAATACATCAAGGCACTATAAAACTGGGCCGGGCCAGAGTAATGGGTACAGGATTAAAAGTGCTGATGTGACAGGTGATATGTAAGGATTATAGGGTGAGTGCAGTGAGCGGTGTGCAGTAATCTTAAATCTAATAAAGTGCTTCTGGGACTTGTTATTGGAGTTTCCTATTCCGGAAGGGCACATCGGAACAGCCAAGTCTTCAAGTTCTTTCTGAAGACTGCCAATGTAGGGGCCTGTCTAAGATCTTTTGGGAGGGTGTTCCAGAGTCGGGGGACCACCACAGAAAAGGCCCTGTCTCGCGTCCCCACCAAACGTGCCTGAAACATTCACACCTACCTCCAACAGACAAGAGTTCTTCCTCCTACCCTGGATATTCCACAGATATATAAACCCCATTTTCCTAGTTTCCAACAGACCTCACCTCTGAGGATGCCTGACATAGATGCAGGTGAAACGTCAGGAGAGAATGCGTCTGGAACATGGCCATACAACCCAAAAAAGTTTAAACAACCCAGTGATTCCAGCCATGAAAGCCTTCAACAACACTTAAACCATAAAATAAATACAGCAACAAAAGATCCATTTTTTAAAAAAATGAATACCAAACTGGCTCTGGTTTGTTTCATTATGATCCCTTTATTCATTTCTAATAGTATCATGGGTCAATAATACTTGCAAGTCAAATATTCCGGCTCCTTTAAGGAAGACAAAATCAAGTCAATAAGACATGTTGACTTATTTAGAACTGATGGACTGCCCTTGGATAATGATTTAAATTGGTGACCGCTGACTATTTGTTGTCTGTTTTTATATTGTTTATATGGTTTTATACTGTTTATACTGTTTTATATTGTTGTTGTTATTACATTGCTGTTAATTGTATATTTATGTTTTGATGTGGGCGCCTTCGGGTGCCACTTTGTTAGCCGTCCTGAGTCCCTCTGCGGAGGTTGAGAAAGGATGGGATATAAAAGCCATAAATAAATAAGTCTTATAGTAAACTCCTGTAATATGGCTAGGAACTAGGCCTATTCAATGCATGGTTCTAAATGGTTCTAAAGTACTTACAAAACTAAAATTCTGGTGGTGAAAATTTCAGAACTCTAAGAAAACTTTCAAAATTTAACTATTATTTCATTATTGGTGATTTTTATCACAGAACCAATTAGGAACTGCCATTTATAATGAAATTTTGAGAGTTTTCTTAGAGTTCTGAAATTTTCACCACCAGAACTTTAGTTTTGTAAATACTTTAGAACCATTTAGAACCATGCATTGAACAGGCCTACTAGGAACCCCTATTCTGAACAGTGATTTTTTTTGTTCCTGAACAGATGACTTACAAATGAAAGAGCTTTCTTTTGAGAAGGATGATGACAGTAATGGTCACATAGACTTCATAACAGCAGCTTCCAATCTGAGAGCCAGAATGTACAATATAGAGCCAGCGGATAGACTCAAAACAAAACGGATCGCTGGAAAAATTATTCCAGCCATTGCAACTTCTACAGCAGCTGTGTCTGGGTTGGTGAGTGAATGAGACTTCTTTTTCTTTCTTGAACATAAAGATACTATTTTTATGTGATTTAAAAATGTTTTTATGTTTGTATTTTAATTTTTTTTATTTTTTTTTTGTGAACTGGGAGGCAATAAAAAATGTTTCAGATAAATTGATAGATAGCCTCTCTGTTTAGGTCTCAATTGACTAAAAGTTGTAGGTAGGAAAGCTTATTCGCTAATTAAAAATCCTCGAATCATAATGAGACTCAGTCCCATGTGGCTCCCAAAACCCATGTGGATCTAAGCGTATATTTTAACAAGGTGTCAATGGCGTAATTCACAAAGCTGTCAAAACCTCCCCCTCAGTCCAGTCCTCGTGACCATTTGGGAATCCTATGAGGCTGCTAAATTCATCAGCCTCGGCCAAGTGGCCTCATTCATGCTGCCTGCCTCCCTGATGTGCTACGACTGTGCTGTTGAGTGTATTACATTCAAGAGCAAATCTATTTTTTTAATGTGCACCTTCAAAATTGAGGTGCGCATTACATTCGATGGCACATTATACTCAAGTAAATACAGGTAGCTGTTAATAAATAGAGAATAGTCAGTTGGTTTTCCTGAGACCAAGCATGACTTTCTTGCTGTAATATAAACGCTGCAGTGAGCAGCTTGCTATAAGATCCATTTGGGATTACCGTTTGTGGCTGTCTAGTCATAACATTCATCTGAATATTCATCTGGCTTTGGGTACAGATTTCATCTTGTGTTGAAAGTAGGAGCTGCAAGAAATTCAATAAGTACGTTATGACTGAGCAAATGGAAACATTTGATACAGTTTTGCCTGGGAAGTCTTCTGAGACACAGCAGTGTTTTCGGCTCAAGTTTGATAGGATTTCTGATTCCTTTCTACAAGCTGTTTTTATGCCATTTGTAGCCTGTAGATCATGTTGCATGGTACATAGTTCAGAATATGCTGCAGCCCATACAGTTGTATGCTTGCAATATAAGGTATTTCAAAATGTTTAGGTGTGTACCTCTCCTCCTTCAGGTTGCTTTGGAATTGATCAAAGTAGTGGGTGGCTACCCTTTCCAAGCCTACAAGAACTGTTTCTTCAACTTGGCCATTCCAATCATTGTCTTCACAGAAACAGCTGAAGTGAGGAAAACGGAAATAAGGTAAATGGATTTAAGCGTATATTTTAACAAGGTGTCAAGCTCATGCTAATATGTTGCGTTTCTTTTGTTGTTGTTCATTCGTTCAGTCGTTTCCGACTCTTTAAACAGAGGCTGGATGGCCATCTGTCAGGGGTGATTTGAATGCAATAATCCTGCTTCTTGGCAGGGGGTTGGACTGGATGGCCCTGAGGTCTCTTCCAACTCTTTGATTCTATGATTCTGTCATTCTTTGTGACCTCATGGACCAGCCCACGCCAGAAATCCCTGTCAGCTGTCACCACCCCCTGCTCCTTCAAGGTCAATCCAGTTACTTCAAGAATGCCATCCATCCATCCATCTTGCCCTTGGTCGGCCCCTCTTCCTTTTTTTCCTTCCATTTTCCCCAGCATCATTGTCTTCTCTAAGCTTTCCTGTCTCCTTATGATGTGGCCAAAGTACTTCAACTTTGTCTTTACTATCCTTCCCTCCAATGAGCAGTTGGGCTTTATTTCCTGAAGTATGGACTGGTTGGATCTTCTGGTGGTCCAAGGTACTCTCAGCACTTTCCTCCAGCACCATAGTTCAAAAGCATCTATCTTCCTTCGCTCAGCCTTCCTTAATGTCCAGCTCTCACATCCGTAGGTAACTACGGGGAATACCATTTCTTTAACTATGTGGATCTTCGTTGAAACACTAGATAGGCTTTAGGAAATTCTTAGAGTTTCCTATTTCCTTCACCAACATAATCAGAGGCAGTGATACCTTGAAAATAGCTCCTCCTTTTCTTTCCAGGCAGGGTTCAAGTTAATATCATGTCAGCTTCTTTCTTTTCATGGGAATTCACAGACAAGTCATATTTGTGACTTTTTGTCGCATGGAAGCCTTCCTTTATCACTTTGTTATGTATTTCATGGTAATATAAAATGTGTTACAACAAGAAGTTTTGGCTACAAATTGGTTTTACATTCATGCTGTGTTTCAGAAATGGAATATCATTTACCATCTGGGATAGATGGACTATTTATGGGAAAGAAGATTTCACGTTGTTGGATTTCATCAATGCTGTCAAAGTAAGACATTTATTTCAACTCTACTACAAACACAGTTGGAGAACATACTATTGCAGTGTCTTGTTCTCATTTCTTCTAATTAGTTCATTTTGTGTATAGAACAGCTCAAAATAATTGCGTGTTTGTGTGTTACAGGAAAAATATGGAATTGAACCCACAATGGTGGTGCAAGGAGTTAAAATGCTCTATGTGCCTGTAATGCCAGGTCATGTTAAAAGATTAAAGTTGACGTGAGTATTTACTAGATATTAAAGGTGGCATAGTCTAGGTCAGAATTCTGTTATATAAGTTGGATTTTTTTTAAACTTGAGAATGGTGTGCAAAGTGCTAGATCATATGTAACAAGTTTCTTCTGAGAACCTTTTTGATGCATGACACTTATCACTGAAGATCAGCTCTTGAATGGGGGAGATCTTTCTGTTGACCAATATAGTGTTGCTTTTACGGCAGGAGATAAAAAGGGGCCCAAATGACACTGAATTGAGGGATCATTCAAAATCGTTTTCTCTTGTTTTGCCAGTCAGGTCTTGCTAGTCAGATCTCATTGGCTCATTGAATTATTGCTGGTCTTAGTCACTTACGCAGACATTCAAATAAATTCCGACTAACAAAACAGATAAATTTCAAAATTCATTTGATGATTTAAAACAACAGCAATCCCTTAAAAACATAGTTTTGCTTCCCTCTCATCAAGCAAGTCTGGTCTGGAAAATTAGTTCCTTGCTATCTCTTAACTTTTTCCTGATAGGATTGATCTACCTGAAGGGTTATAAATGCCCTCTCTTGATTAGAGGGCTGGTGTATTTACTCCTTTAACATTAATTAATATACTTATATATTGATTTAATTGATAATTGCCATAGTTGCTTATAATGGTTTGTTCGATTCCGTAGTGATTGTGCTGCTTTTTTAAAAAAATGACTTGTGTTTGTTTCTAGTCTTTAGGGAAACTTGGTTCTTTTTATGTATTTTCTGTTGTTTCATTTTTCAATCCTGTTTTGTAGGATGCAAAAGCTTGTGAAACCAGCAGCAAATAAGAAATATGTGGACCTGACAGTGTCCTTTGCTCCAGAAACGGATGGTGATGAAGACTTGCCAGGGCCACCTGTTAGATACTATTTTGCCCATGAAGATAACTGATGCATTGTACTGTTCCATGTTGTAGCAGGACCACCCACAAAAGGAGTGCAGCACCTTCCTTAAAAATGGTACTATATACTTGGCAAAGCCTTAATTCAGAAACAAATAATGGAAGTCCTTTCTGTGGAGCTCTGTAGCAAATTGGATTTGCCGTTTACCTATCTGTAGTATTTTTGTAGTTACCCAAATCTAAGGGGGACTTGATATTTGCTGGAACGTATGGGTCTTTTTGAAGAAAACACATTTCTCTCAACCTCTGCAGGAAAGACCAGAATAGGAAATACACAATCTGCATTGCAGTAACAAATCATTAAATGAGGTGGCAAAAAAGAAAAGATATAAAGAAACTGCCAATTACACCACCATCAAACTTACACCATCCTCAGACTTCAGTGCTAAGTCCAGAGACAGCATCCTGATGATGATCCATTGCAATAAAATGATTTATCATTGTTTTTGTTCTCTTCCGGAGCTATTAACACATGAGGCATGAAAATGATGTTGTGGAAAGATTTACAGTGGAACAAAGCTGAGCTTTCTGAAGTTCTGGCTTTCCCCCCCTCTGATAAACAACCCCCTCCCTTTTCTGCTTATGCCAGAAGCAACACAGCATGAAGGAATACAAATTCTTATGTAAACATCTCCTAGTATGGACATGCTTTTTCAATGATGCTTTTCCATGCTGATCTAGAGAAGATGGGTAATTGTTCTTGTGTATGAAGAGAATAGCTAAGACAGGCATGGGCAAACATCGGCCTTCCAGGTGTTTTGGACATGGCAGCTGTTAGGAATTGTGGGAGTTGAAGTCCAAAACACCTGGAGGGCCGATTTGCCCATTCCTAATACATTTGTCTGAAGTAAACATTTTAGTAGATGGACATCACACCTGCCACATCCTTCAGGAAACACTGGAATTTGTAATGTCTGATGTATAGCCATGGGCCTATAATACTCACAAATGGCCAACTTAGCCACTTGGTGGAAGCACTATGTACTTGTAAACTTTAATCAGCCCTAATTGGATAAAATGAATGGGATGTGATTTTATTTTCGCTGCAGAATGGTTAGGTGGGTAACGTTGGACATTAAATTGGCATGAAAAATTAACCTCATAAACTTCATCTCTGAAGTGAACTGCTATGAGGCAATTTTCTGTATTGGAAGAGGAAAGTAGATGAGAAACTATAAAGTTCAGAGAATGGTCCCATTCATTCTCGTGTAAAAACTGGACATTTGCTATATACCATTCTTATAGGGAGAATTGGATTTAGACACCTACATTTAAATAGTCCTTGTACTGAGAGGGGAAGGAAAGAAATTTAAGCTATAGGCATTTGTAGAAAACAGTACAATACAAAGGGTTTTTTTCCTTTGCTTGCTCTCTAATGTGTCTAGCCCTTGATGAATGAGTTGTTGCCTTGCCACCCAACCCCTTTTTCTAAGAGAGAAAATCAAGTCTGCTTCCAACATCATTATCTTTAGAGGCCGAAGAAACACTCTGTATCTACAGTGTGCTGGACAGTTGTAAAATATTTTGTTTTGACAAAGGTGGTTAATATTTTCCCAAACGTTTGTGGTCATTTACAGATCATGACAAGATTATTTGTGTTTCCCTGTTTCTCTTGGTACCCAACCACCAAAGATGTATTGTTTTGTGAGCTGCAGTCCATCTCTTAAGTTATTCCAATATTTGGGACTAAATCTTGAAATGTAGTTACTGTTTGTAAACTGTATTATATTTTATTAAATACAGTTTGTTATAATTTAGTAGATTTTAAAACTGGCTGGTTAGTTTTGTATACCATTTTAAAAGAAAGAATTGCTGTAAGAGAGACATTGACATCCTCCCTTACGGCAACGTATTTCAAATGGCACTTTGATTGAGTTGGTTTTATCGTTTGTTCTAAATAGTTCTGGCTAAAGCAAACAACTATTATCACCAAATGGCTTGGGGACTGTAATAAAAAAAAAGAATTGCTGTCTTGACCTTCCAGTGGGATACAATGAATTATTTATTTTTTACAATCTGATCATTATGACTTGTGCTAGCATTTCTTTTTTTTCCTCTTTATGACTACTAATCAGTGTTCAAAAGTAGCAACAAGACTGTCTTTGCATTTGCAAAACTGCATTTGATGTCATACATCAGTTGGCTTGAAACTGAAGAACCCTTTCCAGTGAGTCTTCCTCGCAGATCTTATAATACCAAAACACAAGAGGGCAGTCTCAACACAAAAGTCTCCCTACAGGTTGTGCACTTAGTTTATCTTGGGAATTATTCTGCTCACCCATGTAATTTCAAAGAGTGCTCTCAATTCAAAGAAAAATATATACAAAGGTTGTATAAATGTCCACAGTTTGTGTTTATCTCTGAATTTCTTTCAGTACATTTTGAAGGACTGGTTTTTATTTGTGTACACAAATTATGATGTATAGCCTACAGTTATGAGAATGGCTTTTTGTCCTTTTCATATTAAATAATTTGAAAACAGCAGCAAAACGTGTGCAGCCTATCATTAGTTCACTGCAAGATGAAGCACATATATGTGAAAATTATTAATGTTTAATGCAGAGAGTGAGAACTATGAAGTTATGAAAGTTTATGAAATGACCATCTCCTGGTGTTTAGCATTACAACTTTTATATAGTGACTAATATATATACCTAAATGGATCAGTAAACTAAATCGATCAGTACAACCAGAGATATGTCAGTATACCATCGGAAGATGGAACTCCCAGTTTGGAAGATGGTCAAAATGTTACTGGGGAGGAACAGAGGATAAGTTCAACTGGCCCTAGATGTGATGACACAGCTAGCTATTTTTAAATTATATTTTGATGTTGTTTATTGTTTATGATTTGACCAGTTTTGTTACGTCTTGTTGGGATTGAATGTTTGCCATTTTTTTTTCTGTTGTTCACCGCCCTGAGTCCCTTGCCTCATGTGATGAAATCCTAAGACATAGCCCACCGTCTGAAGTAAGATGGGCTTTAGAAATCATAATCAACTCTCAAGTTTCATTATGAACAGTGACAATAAAGCACACTTACACTATAAATCTAGCAATTATCTCTTTCCTCACCATTCTGCATCCAGAAAACAGAGGAGAAAGAAAGTAACTAGGAACTTTAGTACCCTCACTAAATAAGGGAAGCTTTGGAATTCTTCAAAGTAAGCCGTGACAAATGAACTGATATAAAATCAATATGGGAGTTGTCAATATATGACTAGTGTTTTGCAAGTTATTGATTGGAAAGACCACAATAATTCAGAGTTAACAAATGTCAGCTAGCCATAAAAAGTTAATCCGTCTGTGGTTCTATTTGTGTAAAATATAATTATAAATAAATTGATTATTGAGTGGTGTGAACAATATTAAATACAGAAACACTTATTTATAATGATAGAAGAGGTCTCTACTTACATATTTACAAAGACAGTATGAAACCATGTTAAGTACTATATTTCTGTTACCAACAATGCAATAGACTGACAATTATAAGTAACAGTTATTTACAGTTATAGAGAAATAAATCCTGTAATGTTCCATAGGGTCTATTGAAAAACATGTGGCATAATGTAAAATAAACCATGTAAAGGTCACATTGGATCAGCCCACACACTGCCTTGCCAGATAAAGAAAATATGCCACGCAAATGAACAATAAAAAACACGAAATTTCCTCTTCTTAATTCAGAACATACGTCTAAAATGATCAGTTGGATCAACTCACTAAATGTCCTTTCAGAGAGATCTAAAATTGTATTTTTGACCATATGAGAAGCCTTCTTTTCAGCAGAATCAAATCAGTCTGTCTCTGTTTCTCTTATCTAACACCTGCATAGTTCAAGCCTCTAAAGTGCAATAGTATCCAAAAGTTCCAGGCTCAGCCATCACCCCATGCATTGCCCAACCAATTGGCTTTGTGCACTTTATTTTGAGTTGACACTCACTGATTGCTTGCATGCTTCAATAAAACATGCATAGGACTATAACTTGAGTTAATTAAGGTATATCTTTGCAAGAAGTATTTGACTGCAAGCTGAATTACCGTAAGTTATCTTATACTGTACTTCAACAAAGATCCCTAGGGGAGTTCACATTTTGTCATTTGGGATTTGTAGTCACTGGGATTTATAGTTCACCTACAATCAAAGAGCATTCTGGACTCCACCAACAATGGAATTGAACCAAACTTGACACACAGTTCTCCCATGACCAACAGAAAATCCTGGAAGGGTTTGGTGGCCATTGACCTTAAGTTTGGGAGTTGTAGTTCACCTACATCCAGAGATCACTGTGGACTCAAACAATGATGGATCTGGACCAAACTCTAAACGAATACTCAATACGCCCAAATGTGAACACTGGTAGAGTTTGGGGGAAATAGAATATTGACATTCGGGAGTTGTAGTTGTGGGATTTATAGTTCACCTACAATCACAGAGCATTCTGAATCCCACCAACGATAGAATTGGGTCAAACCTCCCACACAGAGCCCCCATGTGGGCCACAGTAACGCGTGGCAGGGGACGGATAGTCTATATAAATAAAAATGTAATGTTAGTTTGTGGGATTAACATAACTCAAAAACCACTGGACGAATTGGCACCAAATTTGGACACAATACACCTATCAAGCCAACATGTGACCATCACCCATAAAAACACTAAAAAACACAGAAGAGACTTAAAAGACTAAAAAATTAAAAATACATCACAACGCATGCGCATAACCACTTATATATACGGAAACACACATATATACACACAAAGCACATATACACAGACTGGGCAACAGCACCGCGTGGCAGGGGATAGCTAGTAAGTTTATATTTGTTAAAATTGTTCTTCATTTTAATTATTGTATTGTTTTTAAGTGTTTTTGCACTACAAATCATGTATGACAAGCGGAGTGCCACAGGGTTCCGTCCTGGGCCCGCTCCTGTTCAACATCTTTAATAATGACTTAGATGAAGGACTAGAAGGCATGATCATCAAGTTTGCAGACGACACCAAATTGGGAGGGATAGCCAATACTCCAGAGGACAGGAGCAGGATTCAAAACGATCTTGACAGATTAGAGAGATGGGCCAAAACTAACAGAATGAAGTTCAGCAGTGACAAATGCAAGATACTCCACTTAGGCAGAAAAAACGAAATGCAAAGATACAAAATGGGGGACAATGCCTGGCTCAAGAGCAATACGTGTGAAAAAGATCTTGGAGTCCCTGTGGACAACAAGTGAAACATGAGCCAACAATGTGATGTGACGGCAAAAAAAGCCAATGGGATTTTGACCTGCATCAATAGGAGCATAGTGTCTAGATCTAGGGAAGTAATGCTACACCTCTATTCTGCTTTGGTTAGACCACACCTGGAATATTGTGTCCAATTCTGGGCACCACAATTGAAGAGAGATATTGACAAGCTTTGTATTTCTAGGTGCAAAGATTACTGCAGATGCAGACTGTGGCCAGGAAATCAGAAGACGCTTACTTCTTGGGAGGAGAGCAATGTCCAGTCTCGTTAAAATAGTAAAGAGTAGAGACATCAGACTGGCAACAAAGATCCGCCTAGTCAAAGCCATGGTATTCCCTGTAGTAACCTACGGATGTGAGAGCTGGACCTTAGGAAGGTTGAGCGAAGGAAGATAGATGCTTTTGAACTGTGGTGTTGGAGGAAAGTTCTGAGAGTGCCTTGGACTGAGAGAAGATCCAACCAGTCCATCCTCCAGGAAATAAAGCCCGTGCTACTGGAGGGAAGGATATTAGAGACAAAGTGAAGTACTTTGGCCACATCATGAGGAGACAGCAAAGCTTAGAGAAGACAATGATGCTGGGGAAAGTGGAAGGTAAAAAGAAGAGGGGCCGACCAAGGGCAAGATGGATGGATGCATCCTTGAAGTGACTGGACTGACCTTGAAGGAGCTGGGGGTGGTGACGGCCGACAGGGAGCTCTGGCGTCGGCTGGTCCATGAGGTCACGAAGAGTCGGAGATGACTGAACGAATGAACAACAAAATGACAAGCTGGAATGTGTCCAGAGGAGGGCGACTAAAATGATCAAGGGTCTGGAGAACAAGCCCTATGAGGAGCGGCTTAAGGAGCTAGGCATGTTTAGCCTGAAGAAGAGAAGGCTGAGAGGAGATATGATAGCCATGTATAAATATGTGAGAGGAAGCCACAGGGAGGAGGGAGCAAGCTTGTTTTCTGCTTCCCTGGAGACTAGGACACGAAACAATGGCTTCAAACTACAAGAAAGGAGATTCCATCTGAACATGAGGAAGAACTTCCTGACTGTGAGAGCCGTTCAGCAGTGGAACTCTCTGCCCCGGAGTGTGGTGGAGGCTAATTCTTTGGAAGCTTTTAAACAGTGGCTGGATGGCCATCTGTCAGGGGTGATTTGAATGCAATATTCCTGCTTCTTGACAGGGGGTTGGACTGGATGGCCCACGAGGTCTCTTCCAACTCTTTGATTCTATGATTATTTTTAAAAATCAAACATTTATTGATAATAAGTCAGCATTTGCAAGACTTCTTAACAGGCTGATTTTCCTTTTCATGAAGTACAGTTGAAGCATTTTCTGCAGAGTCCATTGTAAACCCTGAACATTAACAGATTTGTGGAAATGTCTAGGGAGTATTCAGAAATCTTTTACTGTTGCAATTTTTTGTGCTCTAAACAACATCATTTGAGTTCGATATAATATGCAAATGCATTCAATGGTTCATTATGATTTGATTTTACTGGAATAACGGCCATCTGTCGGGGGTGCTTTGAATGCAATTTTCCTGCTTCTTGGCAGGGGGTTGGACTGGATGGCCCATGAGGTCTCTTCCAACGCTTTCATTCTATGATTCTATGAATCTGGGAATGTGGTGGAGGCTTTTCAACAGAGGCTGGATGGCCATCTGTCAGGGGTGATTTGAATGCAATATTCCTGCTTCTTGGCAGGGGGTTGGACTGGGTGGCCCATGAGGTCTCTTCCAACTCTTTCATTCTATGATTCTATGTGCAGTGTGCATAGGAATTCATTCATGTTTTTTCAAATTATAATCTGGCCCTCCAACAGTTTGAGGGACTGTGACCTGGCCCTCTGTTTAAAAGTTTGAGGACCCCTCGTCTACACTGACCATAAAATGTAGCTTTCAAACTGATTTTTGAAAGCCGCAGTTTGCCTCAAACTGCAATAAATGGTCAGAACTGTAGATGAGGCCTAAGAGCTGGACTTTCGCTAAATGAACCCGCAAGCTCACATTCAACATGAGTCTATTATTATTGAGTCTATGGTAATCAGCCTTTCCTTCCGCCCGTCTTTAGCCGCGCGCACGCTCATCCACGCGCGCATCTTTTTGTGACGGTAACAGAGACCTGGCCAATCAGCGGCCTTCTCTCCGGAGCGCGCGCGCGCTTGAGGGAGAGGTAAAGTTTTGAAATTATTTCCAGGGAGAGGCGTGACGAGAAGGCCGGTGTTTTGTCCTTTTGCGTCGGATGTGGATCAGAGGAATGCCGCAATGGTAACACCAAAGAGAAGGCGTTTCCCCGCCTTGACATTAATTGATAACAAAAGCTGTCAAACGTCAGGGTACATTTATATTGTAGGAATTGTGGTTATTTTGGGGTTGTTGTAGGTTTTTAGGGCTGTATGACCATGTTCTAGAGGCATTCTCTCCTGACGTTTCGCCTGTATCTATGGCAAGCATCCTCAGAGGTAGTGAGGTCTGTTGGAAGTAGGACAATGGGTTTATATATCTGTGGAATGACCAGGGTGGGGCAAAGAGCTCTTCTCTGCTGGAGCTAGGTGTGAATGTTTCACCTGACCACCTTCATTAGCATTTGAAGGCCTGGCAGAGCCTGGGAAAATGTTCTGTTGAGAGGTGTTAAGATGTGCCTGGTTGTTTCCTCTCTGCTGTTTTGCTATTGTAATTTTTGAGTTTTTTAATACTGGTAGCCAGATTTTGTTCATTTTCATGTTGTTGTTCATTCGTTCAGTCGTTTCCGACTCTTCGTGACCTCATGGACCACTCCACGCCAGAGCTCTCTGTCGGCCGTCACCACCCCCAGCTCCTTCAATGTCAGTCCAGTCACTTCAAGGATGCCATCCATCCATCTTGCCCTTGGTTGGCCCTCTTCCTTTTGCCTTCCACTTTCCCCAGCATAATTGTCTTCTCTAGGCTTTGCTGTCTCCTCATGATGTGGCCAAAGTACTTCAACTTTGTCTCTAGTATCCTTCCTTCCAGTGAGCAGCCGAGCTTTATTTCCTGGAGGATGGACTGGTTGGATCTTCTCGCAGTCCAAGGCACTCTCAGAACTTTCCTCCAACACCACAGCTCAAAAGCATCTATCTTCCTTCGCTCAGCCTTCCCTAAGGTCCAGCTCTCACATCCGTAGGTGACTACAGGGAATACCATGGCTTTGACTAGGCGGATCTTTGTTGCCAGTCTGATGTCTCTACTCTTTACTATTTTATCGAGACTGGACATTGCTCTCCTCCCAAGAAGGAAGCGTCTTCTGATTTCCTGGCCACAGTCTGCATCTGCAGTTCATTTTCATGGTTTCCTCCTTTCTGTTTTTTTTTTTAATAATAATTCTTTATTGCAGTTTTCTTAAATAAATGTACAGCCGGTTGGGGTTAAGAAAATAGGGTGGGGGGTTAAGCAGTGAGGGAGAGGGGCGGGCATATTTAGATGGGAAGAAAAGGGAGAAAAAAGGGGGGGGGGAAGTGTGAGGAAGATAAAAGTGACAGTTAAAAAAAAAAGAAGGTTCAAGAGATTTCTTTCTTCATTCCGAGTGACTTCCAGGGTTCTTTGGGGGAGGTCTTATCCTTTTCTTTCGTTTCTTCCTCTCTTTTCTCTCTGTTTGCATTGTCCTCTTGTCTTATTTCGACTAGTATATGGTTTATGTCTGTGTCCTTGTCCACCGACTTCTCCTCTATTTCTTTTTCATGTCTTCATTGTATTTCTTCTATATTCTATTTGCACTCTGCTTGGTTTTATTCTTAGATTTAATTGTTTGGTTTTAAATATTCATTAAATTTTGTCCAGTCAGTTTCAGATTCATTTATACCTTTATTTCTTTGAATGATAAAGCTCAGCCTGTCCATGTTCCTGACTTCCATTACCTTTCTTTTCCAATCCTCTATCTTTGGGACTTCTTTCTTCCTCCATAGTCTTGCCAAACAGATCCTTGCCGCTGTTGTTGCCAGGAATAGTAGTTTATCCGTATTTTTGTCTATTTTTACATTTGTTGTAATACCCAATAAGAATATTTCCGGTTTTAGGGGAATTTTGATTTTCAGAACTTTCTGTAAAGTTTCTTGAATCTCCCTTGTGTTTTTGCACTGCCACCACATATGGAACATCGTTCCCTCTATTGATCCGCACTTCCAGCATTTTGAGTTTGCCTTTTTGTAGTATTTATTTATTTTTGCAGGAGTCATGTACCATCTGAAGAAGACCTTAAGCCAGTTTTCTCTCATATCGTGGGCTTTTAGATATTTCAACTTTTTCTTCCATATCGTTTCCCATTCTTCTGTTCCTATTGTTCTGCCCACATTTCTGGCCCATTTCACCATACACTCTTTTATCTCTTCTTCTTCAGTACTCCATCTGAGTAATTCTTTGTATATTTTGGATATCTTTTTCTTCTCCGAGTCCCATATTCTGTCCCATCTATTTCCTTGCTAAACCTAGACTATAAACTGTTCAGTAATATACTAGCAGAAAGATTTTAAAAATTCCTTATAAATTGGATTAAAGAGGAACAATCAGGTTTTCTCCCGGGAAGAAATCAATGTGAAAATGTAAGAACGATAATAGACCTTATCGAGTACTATGAAAAAAACATACAAAAGGAAGTGATGTTTCTCGCAGTCGACGCAGAAAAAGCGTTTGATAAAATTAATTGGAATTTTTTCAAATTACTATTTAGGGAAATGGATTTAGGATTTTACTTAATAAATTCAATTGAGGCAATATATAAAACACAGTATGCAAAAATAATAATAAACGGGCAGGAAAGCAGTGAAATCGAGATTCGGAAAGGAACGCGACAAGGATGCCCTTTATCCCCCCTAATATTTATATTAACACTAGAAGTATTATTAAACAGTATAAGGGACAATGATGAACTTAGGGGGGCAAGAGTAAACGGATACTCTTACAAATGTAGGGCATTCGCAGACGATTTAATTTGTATCATTGAAGAACCAAACAAAAACCTAAATAAATGGATGGAAACAATTGAGGAATTTGGATCAGTGGCAGGGTTCAAACTAAATCTAGAAAAAACTGAAGCAATAACAAAGAATATATCAAAGAAAAAATTAGAACAACTAAAAGAAAACAACAGAATAAAAATCGTCCCGAAACTCAAATATCTAGGAATTATCATCACACCTAAAAATTCACAGCTACTACAAAACAATTACATAAGAATCTGGAAAGAGATAAGAAAAGATTTAGAGAAATGGAAATTTCTGAAAATCTCACTCTTGGGGAGGATAGCCTGTATTAAGATGAATGTGCTTCCAAGAATGTTATTTCTTTTTCAAAATTTACCGATAATAAGGAACCAAAAAAATATAAAAGAATGGAACAAAGATATTAGGAAATTTATATGGCTCAACAAAAAACCGAGAATAAACTACAAAAACTTAACAGACGAGAGGGAAAGAGGGGGACTGGCTCTCCCCGACCTGGGCCTATACGCAGAAGCCTGTGCATTAGCCTGGGCGACAGATTGGATCAAACTAAAAAAGGATAAAATCTTAAACCTAGAAAGCTTTGACCTTCGCAGGGGATGGCATGGGTACATTGGCTATGAGAAACTAAAAATTGAAAAAAACTTCGGTAACCATTATATAAGGGCGGCAATTATTAGAACTTGGAATAAATATAAAAAGAGGATGTACAACAAAATACCAACATGGATCTCCCCACTAGAATCATGTCAGAGAAAGGAATTAGGATGGATAAAGTGGCCAAATTACAAGGAACTAATAAGGGAAGATAAAAAAGAAGTATTTCTAAGACCATTAGCTGAAATAAAATTAAATTACCCAAACATGACTTGGCTCCAATACAGGCAGATACATGAATTCTTTAGTAAGTTTCCTCCTTTCTGTTGAAATTGTCCACATGCTTGTATTTCAGTGGCTTCTCTGTGTAGTCTGACATGGTGGTTGTTGGTGTGGTCCAGCATTTCTGTGTTCTCAAATAATATGATGTGTCCAGGCTGGTTCATCAGGTGCTCTGCTATGGCTGACTTCTCTGTTTGAAGTAGTCTGCAGTGCCTTTCATGTTCCTTGATTTGTGTTTGGGCAATGCTGCGTTTGGTGGTCCCTATGTAGACTTGTCCGCAGCTGCATGGTACACGGGAGACTCCTGCAGTGGTTAGAGGATCCCTCTTGTCCTTTGCTGAACGTAGCATTTGTTGGATTTTCTTGGTAGGTCTGTAAGTGTGTATGTTGTGTTTCCTCATCAGCTTCCCTATGCGGTCAGTGGTTCCCTTGATGTATGGCAAGAACACTTTTCCTCTGGGTGGATCTTCATCTTTACTCTCGTGGCTTGTTCTTGGTCTTGCAGCTCTTCTGATGTCTGAGGTGGAGTATCCATTGGCCTGGAGAACCCAGTTGAGGTGGTTCAGTTCATCTTGGAGGAGGTGGGGTTCGCAGATTCTTTTTGCACGGTCTGCCAAGGCTTTAATGGTGCTTCTTTTTTGACTTGGGTGATGGTTGGAGTTTTTATGTAGATATCTATCTGTGTGTGTGGGTTTTCTGTAGACGGTGTGACCCAATTGTTGATCTGGTTTGCGGATGACTAGGACATCTAGAAAAGGCAGTCTTCCTTCATTTTCTTTTTCCATGGTGAACTGGATGTTTGGGTGGATGCTGTTAAGATGGTCCAGGAACCTGTTGAGTTCTTCTTCTCCATGGCTCCAAATGGTGAAGGTGTCATCCACATATCTGAACCATATCGTGGGCTTTTTGGTTGCTGTCTCCAGGGCTTGCTTTTCAAAGTGTTCCATGTAGTGTTCCAAATGCTAATGAAGGTGGTCAGCTGAAACATTCACACCTAGCTTCAGCAGAGAGCTCTTTGCCCCACCCCAGTCATTCCACAGATATATAAACCCATTTCCTATTTCCAACAGACCTCACTACCTCTGAGGATGCTTGCCATAGATGCAGGCGAAACGTCAGGAGAAATGCCTCTAGAACATGGCCCTATAGCCCGAAAAAACCTACAAGAACCTAGTGATTCCAGCCATGAAAGCCTTCGACAATATTTTGGGGTTGTTGTAGGTTTTTCGGGCTGTATGGCCATGGTCTAGAGGCATTCTCTCCTGACGTTTCGCCTGTATCTATGGCAAGCACCTCAGAGGTAGTGAGGTCTGTTGGAACTAGGAAAAAGGGTTTATATATCTGTGGAATGACCAGGGTGAGACAAAGGACTCTTGTCTGCTGGAGTTAGGTGCGAATGTTTCAGCTGATCACCTTGATTAGCATATAATGGCCTGACAGTGCCTCGAGCAAACTTTTGTTGAGACGTGATATTATATCTCCTTGTTTGTTTCCTCTCTGTTGTTATATTATATTTATATTTATCGTGTCATCCGCAACCAGAACATTGTATTACATTTCTAACAGAACAAAACAAACAAACAGATAAAAAAAACAAAAAACACAAATTTTGCAAACTTGGTAGCTGATTAAATGTCCTTTGACCAGTATCTGGCCACTTGGAGTGCCTCTGGTGTTGCCGCAAGAAGGTCCTCCATTGTGCATGTGGCAGGGCTCAGGGTGCATTGCAGCAGGTGGTCAGTGGTTTGCTCTTCTCCACACTCGCATGTCGTGGATTCCACTTTGTGGCCCCATTTCTTGAGGTTGGCTCTGCACCTCGTGGTGCCAGAGCGCAGTCTGTTCAGTGCCTTCCAAGTCGCCCAGTCTTCTGTGTGCCCAGGGGGGAGTCTCTCATTGGGTATCAGCCATTGATTGAAGTTCTGCGTTTGAGCCTGCCACTTTTGGACTCTCGCTTGCTGAGGTGTCCCAGCAAGTGTCTCTGTAGATCTTAGAAAACTATTTCTTGATTTAAGTCGTTGACGTGCTGGCTGATACCCAAACAGGGGATGAGCTGGAGATGTCTCTGCCTTGGTCCTTTCACTATTGGCTGCTACTTCCCGGCGGATGTCAGGTGGTGCAATACCGGCTAAGCAGTGTAATTTCCCCAGTGGTGTAGGGCGCAGACACCCTGTGATAATGCGGCATGTCTCATTAAGAGCCAAATCCACTGTTTTAGTGTGGTGAGATGTGTTCCACACTGGGCATGCATACTCAGCAGCAGAGTAGCATAGCGCAAGGGCAGATGTCTTCACTGTATCTGGTTGTGATCCCCAGGTTGTGCCAGTCAGCTTTCGTATGATATTGTTTCTAGCACCCACTTTTTGCTTGATGTTCAGGCAGTGCTTCTTGTAGGTCAGAGAACGGTCCAGAGTGACTCCCAGGTATTTGGGTGCGCTGCAATGCTCCAGTGGGATTCCTTCCTCTGTTGTTGTGCTGTTATAATTTTAGAGTTTTTTAATACTGGTAGCCAGATTTTGTTCATTTTCATGGTTTTCTCCTTTCTGTTGAAATTGTCCACATGCTTGTGGTTATTTTTAATTGACTGCTTCCAGTGTGCAGTATACAGAGGCAGAAGGTAAATTATTTCAATAAATATTTTAGTTTCCCTGGCTTTTGAAGAAGCATCGACATGTTTTCTTTTCTTTTTTCTCTCCACAGAGTCACTTCAGAAATTACAGAACAAGATACATCAACAAAGAAGGGTAAATGGTTTGTTTTATTTTAAAAAAACAACAACAACAACAACTCTGCACATTTGTTCGAATAATTAACCAAGGAAACTTAGTTAATGAAATAATAATAATTCAGTATTTATCCATAATAGCCAAGATTGTTGTACTGCAATCAATAATGTTAGATGGGCTAAATATAGGCTAGGAGGTTCTAGTTATTATTTTAAGAAGAAAAAGCATTGGTCAACCCTAAGGTTCAGCAGACTGGGCCAACATAAACACACTGCTATGCATTTTTTGAAAATTACTGTATCTCTTCTCAAGCAGTCAAGACAAAGTGTGATAATTTGCCTGTGTGTGCAGACTTGCATCCATTCTGTATTGAAATAAAATGTTCAATCGGTGGGTTGTTGTAGGTTTTTTCGGGCTGTATGGCCATGGTCTAGAAGCATTCTCTCCTGACATTTCGCCTGCATCTGTGGCAAGCATCCTCAGAGGTAGTGAGGTCTGTTGGAACTAGGAAAAAGGGTTTATATATCTTTGGAATGACCAGGGTGAGACAAAGGACTCTTGTCTGCTGGAGCTAGGTGTGAATGTTTCAACTGGCCACCTTGATTAGCATACAATGGCCTGACTGTGCCTGGGGCAAACTTTTGTTGAGAGTTAATTAGATATCCTTGTTGGTTTCCTCTCTGTTGTTGTGCTGTTGCAATTTTAGAGTTTTTTAAATACTGGTAGCCAGATTTTGTTCATTTTCATGGTTTCCGCCTCTCTGTTGAAATTGTCCACATGCTTGTGTATTTCAAAATGTTCAATCGTTATAGTGAATGGGTAGGCAAGCTGATTGCCCTATACCAGGGGTAACAAGAGAGCGAATGAGTGAAGCTGAAAGTGGCCACGGTAGTCCACGCTCTGGTTACATCCCAAATAGACTACTGCAACGTTCTCTACGTGGGGCTGCCTTTGAAAACTTCTCGGAAGCTCCAATTAGTCTAACGGTTGGCGACCAGGTTGTTAACTGGAGCTGCGTACAGGGAGCGTACCACTTCTCTGTTGCACCAGCTCCACTGGCTGCCTATTAGCTTCCGGGCACAATTCAAAGTGCTGGTTTTAACCTTTAAAGTCCTGAACGGTTCTGGCCCAGACTACCTGTCCGAACGTATCTCCTGCTATGAACCACCATGAAGCTTAAGATCATCAGGAGAGGCCCTGCTCTCAATCCCACCACTCTCACAAATGCGGTTGGTGGGGACGAGAGACAGGGCCTTCTCGGCAGTGGCCCCTCGTCTGTGGAACTCTCTCCCTAAGGACATCAGGTTGGCCACCTCCCTCCTGTCCTTTAGAAGACAACTGAAGACCTGGCTCTGGGGGCAGGCGTTCGATTAGAGGCCAGCGGCAATAGGAAAAGGAAATTTGGATTTTGCGACATGGATTCTCTTGGCTTGGTTTTACTGGCACATTTATCTATTAATTTATTGTTAAATTTTACTGATGATGTTGTATAATGTTTTAAAATAATTTTATTGTGAATTGTTAACTTATGCCATTATTAGGCCTGGTTGATCAAGAAAAAATTTGGTTCTAAAATCGATTTGTAATTGGGGTGTTTTTTTGTTTCGATATTTAAAATAATTACAAAATTTCCCCCCTACAATTTGTTAATATTTACGAAAATTTCGTAAATATTAACGAATTGATTCGTTAAGATGGCGGACGCGGTTGTGCAACATGAAAATATTAGTTTTAAATATAATAGTTTTAATAATAATAGTTTTTAATAATAGTTTAGACATGCCTAGCTCTTTCAGCTGCTCCTCATAGGGCTTAAATCTCATAGGGCTTAAATCATAGGGCTAATTTAGTCCGCCCCCTCTCTATCCCTCCCTCCCTCTCCCTCCCTCCCACCCGCGCGGTCGCCTCCGTCTCGCGCACGCAGCGCGCGCACAGCGAGAGATAGAGGCGGCACACATACCACTTTAGAGAGAGGGAGAGAGAAGAATCGGGTGGTTGCTCCGCTGCTGTTGCTGCGCCTCCTCCTGCGTTTCCTTTTCCCGGCGGGGGAGGCGATTGGGGGAGTCAGCAACCGCAGCATCGTCGGCCTTGCCGCTGCTGCTGGGCGGGGGTCTTTCCCAGGGCGGCGGATGCCAGGGCCCCGCCGAGCGGGCACGCCGGACCACCCCTGCGCCGGGCCGGGCATGTGTGGGGTGTGCATGCCCAGGTGAGCCGGGAAAAGGGGGAAGAAGGGGGCGGGGGAGCGAGGGGAGGAAGCCAGGCCGGGAAGGGAGCTTGCTCGCTCAGTCTCTCTCTCTCGCCTGCCTTCCCTTCTCCTTGCCCCTGCTCGGGCCCCTTTGCAGCCAGGAGCTGAAATAATAACGAAACAATTACAAAACAATTACAAAATAGCTTTAAAAATTCGTTTTTTAAAAAAAATGCTCCAGACTGATTTGTTATCGCTTTGTAATTCAAAAATTAACGAATTTTTTAACGAATTAACGAAACGAATTGACCAGCCCTAGTATTTATGCTGTTAGCATCCTCTGATGCTCATGTGAGTCCCCCTTGTGGGGAGAAGGGTGGGATATAAATATATGAAATAAATAAATAAATATTGCTCTTATACCAAAGAAGAAGAAACTTCCAGACAGGCCCTATATCCCAGGATCTGATCCCAGGTTTTCTGTTTATCCCAGATTACCTGACCGCGCGGGCTCATATAATCCAGGGTCCTTCCACACAGTCCTATATCCCAGAATATCAAGGCAGAAAATCACACAGTATCTGCTTTGAACTGGGTTATCTGAGTCCACACTCAGATAATGTGGGTTTCCTGCCTTGATATTCTGGCATATAGGGCTGTGTGGAAGGGCCCCCAGTTTCTGTTTCTGTATAAAACAGAAAATCTGGGATCAGATCCTGGGATATAGGGCCTGTCTGGAAGGCCCCCTAAACAGTTGATTTGAGATACATTAGGTCCAGTCCTCAAGTATCTATGTTACAAATACAACTGTTCTTTTCAGGCAGAGTATTTTGTTTGTGCTTGTTAAACATAAGAGTAGTGTATACTGTTTTTGTTACACGTTATTCCAGTAAAACCAAATCATAACAAACCATTGAATGCGTTAGTATATTATATTGAACTCAAATGATGTTGAGTTCAATATACAAAAAATTGCAACAGTAAAAGGTTTCTGAATACTCCCTAGACATTTCCACAAATTTGTTAACAATGTGCAGGGTTTACAATGGACTCTGCAGAAAATGCTTCAACTGTATTTCATGAAAAGGAAAATCAGCCTGTTAAGAAGCCTTGCAAATGCTGACTTATTATCAATAATTTTTTGATTTTTAAAAATACTATCTTACATGCCTATATACCTAGAGTCATGTAAAAATTTCTTGGGTGGAAAGGGCTCATATATGTGGAAAAAGTTTAAGAAGCCTTGGTTTAGTGTCTTGGGAAATTTTCTGGAGTATTGTACTTCTATTTTTTTTCTGGAAAATCCATGTCTTTCCACCCTTTCTTTGATTGCAAGCGTTTTGGGACTAGCATAAATACGTAGAGCTACATGAACATTTTTGAGAGAAATGTTATTTGCTTATCAGTTTTATGATCTCATTTGATTTCATATCTGATACTGTCTTGTAGAATGCAACACACTAACACTGTATGGTAAAGTAATATTTATTGACTTACGTGATTTCTAGGCAATGCCAAGAAGCATTTTTGAAATGGGTGATTTTTTCCAACTCATTTTCTTCCTGCAGGCAACAGAAACCTATTGACATACCAGGAGATAAGGTGTTGAGTTATATACAAAGCTGCTTTGAAAGTAAGTTCCATATGATATGACTAGTTTAAAAAACAGTGCAGTAAGTGAACTGGTTTCATAATGGCTGGGATGGGTAGCTGATAGCTATCATCATCTTTTTTAACTAAGCAGCTATAACATTCAGCCTTACCACAGCTTTAGCAGCAACACAGTATCATTTCTAGATCAATTGGTTCTTAAACTTCGTTTAACTCATCTTGTAGCTGTCACCTCTTTGCTTCTGTCAGTGGATTGCATGGACAATCTTCTGTAAAACAAGATGCATGGAAGTCAAATAGATTTTTCTACATAAAACTGCACATGCATCTTGTTTCCAGGACATTTTGGAGAATTTTGACATTCTGACCACTGACAGCTTAGCAAGTGTGATTGAAGTAATGATGTGTAGCAGAGGGCGTGCAAGCCACATACACTTCCGTATACATATTTTTCTGTCATTCAGCCCTCTCGCAGTGGAGAAAAGGGATAAAAAGTAGGAATGGCAATGCTTCAAGGCTGGAAGAAGCACTTCCTTACCATTTTGTAAAACGAATATGGGACAGAGATTGAAACCAGAAATGGAGTGGGTTGGAGATGATAACAGTGTTTCCATGAGGAAGTGGGAATGGGATTGAAGTTGCATAGCCCAGACTTAGACAATATTTTTAACTTAGATTATTTATATCCTTTCTATCTAAAATCGCAGCTTTACCACTTAATAATGCATCGTACTTACTTTTTAGATTGTGCCAAGAAATTTGCAGTACATTCTCCTGCTGTATCATGTTCATCGTCCTCCACTCTTGAGCAGGATCAGGATGAATTTCCACTTGAAAGCAAAGAGGTAAATCACTGTATTTACTTGAATCTAATGCTCACCCTATTTTGGCTACATTATTTTTCCATAATTAGAGTGTGCATTAGATTAGTGTCATATGGGAATCTTAGTGCTGAGCCAAAAAAGGGGGGTGGGGGAAGTTACTGGAGTATTTGGAGCTCCTATTTGAGGGATGTCATCTCTAACTTAATTGCCATGGCTCAGTGCTATGCAATCCTGGGATTTGTAATTTGGTGAGGCATTAGCATTCTTTGGCAGCCCCCATGATCCTGGACTACAGCCCCCATGGCCCCTTAGAATTGAGCCAGGGCAGTTAAAGTCGATTCATTCAGCAGCATAGTTACAGCTCAAGGTTTTCTTTCCCATTGCTAAAAGCTTTGGTGTTTTAACACTTCCATTTTACAAAAAGGATTTATAAGCATTCAGTGACTGTAATGCACCCGTTTTTTGGGCAAATTACCAGTTGTGCACTTTTTGTGTCAAGACCCAGACGGACCAGCAAGCAAAACGGCAGTGAAGGAGTTAAACAAAGGTCTTTAATGTCTATTAGCACAACAAAAGGAGGCTCTTAAAGTCAGAGCTATAAACACAAAAGGCTTGCGGTCAGCAAGAATGTAAACAAACCAAGTCCCAGTCAGTCCTCGCTGGCAAAAGGAAAGCAAGTCCAAACTCAGGCAAAACAGCTTCAATTCAGCAGTAAAAACTCAGTTCATTTCAAAGCAAAGCAAAACAGCAAACAGCAATCCGCATGAAGAGCGGTCCAACGAAGTCACCAGGGGATTAGCAGAGGCGTAGTCAGGCAGTCCGAGGGTCAAGGCAAGGAAGACTCACAAGTCCAGGTCCGGCAAGATTGTTCACACGATCAGGAGTCCACGAAGCTGCAAACAAGAGCTCAGGGCAGAAGTTAAACACAAGGCACACGGTAATGCGACACTTTGAACTCTGCGATTAGTTTGTTCCCAAACTGCTCCTTAAATCTCATCCGAGTCGCTGGAGTTACTTTCAGGTGCGTCTGCCTCCACAGGTGAATCCCGACTTCGCCATTGCTGCCAGTCTGTGCTTCGGGCTGCATCCTGCAAAGTATTATCTGGAACCCAAGTGTCATTAAAACCCTGGAATTCATCGCTAGACGTGGGAGCATTAACCACATCTAATACTTCCTGAACTTTAGTCCAATCCAGCTCTTCCTCTTCGCTGTCAAACTCCTCACAATCAGCTACATCTCTAAGGCGTTTAACAACAGATCCCACATCACTATCCGAGCTGCTTGCTACTCGCTTTACACCGCGGTAATCTTCCAGCTCCATTTCCTCGCGAGTAAAACCCTCAAAATCTTCCTCATCCGTAGTCTCTAAGAACAAGTCTCTAATCCGTCTCCCAGAAGCCCTGATTTGCCTTACTTTATAGTTGCTTGAGGTTGCTTCCTCTTGCATTTTCTCCCAGGGCTGCTGCAGCTTTGCAAGAGTCCTAAAGGTTAATAGTATCAGAGTCTGCAGGCCTCTTTGCAACTATTCGCTTAGAGAGCAGCTCTTTGAGTTTAGGGACCGCCTTTTCTCCCTTGGAAAGATCTCCATTTTAGATTCTCCCCTGCCTTTTCAGTTTGATGAAAGTTTTCAGACGTGCTGATGGCTAAGCATTTAGCTCTGGGAAAACCATTGCGAAAACTAAATTGAGTAAGCTATATTAAGCTGTAGATAGCATATTATACATTATAGATAAGTATTAAGCTATATTGAGTTAATATAGTATATTGTATATTGAGCTGTATTGAGATATTATAGACAGATAAGCTTAATTGGGAAGGTTGAGTTATATAGTTATAGAGAGAGAGTCTTGACTGCTTTGTCTCTAGAACTAACCTTAAGTTATAGATAGGGAAAAAAACCTGCTTTTTTCTAAACCACAACAGCTTAAGGTTAGGGTGTAAAGATTCCAGGATCTTATCTGCCATCTGGAGAAAGGGTTACCTCTGTAACTAAAGAAAGAAAAGAATATTTTTGTAGCTTCATCTATTGACTGTTTGTTTGCAACTTTGATGAACTGTGATGAACTGTGCCAAGTCTTCAAGGACTTTGAATAAATAAATATTCTTTTTTATGTTTAAACCAGTAATAGTCTCAGTTGCTGAGTATCTCAAGCTACTCAATATAGACACTTGCGGTTCGCTCAAGGCATAGAGAGAAGCACGTCACAGTTTTATTTTTTATATCGTCTGGGTGGACGGCACACTCTGATCTGTTAGGAAAACGGAGATTTTGCCAGTGCAAAAAAAAAAGCAGTGCTTAAGTGTTTTTCAGTGGCCAAAATATACTCTCCCATAAAACAACATGTTTTGTATCATGCACTCAAGAGACAAAAAAGAAGTAGACTTTGATAAAAATAACATATTTGGTTTACTCATAACCTTCATGTGTTCAGCATACACAGGTACAAAATTTTCAGTTTCAGATATGTGTGAGATAATTCTCTATGCCATGCGGCCAGGACATCTCTTATAGCAAAGCAGCAAGCAAGTGTATGATCTGAGGTCTGAAGTAGTCTGCAGTCTATCTGCTATAGTGATCATGTGATCTGCAGCCCCTTTTATAACTTATCAGGAACCATAGAATAAAGGAAGCTGCAAATCAGAACATATATACAAACAGGAAGCAACAGGATCATAGATAAACATTTCTAGAGAAGGTTGTCATTTCCAACATTTTCCAAATATTGACATGTGTGCATTTTCTTTTACCCTGAAATTGCTCTCTATAAGAAAACAATTTTGCATGGATCATTCCTTAGTGTGAATAGAATGCCACATTTCATTCAATTGTGAAAAACTCAAAAGGTTTTGTGTTCCAAGTTTTTTTATTGTTTCTTGCCAACACTTTTCCTTTTTTTTCTTTCTGCTGCATCATTTGATTGCTAGAAAGAGCAACCAGAGCCAGAAATGTGTGTGCCAAACGAATGCAATGCTGTCCCCTGTTTACCATCACCAAATAATAAAAACAAATGTCCTGGTAAGTGGTACTATTTTTGAACTCTTAGTTACTTCTATGTGCATCATAAATGTCACTTTCTCTAAATGTAATATTACTAGTACTTTCTTAAGTACAAAAGAGAAAGTGAGCCTGGGTCCCGGCAAGCCACCAGCAAACGCGACACATTCCAGCTGTGCACCAAGGATTCCATTGTGACTCCGCCCCAAGCTCTGATAAAGAGACCCCAACAGTGGTGCAAAGTAGGTTTCCCGATTGGAGGAGGAATGGCAGGGAGAAATGGTGGCAGAGCTGCCTAGTTTCACCCCTCTAGCCCTAAAACTTGGGGGAACTTCTCCTTCCTTCCTCCTCCCTTAGTCCTTCCTTCTTACCTTCCTTCTTTCGCTCTCCTTCTTTTCCTCCCTTCCTCTCTTTTTCAGAGGTGTTGTGTATAAGATTCCCTCTTCATTTACCTGTGCATTTCAATTTCTCTTCATGTCTCCTATTTTTAGATATATTTTTAAAGCATTGGCCACCTTACCATAGAATTGAAGGTACACGCTGGGCATCTTAACTAAAGGCACTGAGCTCTCCAGAGTTTGACGCTTCAGAGATCCTTGTGCTGCTTTCTCAGAAGTTGCATTCAGGGCAGACAGGATTTTAACCTCAGTCGCCATTTTCTACCTTTCACTCAAGCTGGGTTTTCCTTCCTCTTTAAAACAGTCTTCTTCCTTCGGATAGTCTGCATTTTATTTTATTTTAGTTATATTTTAAACTTTTGCAAAATGTAAAAAATATATAGCTGTATCTATTTTATCTCCTGTAAACCTAGAATCCCAGACAGGGAGAAAGTATGAACAATAATTAACAATTTTTAATTAATTAATAATTAATCGTTCTTATTGGCATCCTTTCAGTTCCATTCTGCATTTCTGTAGGGTCCATTTGTTTGAGGTGGTCTCTGCCCCAGAGTTGCAAGCTTCAGAGAAGCCGCACTTTTTCCGCCGTAATAGTGATTTAATCGAGAGTTGGACGGTCTTATCTTAAATTGCAGTTTTATGTAAATATTCAAAAACATTTAACCTACTGACGCCTAAGTTATGCAATTTTATTGGTATCCATTTTTATTTTGAAATTTACCAGTAGCTGCTGCATTTCCCACCCTTGGCTTATACTCAATCAATAAATTTTCTCAGTTTTTGTGGTAAAATTAGGAGCCTCGGCTTATATTCGGGTCAGCTTATACTCAAGAATATACAGTAATTTCTATGAAGAAGTGACAATGCTATTCTGCTTATTTTTCCCCATAACAAAACAGGCGAGAATGCACCAGAAGATGATGAAGAATCAAGTATTCGGGATTTTCAAGAGGATTATATTGATGTCTTGTCCTTAGGATCACCTGTTCTCTTACAGGTTGATGAAAAATGTGAAAAAATGTAAGTGATTTCTGTGCAAAATTAATATTCTATCACATGTTTCTTTTCATGGGGACTCAGGCCAGCTTCCAACATGGTAATAGGCAAACATTCAATGCCTATAAATAGATCTATATTTATTTATTTATTTATGACATTTATATGCCACCTTTCTCACCCCGAAGGGGACTCAGAGCAGCCTACAAGGTATATATAACATACAATATATTATATTATTAGCATAGTACAATATCAGCATTAAACATTGCTATATTGCACCATACCACTATATCGTGATATTATTAGTAATATTGCATGTAATATAAATATATAATTATAATATATTATTATTATATTGCATTACATTATATTATAGATATTATATGTATATACAATATATTATATTATATTATATTATATTATATTATATTATATTATATTATATTACATTACATTATATTATATTATTAGAATAGCACAGGAGACAAGGTGGAACCGTCCTCTGGCACTCTCTCCTTTTTGTATATAATCTTTATTAAATTTTCAGGTTACATTTAAAATGCAAGATATGTAGCCAAAGCTACTGGAATATGTGCAATAGTGTGATAATAGACGAAAACCCCGAGAACAAAGTTGTGTTGTGTGGAGAGAGAGAGAGAGAAAGAAGAGAAGAGAAAGAGAGAGAAAAAAAAGGATATAGATATAAAGCCCAAAGCCTATTTAAAAACCAGAGTAAAAGATGTTGTCGATTTCCTGAGGTCATCTTGAGGTCTGCTCTCCCTTCTTTCTTCGATTCCTTTTCTTTCCCATTTCTCCTCAACTTCTTTCTCCTTTTCTTCCTTCTCTCTTTCTCTTCTTTAGCTAGATCAGAATCTTCTTGTTTCTGCATCTATAATAGTCCATCACTTCTTTCCAATTCGTCTCCTTCGTATTCATCCCTTTACTTCTTGATATTAAGAAAGTGAGTCTGTCCATATTTTTAATTTCTAAAATTTTTGTTAGTCTTTCATTTTCATCCGGTATTTCCATTTGTTTCCATCTTCTAGCGTAGCAGATTCTTGCTGCCGTTGTCATTAAGAAGAGGATTTTGTCTGTGTTTTTCTCCACTTCAAAGTCATGCATCCCCAATAGGAAAAGTTCCGCCTTCCATGGGATTTTGATTTTTAAAATTTAAAAAGTTTTGTGGCTTGAATATTGGACTATAAAAGAAAAGTATAAAAATGACAAGAAGATTGGCTTTAATCAAGAAAAAATTTCTGGGATAAGATAATGGACTCAAGAAAGAATCTAATAACAAAGATATACAAAAAACTGCTGGAGTGGAAACTAGAATCGAAAGAGGAAAAAAATTATAAAAAAAAGATGGAATGAAAATGTCAGAAGGAATATAAGACAAGAGGAATGGGAAAGAATTTGGAAGGAAAAACTTAAATACTGCTATTCCATGGATCTGAAAGAGAATTGGATAAAGACAGCACATCGCTGGTACATGACACCGAAAAAATTAGGGAAATGTAGTAGAAACTCTAGCACAGATTGCTAGAAATGCAGAGAAGAAGAGGGGTCATACTTTCATGTTTGGTGGACCTGTAAAAGGGCAAAAGAATACTGGAAAGGGGTACAAAAAGAGCTACAAGAAAGTCTATATATATTTCTGTGTGCATTTCCCTCCTGTAATATTATTTCTTCTCTGCAGCAACATTTTCTCAAACTATCAGTATTTTCCTGCAAGCAAAGGCCCTCTGCAGAAGCAGGCCAATATGGCAGTAAATCAGGACATATGGGCATTGGGAGCATCCCTGAAATACTTTTTAAAAACTATGTCTCCTTCAAAACCAGTACTTAACATATGCCAAGGACCCACTGTATTAATTGCTTTTGTAGAACCCTTTGTTTGTTTGTTTTTTTAATGTGCTTATTTCTCATCTATTTATTTCTGAAACTTAGTCATCTTGGTCATGGCTTGCTTGTGCACTTCACCCAGACAAGTGAATTCAGTAGTTTTTATTGAAATGTTGAGATTTGTTGTCTTTTTTACTTGTTGCTCCTTCCTTAACAAACATGGTTTGCTAAGAATGAAATCTACAGTTTATATAGTGCTCATTTGCTAATCCATATTTTAGTGACCTGCTATTTCTGCTATAGGGACTTTCCATTCTATGCAAAAGTCTACATTCCAACCATTTTATTTATCTTTTATTTATTTTTATTAATCTTTTATTTATTTTCCCCCCATATAGGTTTTGTTCTCATGAAGATCTATTTACTTGTAGTGTTGAGCACAACAGAGATGTTGCACAATCTGAAATGTGCCCTGCAAGCAAAGAAACAAAGGAACTTCTCCCTGACGAAACAAAATGTTCAGCTGCATCTTCCAATCCAAACAGAAGGCCTGAGTCCCAAGCAGCATTAGAAGCTGTGACAACTTCTTTTACACACAGGTACAGACATAGATAATAGAAGTACAATATTGATATTTAGAAAACAATTTTGTATAAGGTATTTGAACATTTGCAGCAGAGCCATCAAATTACTAGTGTCACATTTATAGTGACTGGAAGGTTAAGTGGAAATTGTTCGCAGTTGCTAGAAGAGAAAGAAAGCACTCTCAGAACTGTCCCAGCTTAAGTCCCATTCCTTTATTCCATGGAAGGTACAAAAACAGGGTAATCAGTATGGGACAGAGGGCCTATAATCTACAGATTTGCTTCTAAATTCAAAAAATTGCTTTGAATGCAATTTTCCTGCTTCTTGGCAGGGGGCTGGACTGGATGGCCCATGAGGTCTCTTCCAACTCTGTGATTCTATAATCAGTGAGGAGCTGAACCCGCTTTGGGCATTAAATTGTTGCCGGTTGTAAGCCGTCCTGAGTCCCCCTTTGGGGGTTGAGAAGGACGGGTACAAATGTTTGAAATAAAGAAATAAATAGGGGTCATTAAATAATTGAAAAAGGATATCTTTGTTTCTTTCTAAGCTTATATCAATAATTCCCAATAGGAAATACTTGGGTTTCATTTGTATTTTTAACTGTAAAATCTTATGGATTGTTCCATGTATTTCTCGCCAAAAGTATCTATTTCTCTTTCACATTTCCAGCACTTCATGTTCATATTTTTATTGCATTTTGCTAATTTACTTGGAGTATTCTCTAATGTATGCATATGTGTATTTCAATTTAAGATTGAAACCATTTTAACAGGGCTAGATCCATTTTTGCGACTTTGTCATGTAAACTCTCAAATCACCCCTTCTGGTCTGCTCCATTATTCTCCTTTAAAACCAGGACTGAAAGCGTGTCAGAAAAATCACAGGCATTTTCACCTGCGTGATGCTGTTTGAGACAATAGGGGGCGAAGTGTGATCAGGAAATGAACATTTCTTTCTCCAGCAGTATTAATCAAGAGAAAAGGTTACTTTTGTAGGTGTCATATTGCCTGTTCTTTCTTTACCAAAAAGATACGCAGTGCCTTTACAAAATGCTTTGAATGTAATGCAAGAGTAAAGTCAACTCAACTTTATTTGTATCCTGTCCCATCTGCCCTTGAGGACTCAGGGCAGCTAACAACATGGATGGCAGCCATTCAATGCCACACAAATACACAAAAATAAATACATAATAAAGTAAAGCAAATACAACAATTTATCATAACTTAGATAGAATAGCAATAAATGAAACACAATTATAAATGTATAAAGAGTAGAAACGTTTTGTGTGAATGTGCCCATGAGTTATGCATTAGAGCCCATGAGCATGCATTAGAGAATATCCCAAGTAAACTAGCAAAATGCAATAAAAATATGAATGTGAAGTGCTGGAAATGTGAAAGAGAAATAGATACTTTTAGTGAGTTATCTTTGGGAATTTGAGTTGGAGTTATCCACCCAGAGGCCTGTCTGTTTGAAATATAGCTGCATTTCATGGCCTGACAGGTTTCCTAAAGGACCCCCCACAACAAGACTAGTATTTTGTTTGGATATTCTGCATAGATGCTATTTCTTGTACAGTTATGTTTGGGTGTACAAGATTGGCACTTTCCTGTGTTGCAATGCATGACCATGAAATACAGATGGTTACTTGTGTATAACTGATGTTCATTTAAATGGACACACAGCCATTTACTTTCCATACTTTGAGCATACTGTGTTTATAGTAGGTTCTGCAAATGTGCTTGGTGTGGGCATGGAATTGTGTATGACCATCTCTTTCTCACATTCCAATTTGAGGAAGCTGATTAAGCTAAAGGTTTGTAAATCCCTGAAATCTTGTGTTATATCTTTCTGGTCAGTGGTGGGTGGAAAATGCCCTTAACATTTTCTTCTAAATCATTTAGCATTTATCCCCAGTATTTTCATTTGTACATGCGGCCTGCTCATTGCTTTGTGTCTTGAATGATTTTAATTTACAGTATATTGGTTGTAATATTCTTATAGTGTATGTTTTATGTAATTAATTATGTTGTTGTTTATGTTCTGATTTTATTTTGTTGCTGTGTTGTTGGGCTTGGCCCCATGTAAGCCGCCCCGAGTCCCCGCAGGGGAGATGGTGGCGTGGTACAAATAAAGTTTATCATTAGGTTCTTGTAGGTTTTTTCGGGCTATAGGGCCATGTTCTAGAGGCATTTCTCCTGACATTTCACCTGCATGTATGGCAAGCATCCTCAGAGGTAGTGAGGTCTGTTGGAAATAGGAAAATGGGTTTATATATCTGTGGAATGACTGGGGTGGGGCAAAGAGCTCTCTGCTGAAGCTAGGTGTGAATGTTTCAGCTGACCACCTTCATTAGCATTTGAAGGCCTGGCTGAGTCTGGGAAGATGTTCTGTTAAGAGGTGTTAAGATGTGCCTGGTTGTTTCCTCTCTGCTGTTTTGCTGTTGTAATTTTAGAGTTTTTTAATACTGGTAGCCAGATTTTGTTCATTTTCATGGTCTCCTCCTTTCTGTTGAAATTGTCCACATGCTTGTGGATTTCAATGGCTTCTCTGTGTAGTCTGACATGGTGGTTGTTGGAGTAGTCCAGCATTTCTGTGTTCTCAAATAATATGCTGTGCCCAGGCTGGTTCATCAGGTGCTCTGCTATGGCTGACTTCTCTGGTTGAAGTAGTCTGCAGTGCCTTTCATGTTCCTTGATTTGTGTTTGGGCGCTGCGTTTGAGGATGCTTGCCATAGATGCAGGGGAAACGTCAGGAGAAATGCCTCTAGAACATGGCCCTATAGCCCGAAAAAAAAACCTACAAGAACCTAGTGATTCCAGCCATGAAAGCCTTCGACAATACATTGAACAACTCTATGGGGAGAAACTGTTCCAAAGTTTATCATTATTGTTATTATTATTATTAGCAAATTGATTAGAATTTCATTGTCGCTATCAAGTCATTTGTTTCATGGCTCTTTAAATAGATTAATAACTGTTTATGTGTTTTCTAAGAGCAGATCAAATCATTATAGCTAAAGTCCTAGTGTTTGGAACATTGCTCAGAATGGGATGGGAACATTTTGGAACCCAGAGAGCAAAACCTGCCAGTTTTTACTGCCTCAGAAAGCAGACAGATGTTGGCTTTCTGTCATTTACCTTTTGTTGCCTTTGAAATGAGGCTTCTTATGATATCAGGGTGTCATGATTAAGTCCAAGGGCTGCTTGATTTCCATCCCTGGCCTAGAATAATGCAATATAGAAGTGATTATTGATTCTCTTAAAAAATACGTTGGAATAATTTCAAAATAGTAGTACCTCTGAAACTAACATTTCAGGACTTTATTTTCTCTTAACCCTTTGGAACTAACATAGGAAATCACTTACTTTCTCTTTCTAGAAATGCAGCCAATATAGATCCAGAAGATGACTGTGAGTTTTTGATAGAGGAGTCATTTGGAATGTCTTCTAGATCTTGGATTTCAGCATCTCAAAAGAAACAAAATCCACAAAGAAAGAATGCAATATCTGCACCATCTAAATCAAAAAAAGACGCCAACAAGCCTAGTGTGAGAAAAAAAGATAAAAAAACTTCAGAAAAGCCTGTCCCACCAAGCCTCGTAAATCAAACCAAGTTAAAGTCAACAAATGTTGCTGGAACCACTGTTGATGGGTTGAAAAATGTTTCAAGAACTCATGAAATGATGTCTTTAATAGATGACCAGCCATTGCTGGTTTTAAATACCTTCCAAGTAGGACGACGGAAAATACATTCCAAAAATATGGCGTCAGCAGAAATAAGTAATACAACTCCTGCAGATATAAATCAGACAGAGGACCATGTAGCCTTATTGGAAGAGAATGTCAGTGCTTCAGTACAGTCACAACCTGGTTTAAGGACAGAAGAATTATCATCTAATTGTAAGGAAACTGTGAAACACAAACACTCAAAAACAAAAACTTCAGTAGAAAGGCAGAATGAGGAGAACCAGGAGAAGACCCCCAACATCATAGGCTTGGAGAATCACCAGCCCTTTGAGAATATAGGCACGTACTCTGAACGCTCAGGTTCTGTTTTTAGCCCCATTTTGTCTGTAAAAACTTCAGAACAAAAGTCATCCAATAAAAATTCACAACCTGTAGGATTAAAGTCACATAATAAAAAACAACTGAAAAAGAAAAACACTCCAAGAACTGCACAATCCAAAAAACAATCCCAAACTCAGCTGAGTGCTATTAAAGACTCTGTTATTAGACCCACTGGAAGGAAGAAGATAGTACTGGTTTCAGATGAGAGCTCTGAAACTGAGCATGAAGATGAACGCTGTGACAAAGGGGCTGAAAACTCTTATTCATATAAGCTAAGAAAAATAAATCGTTCAAGAGAGGCATCTCAAAAAAGAAGACAGGCTTCTTTAATAAGCTCTGAAGATAGTGATTGTGAACGGGTATCTTGCCAAGAAGATTCTTTCTATCTGACAGAAGAAAGATTATATCCTTCTGAGAAGCGATCAAATAGCACTACAGATTCATCACAGTGAGTTCTTTCTTCTTTTTAAAAGAATTGTTTATTAGTTAGACTTTTTAAAATTTTGTAATCATCCATTCTGCAGTGAACAGTGAGCTGTTGAGTGTGAGTGTTCACTGCACTCATTTTGAACAACCCAGAATCCTGGATCAAATAGAGTTGCTTTGATGGTGTTTTGATCTTTTCTGAGATGCAACGAGTCTTCCATGAAGCAAAGTAAGCTGTTACAAGGTTTCAGATTGCATCAGAGCTTTTTGTCTCAATTGCTTTGCATAAGGAGCAAAGAAAGATCATATTCAAAACTGATGGTTGGAGGAAGCCTGTTTCTCCACTTCACTTAAAGACATTTTGCAGCAAACATTCTTTAAAGGTCATAAGCCAGTTTCCCCATGATGCTCACTGCTATAGAATTGTTGTTTTCAAAACTATCTAGCCTCATAGTATGTGTTTACAATGTTCCTCATGGAAGCAGTTGGACATTTTTGCCTGGTGTTTAACATCTTTATTCAGTTCAAAATCATCTAATTAGAGTTGCACTTGCATTGATCTTGTTTATTTGGTTGTGTGTCCAGTTACACCATTCAACAAAGAGCTATGTAACACGATCAGTGCATAGGATCTCAGCTATTGAGTAAAATCGAGCTATTGAGTAAAACAGGCAAAACAGATGTTTTGAATATCAAAAACAATATGTACGAGGGGTATTTTTAAGTAAGGTCCATTTGAACATAAGTACACAATGAAAGTTTATTTCAAAAAAGTAAATTTATTTTCAGAAAGTACATGCTTCACTCTATTTTTTGACATAGTAGCCAAGTTTGTTCAAACACTTATCATATCTCTGAACCAATTTTAAAACACCCTCTTCATAAAAACTTGACGCCTGCTCCGATAATCAAGAGTTCACTGTAATCAAAGAAGGGTGACTGGAGCGGTCCTCATCATGGACGTTGTCACCGCCATCTTTGAATTGTCATACCCACTTACGCACTTTGCTTTCACTCATAACAGTATCACCGTACATTTCACAAATCTGTTGATGAATTTCTGCAGCAGGCAGGTTCCTTGCTGACAAAAACCGTATCACTGAGCGAACCTCACATGCGGCGGGTGAGTTGATAGTCTTTAATATTTTTAAAGCACAGAACAGAACCGTACAGGTTAGCTACAGAGCGGAAACTGAGCACAATTGTTCCCGAGGCATGCCGGTACACGACGCACGTGCTCGTTGCGTTATGCGCGCGAAATACTAGTGTCTACAACAAATTGGACCTTACTTAAAAAATACCCCTCGTATAACCCTAAAGGCAAGCATTTATACTGACAAGCTTTTGTGGGAAAGGGGGACTCATCCATGAAAGCTTAGACCCCTGGTTGGTTATACCATCACTTCCAGATGACTTAAAGTGCTGGGAGTGCTTTGGTCAGCTCTCCTGGAATACTGTGTCCCATTCTGGGCACCACAATTTAAGACGGATATTGAGAAGCTGGAACATGTCCAGAGAAGGGCAACTAAAACAAAGGTCTGGAGAACAAGCCCTATGAGGAGTGGCGTAAAGTGCTGGGCATGTTTAGCCTGCAGAAGAGAAGGTTGAGAGGAGACATGATCACCATGTTTAAATATTTGAAAGGATGTCATAAGGAGAGGGAGCAGTCTTGTTTTCTGCAGCCCTGGAGACTAGGTTTGAATTACAGGAAAGGCGATTCCACCTGAACATTAGGAAGAGCTTCCTGACTGTAAGAGCTGTTCAGCAGTGGAAATCTGCCTTGGAGTGTGGTGGAAGCTCCTTCCTTGGAGGTTTTTAAACAGAGGCTGGTTGGCCATCTGTCGGGGTTGCTTTAATTTTGTTTTTCCTGCATGGCTGGGATTGGCCTGCCCATGTTTTCTGTTCCAACTCTATGATTCTATGAGGCTTCTGAACACTAAATCTTAAGTTCCAGACTAGATCCTGCTTGTGCAGTGATAAGGAGGAATCACTTATTATCTGTCCCTCAAATGGGTGGCTGCTATCCATATTGCCCCAATGATCGCTTAGCTATACTGATGATAGAACATTAAGTATTTCTAGCAAAGTCCTTAATTATTTCATTTCTTTTAGGTATTTTCCTATACCAGATGTAAATGCGAACAATGCCAGGTATTTTTTTGTGTGTGTTTTCATATAAAAATATTTGAACTAATGTTTTGCTGAAGTGTTTGCAAATTGAAAGCTGACAAATTTAATCTAGGTGAGAAAGCGACTGTGTGTCTATCCCGTCTTCCCTCTTGCTTCTGAGAGATGGAGTTCCCTAAACCTATTAAATGTGAGGTTTTATCTGATTTGCACACTGTCTACTGTACATGGTTAAGTGGCTGACTAGGAAGAGGGTGAGAAAAGGGAAGGACAGACACATTTGCCCACCTACTGTAAAGGAAGCCTGTTAGCTTGTACCACCAGGAGGTTTCCAGCAAAGTCCATCCAAGCCTGTGGTGGTGGTGGGGATGGGGGTGCTTTCCCCTAAGGATGGGGAGCACTCTCCTAAAAAAATAACGACGATAAAAGATTGGACTCCTGAGTTGGTATTATGAGGCAACTGCTTTTTTTAATCAAAACAGCTTTGGTGGCCTTCTTCGTTGTTGGATGTCCTATTAGTTGGGTTAAAGGATTGCTTCCGCTCATCTCCATGCAGGAGACTAAACTTAAAAAGAGAATCAATAAATTGGCAAATGTATTTGCCTTTATGGCTCATGTCATTCAGAGCCATAAAGGCAAAAATTCAGTTTGATTTTCTTCCAGGACTGTGCCAACCAATCTTGCTACCAGGGGTAAACTTTGGTTGAAAAACGGGAATGTGGACAACAAATCTAGGGCAAATCTGATTACCAATCCGTATAAAGACACCACTTGGAGTTTGCTGTTTTGTAAGGATTTTAACCGATCTAACATGGACTTTGTTTTAGTGGCCTGCTTGTTGACAGGAAAAAATCTTCCAAGCACGAGGAGACTTTTGACAGCAAGGAATTAAATTCAGGTAAGATTTATCAATATTGCTCTGATCTTGTTAATGTAGATCTGTATATCTGCATAGAGTTAGAAATACATAAGACTACTGTTGTGGTTTTTATATATTATGTACTTGCCTTTTGTAAGCCTAAATTATAGCCTAACATTCTGTTTCATGGGCAACCAGTTACATATTCGCCTAACAAGAATTTTGCCTAATTCACATTTGACTAGTTTGTTTGCCAGAAGGTCATGGGGGATCTTATCGAAGGCCTTACTGAAAGCCAGATATTCTACATCCACGGCATCCCTGTGATCCACCCAGCTTATTTATTTATTTTATTTATTCGCGACATTTATATGCCATCCTTCTTACCCTGAAGGGGACTCAAAGCGGCTTACAAGATACACACACACACACATATATATACCTACACACACACACACACACACACAATACATTGTGCCATGAGCACAGTACAATATCAGCGCTATACATCACTATATTGTATTATACAATTATATCGTAATATTATTAGTAATATTACATGTAATATAAAATATTCTCTCCCTCCTCCCTATGACTTCCTCTCATGTATTTATACATGGCTATTATGTCTCCTCTCAGCCTTCTCTTCTGCAGACATGCCCAGCTCTTTAAGACGCTCCTCATAGGGCTTGTTCTCCAGACCTCTGATCATTTTAGTCGTCGTCCTCTGGACACATTCCAGGTTGTCAATATATCTCTTCAATTGTGGTGCCCAGAATTGGACACAATATTCCAGGTATGGTCTGACCAAGGCAGAATAGAGGGGTAGCATGACTTCCCTGGATCTAGACACTATACTCCTATTGATGCAGGACAAAATCCAATTGGCTTTTTTTGCCAATATTATTATTATTATTTGTAAGCTCACAGCAGCCGCTCCCAATAACGACACAGGACGCCAATCCGTAATCAATCAGGAACTTTTACTGCTGGACATTCATACACGAAGAAAGCCAGGATTGGCCGGCAGCCGCAGTTTAACCCTTATATACCCTCCCTTACAATTGAATTCCCCTTTCCCGCCGGCCGAGAATCCCGCGCAATATTCCCCGCCAAATGCCAACTGCTTCCCCCCAAGGCCACCAGCTGCACATTCTTATCAGCAATCCATGTCAGGATTCTGGTTTTTTGCGCCAAGACTCAAGGCCTGGAAACCGGTTCCTGACATGACGTCCTCCTCCTCCTCCTCTTCTTCCTGGAATGGAACACATATCACTACTATACTCCTTCTTCATCTAGCGAACCTTGGTACTTTTTCAACAAGCTACAGTGAAATGTTGGGTGTATTTTCCCCAAAACCTTCGGTAGTTGCAATGTATATGTGACATCATTGATTTTGCTGGAGATTCTAAACGGACCGATGTATTTAGGAGATAACTTCCTGGACGGGGCATTCAACTTGAGATTTTTGGTGCTCAACCATACCAAGTCCCCTTCCTCCAACCTATCTCCTTCCCTCCTTTTTCTATCCGCAAATAACTTATACTTCCGTTGGGCTTCTCTGAGTGATTTCACTACCTCCTCCCAACTCGCCCTCGCCCTGTCTGGCCACCCTTCCTTTCCCCACGGTTCCTCCTCCTCCCAACTCGGCAGCTTTGGCAAAGGGGTTACTTCCATGCCGTAGACTATTTCAAAGGGGGATTTCCCTGTGGATGCGTGACAGGCTCCATTATATGCGACTTCTGCATATGGGATAAGATCTGCCCAGTCGTTCTGGCAATGATTTGTGTATGTCCTTAGGAATAATCCCAACGTCTGCTGAGTGCGCTCGACCCCCCCATTGGTCATGGGATGGAATGCTGAACTCAGGGTCCTTTCTACCCCCATCATTTGCATGAACTTTTCCCAGAAACGTGCCGTAAACTGCACCCCTCGGTCGCTGATCACCTGATCGGGACAGCCATGCAACCGATATATGTGTTTAATAAACAGCTCAGCCAACTTTTCCGCAGATGGCAATTTAGGCAGCGCTATGAAATGCGCCTGTTTTGAGAACAAGTCCATCACTGTCCATATGTAGCGCTGACCTCGGCTATTCGGGAGTTCGCCTACAAAATCCATGGCAATCACACTCCAAGGCCTCGACGGCTCTGCCACCCTCTGCAATAACCCTGCTGGCTTTTGTGTGGGTACTTTGTTCTGTGCACATGCGTTACATCGGGATACATATGATTTTGTGTCACCCCTCATCCCGGGCCACCAACATTGGCGTGCCAGTAATTTTAGAGTTTTCGTAACTCCCCAGTGTCCTGCCCCCTTGTTGTCATGGCATCTAATCATCATTTTTTCCCGCAGGCTGACTGGGATATATACCTTCTTGTTTACAAACCCCAATCCACCCTTCCATTCCACCTTTTCCTTGTTCCTCTCCAGCCATTCGTCCCCCTCGCATGCCTGTCTTATCTCCTCCTCCCATCCCCCGTCCTTGCTCTCTACCCCCACCAGTCTTTGACTGCGTTCCACTTGTGCTCTGGTTTGCACTGCCATGCCCCACTGCCGCTCCGAGAAAATACTCCCCTTTGGGTCTTGCCCCCTCCCTTCATCCTCCGGCATACGTGACAATGTGTCTGCTACCACATTTTGTCTCCCCTTGTGAAACTTCAGCTGGAAATCGAATCTGCTGAAGAACTGCCCCCATCTTATTTGTTTCGCTGACAATCTCCTGGGTGAAGTGATATATTGTAAGTTTTTATGGTCGGTCCATACCTCAAAGGGTATGCCGCTTCCCTCTAACAAATGCCTCCATGTCTCCAGGGCCCTTAGGATTGACAGGGCCTCCTTTTCCCACACCGGCCAGTTTCGTTCAGTTTCGCTGAACTTTTTTGATATGAACCCACATGGCTTCAACCTCCCTTCCAGATCCCTTTGCATCAATGCTGCCCCATAGGCCCAATCTGATGCGTCACAATGGATCACAAATTGCTTAGTCAGATCGGGGTGGATTAGGACAGGTTCTTCTGTGAACCTGCGCTTCAGTTCCTCGAAAGCCCTCTGGCATTCTGCTGACCAATTCAACCTTGCTCCCGGGGACCGTACCTTTATCGTCTCCCCCCTCCCCTTTGTCTTCAGCAATTCGGTGAGGGGCAGTGCCACCTGAGCAAAGTCTTTTATGAACACCCGATAAAAGTTTGCAAATCCTAGGAAGGATTGTAACTGCTTGCGTGTTCTGGGGGGTCCCCACCCCCTGACATCCTCTACCTTTGAAGGATCCATTGCCACCCCTCCCCGGGAGATTCTGTATCCGAGGAAATCTATTTGTTCCTTATTAAATTCACACTTTGGCAGCTTTGCAAACAACTTTGCTTCCCTCAATTTCTGGAGTACCTCCCTCACCAACTGAACGTGGGATTGCCTATCACGGCTGAATATAATTATGTCATCCACAAAGCAGTACACTCCGCGGTACAGTAGCGGGTGCAACACCTCATTAATCATTTGCATAAATGCCCCCCCAGAGCCTTTTAACCCGAAGGGACACACGAAATATTCAAAATGCCCCAATGCACATGAGAAAGCCGTTTTCCACCTGTCCTCAGGCCGTATTCGCAACTTATGATAGGCCTCAATCAAGTCAATTTTCGTAAACACCTTCGCCTCTGACAGTCTTGAAAGTAAGTCCTTGGTTAGAGGCAATGGGTAATTGTTGGTCGTGCTCACTGCGTTCAGCCCCCTATAGTCCACACACAACCTCAATGAGCCATCCTTTTTGTGCCTAAATAGCACTGGGGCCCCCAATGGGGATTCAGATGGTACTATGAACCCTCGGGCTAAGTTCTTATCGATGTACTTCCTCAGTTCCTCCATCTCCTTAGCCGACATTGGGTATAGCCTACTCCTAGGCAGCTTAGCATCTTTATTGAGCTCGATTTTCACCTCGACCCGTCTTGGGGGAGGAAGCTGATCCGCTTCCTTTTCATCAAATACGTCCTCAAAGTCTCTATATTCAGGAGGGATCTCCTGCACTCCGTCTGTCGTGCCTCCCTCCCCCTTATAACATTCCCCCTTTTCTTTGCCTTGGAAACTCAGGCTGCCCTTCCTCCAATCGATTCGTGGGTTTGCCTCCCTCAACCACGGCATCCCCAATATCACATTATAAGTTGCCATAGGGGATACTACAAATGTTATGCCGCCTTCCCAATTCCCTATCTTGCACTGCACTTTCCCCACTTTGAATCGCGCTGGGGCTCCAGCCGCTACTGAGCCATCCAGCTGTGAGAATGCTATAGGGGCTGGCAAGACGGCCTTCTCACATTTCAGTTCATCTGCCAATTCTGGGGTCATAATGTTCCTGGAACAGTCACAATCCATGAGGGCTTTGCAGCTGGCCCACTTCCCCTCCCCTTCTAGTCTTATCGGGAATACTAACATCCCTGGGTTGTGACTCACCAGATCCCCCACTGGGGCCCTGTGAGGGAGACTCTCTTCCGCTCTCTTCCCAGCGGCCGGTTTAAACTTTGACTGAGGGGGATCCCCCCCTTTTCTCTGCTGACAATTTGCAGCCTGATGCCCAAAACGGCTGCATACAAAACAGCCACCTCTCTGCTCCTTGGGTCCTCCGGCTGGGCCTTTCCCGGTCGTGCCTCTCTCCGCCCTCCGACTCTCCTCCTTGGCTCTCGTCTGCTGCGGTGCCACCCCTCGATGTCTCTTGACTTGAGCCAGGGTCGTCTCGATGCGGCCAGCCAGCTCAATCCATCCGCCTATCTCCTCTGGATCATCACGATGAAGTGCCCAAGCCAAGATTTCCTTCCGCAGGCCTTCCTTAAATATCTGGACCTTAGTGGTATTGGACCACTCAGGTACCTTTTCTGCCCGCAACTGGAATTCTTCTACGTATTCGGACACTGAACGCTGGCCTTGGGTTATAGTTTGCAATGTCTCTCTCGCTCGGATTCTCTCAAGCGGATCCCTGAAGCGTGCTTCCATCGCCGCCAGAAAACGCCTCGTGGATCCCAAACATGGGTCATGTCTGGCGTGGAGTTGGACATACCACTCTGCCGCTCCTCTCCTCAGTGCCGCACCCACTGCCTGCACTCTGCTTGCCTCTGATCTGAAAGTGGGTGCGTTGTCCTCTAGATATCCCCTCACCATGGTTAAGAAATAATCGAGGCTCCCGGCTTCGCCTCCAAATTCGACTCGCAGCTCCTCCCTCCTCTGGTGGGGGACAAGGGGTTGCCTCTCCCGGCTCTCCACTCGCGGTGGCCCTCCCTGGAGCCCATGCTGCTCCGGGGGCAATCCGTGCCGCCCTGTGCCGCGCCCGGCTCCGGCCGGGGGCACCAGAAGCGTCTGCTGGGACGTTAGCGTTAGGCCCCGTGGCTGTCCTTCCTCCTCATCACTCTCTGCCCCAGCTCTCCACACCGATTCCCCTCGGGGTTGTGATTCCTCTATCAAGGGGGCCAGCCGCTCCATCACCCTCGACATCACTGCGAGGGTGGTTTCCATGGATGCCACTTTTTCCTCCAGATACTCCAACCTCTGCGGGGAGGGGAAATCTAGCCCACTGCTTTCTCTCGCTGCCGCCTCTGCCCCCTTCACTCGCCTCTGGGTCACCCCGTTGGGCCGGGCATAAGCAGTCGATGAAGCCAAGGCAGCCACTCTCTCCAGCTCCTCCTCCGCATTCTCAAAAGGGGAGTCCGGCTCTCCCCCTGCCGCTGGAATTTCCTCCCATTCCATAAGGGTACCTCACCGCAGCCGCGGGATGGTACCGATCAATCCTGGCTTAATGTAAGCTCACAGCAGCCGCTCCCAATAACGACACAGGACGCCAATCCGTAATCAATCAGGAACTTTTACTGCTGGACATTCATACACGAAGAAAGCCAGGATTGGCCGGCAGCCGCAGTTTAACCCTTATATACCCTCCCTTACAATTGAATTCCTCTTTCCCACCGGCCGAGAATCCCACGCAATATTCCCCGCCAAATGCCAACTGCTTCCCCCCAAGGCCACCAGCTGCACATTCTTATCAGCAGTCCATGTCAGGATTCTGGTTTTTTGTGCCAAGACTCAAGGCCTGGAAACCAGTTCCTGACAATTATTACTACTACTACTACTACTACTACTACACACTAACATAGCCTCTCAGCCCAAAATAGTCTTGTTTTTTCATATGTCTCAGGATGTAATTTTGCCAACCGTTCTCCAAAACTACCTTCCTCGAAGCAGTCACTGCTCCCTATTGGCTTTTATTTACGCAGGACATATCCAGGCTGTTTTAAAATACCGGGAGGATGCCAGTGGCCTCCCCATGTCTCCACAAGAGTTTTCTACCTGGACCATCTCAGCTATTCATCTGACTTAGCGTTGGCTGGCCACAATTTACCTAGGCAGGTTAAGGGACACTCCACTAGATCTGTGGTGGCCCCCACTGCCTTTTCGAGGCAGGTTCTCTGGAAGATGTTTGTTGGGAGGCTGCTTAGTCTACTCCACTCTCCTTTGCCACACACTACAAAGTTGATGCCCTCTCTCATAAAGGTGCAGCCTCTGGCAGACCAGTCTTCTTCTCTTCAGTGCCAGATGCCCACCAGCCAAAATAAAAGCTTGCTAGTCTACCATATATACAATTTCATAGAGACCACAAAGAAGAATGGTTGATTACCTGAAACCATGTTTCTTCAAGTGGTCGCACATCTCTGCTCATAGTGGGAAGAGTGGGCAGAGCTTCTACCAAAACGTATCAAGCTTTCTAGAAGATTCCAAACTGACTGTGCAGGCACAGGAAATACCACATGTGCAAATTTCACAGATGATCACTCGACGAAACATGGTTACAGGGAAGCAGCCATTACTTTTCAACCAACATTACTTCTATCTTGTGTTAAGTAGCACTTCATAGCACTTCAATCATATATTTTAATGGATCTGTAACATTTGATTTAGACACATATCCCTTGTAATAACTCAAACATTTTGAAGCACTTTTTGTGATCTCTATTTTAGATTACTCTAGAGACTTCATAGACTCTCTGGATGGATTGGCATCAAATACACTAAAGCGCAAATTAGGTAAGATTATTTATTGTCTAAAAAGAATGGCAACTTCCCTAATTAGATCGTATGCCCTGCATTCTCTCTACAACAGTGGTTCTCAACCTGTGGGACCCCAGGTGTTTTGGCCTACAACTCCCAGAAATCCTATCCAGTATAGCAACGGTTGGCATCTCTGAGAGTTAAAGGCCCAAACATCTTGGGACCCACAGATTGTGAACCACTGCTCTACAAGATGATCAAGTCAGGTAAAATATTTTATTTTCTTGAAATGTGATAAATATTGATAGTTCTTAAGTATTGCTTTCAAACTGATGCTAGTGAGTTTCATTTGGCAGTTCATTAAGAAGGCTAAGATCCAAATGTAGAAAATGGCAAAGCCTTTTGTGCATGTCTATAGGGTTTTTTTTTTTTACTCCTATCATGTCTCATATTAAAAACAATATTCTGAAACAGTGTGTTCCTATCATGTTTCATATTAAAAACAATATTCTGAAACATTCTGTCTGATGTAGGGCATTGACAATTTTTTTTCTATGCCAGGAACATTTATGCCTATTGACTACAATTGTATGGTTTTTTCCCCCCTGGAAAGTCATCAGAGACCAGCAGCCAAAGACTTGTGGACTGGCACTGGTTCACAGACTACTACTTTGATTAGCATAGTTCTAAAAAAGAAGAGAACTGCTAATTTTTTCTCTCTCTGGTGTATTGTAAACCATTAATGAGGTAGACACATGAGTCTCATGTCTGGCAGCAGACTCCAAGGCTATAATTGTCTGAACTTCCAGAACATTGGCTACACAACTTCTTCCCTCTTGAACATTTTTATTAGGTTTGTGATAGGAATGTGGCTTCTTCATGTTTAATCACAGTTTGGGATCCTTCAAAATGCACTCTCCTCTGCCAGCAGTTTCTCAAGTAGCTGTGCATGCTCCACTTTAGCACTACCAACACAATTGACAGAAATCAGGTGAAGAATTATAAAGGTGCCCATTCAGACCACCAAAACTCATTTTATGCAACATTACAACAATGCTTAAAAGATGAAAAAAAGTATATAAATAGAGTTTTAAATTACTCTGATCTTCAATTTCCTCCTTAATCATTGTCAAGAATTGCAGAACTTATACTAGTTGAACTCTATAATAACCTAACAAATACAAATACAATAAATCTTTCCAGGAACTGATGTCCCATAGTTGTTAGAATAGAGTACTGAGCGCTCTTCAAGCCTCAGCTAGTACTTATTGCTCAGCATTCACATTTTATGGACAGATTAAATGGTAGGGACTGAATATACTGATCTGGGGGCCTTGGGGAAAGGAAGGGTTAAAAAGAAATTGGGTTGTGTTTCAACAGTATGTAGCTGTTGCTTTAAAGTTGGCGAAAAGGATCAAGTACTTTTACAAAAAGCAAAATACCAGAGTATTGTCAATTCCATCATCATCATCATCATCATCATCATTATTATTTGAAACACAGTAAGATTAATACACAGCAAACAAGATCACTGCTGGTTGTTGTATTGGATCACATGTCAAACACTTCCCAAGTGTCTAGGACTGTGTGATGTATCAACAAATAATGCGTGCAGATCCCAGTAGGGTGGCCTTTTGCAGCTGACAGATGGCAATTTTGTCAGCGCTAATTGTCTTTAAGTGCAGACAAAGGTTGTTGTTGTTGTTATTATTATTATTATTATTATTGGAATAATTTTTACTCAGCTACAAAAGTCCTCAGAGTGGCTTACAAAATGTTTATTTGCCCTCGGACTTAAAATATTCATAAAATCAATAATTATTACATAAATATTACATAAGGCACAATGTTGCTGTATTTTTCTGGATGGCTCCCTCCCACTGAGTGGCCAGCAGAATTGCAGTTGCAGGTGGTGTTGAGGGCTCCAAAAAGCTGCTAGACGATATACAATGGAGCCGTGTCTTTTGTTGTTGTTGTGTAATTTTGTTCTTCTGCTTTGGGTTTATTTTACTGAAATCCATTTTGTTTCTTATTCCTTAGTCTTGCCAACCAACACACCCAATGTTCGTCGGACTAAAAGATTGCGTATCAAACCATTGGAGTATTGGCGTGGAGAACGTGTGAAATATAAGACAAGGCCTTCAGGTGCAAACTTTTAGGCACATCACCTATTCAAATGCAGTGTAACTACATTTTGTCCCCACGTGTTTATTACCAGTAAGGTCAATGCAGTGAGAAAATATATTTCTGCCATTGTATGGATCATTATATTGTTTATATTTCTCCTCCTTTTTTATATTTCTGAGGACGAGTTGCACTTATGCAATGGAAGCATGGCGCTGCTGGCTTAACTCAGTACTAGGAACCTGCTGGAGTAGCTAGCACTGCTAGTTACTCCAGCAGGTTCCTAATATTGAGTTAAGCCAGTAGTCCCATGCTTCCATTGCTGCTTTGCAATACATTGCAGTAAGGGCACACTGACTCAATTTCCCCTGACTTTTTCTCTCTGTCAGTTTGTACATATGATTAGTTTGATTTTGTAACTGTGAAGAGACAAGAGGCACCTAGAGGCATACAGTATATCCTACATGACATCTTAGAGAGATAACATTTGTCATCAATGTATAAGCTGCTAAGAACAGATATGTTGCAGGTCGCATTGCTACTCCATTTGTTCCTTGTTGCCTTGAGTCACACAATGTAATGGAAATTGTTATTATATAGCAATAATTCCTTAATTTTTCCTTTGTTTCAGGAGGCCTTGTCATTAACGGGATAATATCACCTGAACAAACAGAACTCAGAAAACCTAAAAAAAACACAAACCCTGTTGTGGAATTGGGTATGTCATCACTACAGTATATATGTGTGTTTTAGGGCAAGTTGCAGGAATCAGAATACAATGTATTGTTGAAAGCTTTCATGGCTGGAATCACTGGGTTGTTGTAAGTTTTTCAGGCTGTATGGCCATGTTCCAGAAGCATTCTCTCCTGACGTTTTGCCTGCATCTATGGTGGGCACCCTCAGAGGTTGTGAGGTCTGTTGGAAACTAGGAAACTGAGGTTTATGTATCTGTGGAATGTCCAGGGTGGGAGAATCAGAATACAGTTCATTGAGTGGGAAAGCTCAGTGTGGTACAACCAATTTGGAAGAAATTGATGTACAGATAGAATAACATGCAACTCTTCCCCCTTTCCCTAAAGCGTCCAGCATCTGGAGGGCCACATAAAATGACAAGCCAGACCAGATTTGGTCTGTGGGGCCTTGACTTTGACATGTGACTTAAGATGGATGGCAGGTGTGATATCTCTTGACTGTGGGGCTAGTTTGGAAGCACCCCAACGCAGTCAGTATTTTTCTTGAAATAGTGTTAGTCTTCTGCGGAGGGGAACGTGTTGTTCTGTACTTTGCAGCTTGCTTTCTGTCATGGCACTTGGTTAGTGTTTATGACGTCACCAAGCTACCTCCTACTCCAAAGAAACTGTTCTAAACTATACATTTTTCCTAGTTTGACATTTGAGTTAGTAAAGTGGCTGCTCATCTGTCATGCAAACTGAGAAGTTGAGAGGAACCTTCAGCTCTTTTCATGAATGAAAAATCCACCATGACCACTCTTTAAATATGTGTCTATATCCTTAAACCACCTTTCAGGAGACTGGCATCTAGGCTTGCCTTGTTCTGGAGGGATATTAACCTCTGTATCAGTTCTGTTTCAATTTATATTTTACAGACAATATGCCAGAGAGCTTCTTACAAGGTCCTTCTCAGCCAGCTGTTGTATTTGATGCAGTGTCAAATCAAGAGATTCTTTTACGTGAGTAAGAGAAGTTTTGAGGTTTCTGTGCTAAATATGGAAAGCCTTTACTGTAGCATCATATCATTTAGGAAGTAGGGTGGTCTAGATTCTATCATACCTTTAATATTGCACCTTCTGAAAACCTTTCATGCTTTCATTCTTCGATAATTTTTAATCTTTAAATAGTATATATTATTTAAGTTTTTGCATGTGATATTTTGAACTTATTTTCCTACAGAGGTTCTAAAACCTTTTAAGCCGCTGAGCCCTTTTTGAGGCAAAAGTTTCTGGTGGAGCCCCAAGAAAAGTTTATATATTATATATTGTATTATCAGGCAAGGGAAAACATTGGGGCATAGGCCACATTCAGTTTTAAAATTTAACAGACAGGCTGGGCTAGTGCCAGATGGATGGAGAGTGTTTGTGTGAACTAACTGAAAAATAATTAACAAATTCTTATGCACACTGCACATATCTCATTTGTAGAAAACAATACAAAATTTAAAATGAGGAACAGTTTTAAAATTAAGAACAGCATAAACTTAACAGTATTTTAGTGGAAGACCCCAGGGGGCATCTAGTCCCCTTCTGTCTCAGTAATAGCATAATCAAAACACTTACAACAGATGGACATCCAACCTTTGTAGCAATAGTAGTAGTAGTAATAATAATAATCATAATCATAATAGGAGCAACTGCAGGGACCATCCAGTCCAACCCTCTTCTACCATGCAGGGAAAGCACAATCAAGGCATTCCCTGAGTGGAAATAGGATTTTGGAAGCAAAGAAGGTGGGGGGGGGGGGAGGGGTTCCAGGTGGTGAGAAAAATAGTCATGGCGGCAAGGGAAGTGGGAGAAAGGGTAAGGAAAGGGGCAACCTTCAATCAACTCCAGACTTTAATTTCCCCGCATTTCTCAGGAGGAAGTGGAGGAAGTGGGAAGCATGGCACCGCGGAACCCCTCTATAATTTGCGGAGCCTCAAGGGAGCACAGTTTGAGAACCCCTGCCTTACTATATATCTTGTGGGCTGCTCTTGGAACTTCTTTTGCTGAAGGGATGTAAATTCCTTAAATAAAACACAGCCTTCAGAATTTTGTATAATTACCTTACCATCAAGTAAGCAGATTTTTTTTCGTGTCACGAGCGACTTGTGAAACTGCAAGTCGCTTCCAGTAATACTCACACATGACTTAAAATGTAATGACATAGAATTTTATCTGATCTCGTCTCTCTCATGAATAGTAATTTTTTTCTGGTTTATAACAGAATGTGTGAACAGTGGTACTTCACACTTGCATTTCATCGATAATGAAGCACTGTCCATATATAAATATCTGACTACACCTTCCTTTTCGGCTGGCAAAATGATATTAAAACCATTAAAAGAAAAAGGATATCAGTATTCTCACACAGATACACTGGTGAGTATGTGAGCTCTTGCATACAAGTTAATTCTAGCAGGAGGTAGAGAAGTCTACCATGGGAAATGTATCCAGTGTATTCTCTCTAACCTGCTTCCCTCCTTCCAATCAATAATATCTGGGGGGGGGGGGGGGAATCATTCTTATAATCACATTATAGGGCATCACAATTAGTGTGGATACTTTTTGTTCCTCTTAAGAATGTTTCTACACAGCTGTATAAAATCCACATTATCTGATTTGAACTGGAATATATGGCAGTGTAGACCTAGATAATCCAACAGGTAATTGAAAAGAAAAGGAAAGCCTTCCAAACATGGCAGGGAGACACCAACTGCACTGTTAAGAAAAAAGATCTATGCTACTGCAAAAGCTGAGGTCCAAAAAAGTACCAAATAACTCAAGAACATCTTGTGGACAAAGAAGGCTGAGGAAATACAACACTTGGCAGATACCCATGATGCTGAGCGATTTTTTTTAAAGCCACAAAGGCCATCTACAGACCCAAGAAACCATGGCATATACCCTCTACGCTCATCAGATGGAACCAAACTTCTGAAAGACAAAAAATCAATTGCACTACCTTGGAAAGAGCACTACTAAAGCCTCCTGAATCACCTCTCCAATGTGGCCGAAGAGGTTCTCTCACAAATCCTGCAACAAACCAGGGATAAGCTTGCAGCACTGCCTAATTTAGAAGAAGTCAGCAATGCCATCAGCCAACAAAAAAATAAAATAAAGCCAGTGGACCTGATGGGATTCCTGCCAAAATCTTTAAGGAGGGTGGACCTGAGCTGAAACAACAACTCCACCAGCTCATTGAAAAAGTGTGGGTGACCGAGAAAATCCCAAAAGATTTCAAGGATGCCACCATGATCACCCTTTTCAAAAAAAAGGGGAAAAACAACAGACTATCGAGGTATCTCCCTTCTAGCCTCAGCTTGGAAAATCCTCGCAAGAATCCTTGCTAACTGCTTTCTACCTCTCTCAGAAGACACCCTCCCAGAATCCCAGAACACCTTTCGCCCCTCCAGAGAAACATGATCTTTACTGCACGACAGCTCTAAGAAAAATGCAGAGAACAAAATCAACCTCTGTACATGGCATTCATTGACCTTGCAAAGGCATTTGAACAGTGAATCACAGTGCTCTCTGGACCATCCTCCAAAAAATCGGTTGCCTTGACAAATTCGTGAACATCCTGCGGCTCCTCCATGATGACATGATGCCAACAGTCTTGGACAGCAATGGTTCCCAAAGTGACCCATTTAAGGTGGAATCAGGTGTCCATCAGGTGCCTGCGAAATGTGGACTATCTACCCACCTCCCATGCAACTCCTAGAACGATTCCATCAGTGTTACCTTTGAAAAATCCTGCAAATCTCTTGGGAAGACAGATGGCCAACAAAAAAAAATGTTTGTTTCAGGCGGACAAATGTCAGCGTCCTGAAAGAAGCAAAGACCACCAGCATTGAAGCAATGGTCCTTTGCCATCAACCCCGCTGGACCGGCCACATTGTCTGAATGCCCATTCACCCTGGGCGAAAGGGAGAAACATGACAATAAAAGTCAAAGTTTCTATATGTGGGTATGTTGTGGGCATTTTCTAAGATTGCTCCTCAACTACCCCACCAATACCCCACCTATACATCACTAATAGACCTTTAATATACCACCAATACGTCCATAATACATACCTCATACACTTCTAATACACCCCTAATAACCCTCTTGTGCACCCCTAATTGTTGGATAAACTAGCAATATTTGCATGCAGTTATTTGAAATGTTTAAGTCCTTGAATGTTTCTGTTTAGGGTCATCAGAGTGCCCAACAGTTTTATTGCCCTCAAAAGCTTTGCATGTTGGATTTTAGGGAGCTATCACCATTGACTACGGATGGCATGGCATGTAGGCATACCCTTTGATCCCATGAACCTATAAAAGAAGAGACAATGCTTTCTCTCTTATTCTATGTCTTTCTTCTCTCTGTGTCCATTCATGGTCCCATTTTTGGCATGGAATCACCATTTTGAGAAATGTAGTTTTGCATACTGCATGGGCCTTATTCTATACCTCAGGGCTCATGTAATTTTTTAGATGTGTGTTGGATTACCTGCAACCTGCAACCAAGGATTTGCCTGTATGATCTTCTTTCATGCAAGTTCATGAATAAACTATTTTTGCTATGTTATTCTGGTGGTTCTGATTATTACTTCCATGCATGCTTTTTAGACAGGGGAGGCTGCTTAATCATTGACAAAAATAAAGCTTTTAGAATCTGCCTGTGTCATTCTGACTTTGTATAACTGGCTCTAAAATAACTCCCGTTGCTGCCGCTGGCTTTCCCTTTTTCAACTCTTTTCTTTAGGCAGTGTCTTTTGCACATCAGGCATTTGCATAATAATCGAATAGTAATACACCACCAATCCATCCCAATATACCTCTAATATATGTTGTAAAGCCGCCTTGGGTCACCTTCAGGTTTAAGAAAGGCAGGGTAGAAATATCATAAATAAATAAATATCCCACCTAATATCCACCAATACACCCCTAATACACCAATATGCCCTAGTACACCACTAATACATCAATAACCCATTGATACACTAATACACTGCCAATATACCACTAATACAGCCCTTATAGGGGGCCCCGGTGGCACAGTGAGTTAAAGCGCTGAGCTGCTGAGCTTGTTGCAGGTTCAATTCCGGGGAGCGGCGTGAGCTTCCGCTGTCAGCCCTAGCTTCTTCCAACCTAGCAGTTCAAAAACATGCAAATGTGAGTAGATCAATAGGTACCGCTCCGGGAAGGTAACAGCGCTCCATGCAGTCATACAGACCACATGACCTTGGAGGTGTCTATGGACAACGCTGGCTCTTCGGCTTAGAGATGAGCACCACACCACAGAGTCAGACATGACTAGACTTAATGTCAGGGGACAACCTTTTTTTACAGCCCTTATACACCTCTACTATACCCCCATGAACCCCTAATACACTACCAATATACCCCAAATATCTCCTACACCTTGCAGGAGCTGGGGGTGGTGATGGCTGGTGATGGCTCTCGCATGGGCTGGTCCATGAGATCATGAAGAGTCGGAAGCGACTGAATGAATAAACAACAACAAATACCCCTGGTACACTAATAAAGACACTAATTCAGCACCCCTTATTGACTCCAAATTCAGCATCCCCAATTCACCACTTGATCACATTATCTTCATAATGCTGTTGGTGTAAACAGGCAGCAGCAAGCAAGTTCTCCAGACAATAATTTGAAATGGGAACAATGGATCTGGACCAAACTTGGCACACACCCCCAATATGATCATCTTTGAATACTGGTGGGTTTGAGGGAAATTGATCCATGAAGTTGGTAGTTGCAGTTCACCCACATATTTATGCATTTTCTGATGTGATCATTCATAAAATCCAAAAACAAGTAATGACTATTTCTAATATTTATCCTTACAAAAGACCTAACCCAGGCATTGCCAGATACCTAAGCTAGTGACTGATAGAAATGCCAAACCTGTACTTCAGGACCAACCACAGAAACAAAATGTTTGAAGATTTTTATTTGAATGTTTACATTTATGTTGTATCAGGTGTTTCAAATATCTTCTTTGGATTTCTTGTTGTTGTGGGATGATCTCTGCTTGGCTCCTGCATCGCCCAAGTGGGAATTATTAAATATATCAATCTTCATGAGACCAGAGTGTTTAATTTTTGAGATCTCCAGAAAAGTCTAAAGGATGCATCTGTATATAAGCTTTTAGTATATACATACTCACTACTGCTTTTGGGTTTTTAGTTTGTTTATATGTGGGGGGGGGGGGGGGGTTGTGAAAGATAAACCTTTCTCATGAAAAGCTTTTGTAAATGTTTATAGCATATATAGACAAGTTATAAGATTTAAAGGAAGTAACTTTCAGTATACAGTCAGCGAATAAGTTTGTTCCTTTGAAATAATGTATTTTCCTTTCATTTCTGCAGGTCTTTCATATTACTAAAGGCAAACTTCTTTTGACTCTGTATGACCAGTATTACTATTTGACAGTTGGAGATTATTTCTTTGTTCCACCTGGTAAGCATATCAGAGTCTGTTACATGAGTATTTTTAAGAGCAGGAAGGACTAAAAAGTAAAGAAAATAAGAATGAAAATGGGAGCTTTCATAGAAGGAGATAGTTTGTTAATTGGTGTTTGGGCTTGATTTATGCATAGCTGCATAAGCAAGAATCATTTTGAAGTATATGTAGCTCAGTGCTTTCTTCTGCATTTGTATCTCAGACATGTGACATAACTCTGTTAATGCAGTTAAATAAGTGGAAAAGTGGGCACCAGTATTTGATGTGTTTCATTAAAAGGTTTTTTTTTTATCTTTACAATACATGCTGTCAACTCTTTGAAATGAAATGTAAATGTTATTTGCTTTGATATTCATTTTATTTAGTTAATATACTGATAAGATTGTCATGTAGTGCAACATATCAATGGCAGAGTTAGATACTTTATGCATAGTAAACTGAGTTTAGTTAGCGGAAGCAAATTTGTATCGTTGCTATTCTATGTTCCACTTCTAGGATAGATTTTAAAATCTTAAATTATAGCAAAAGTCAATGAAGCATTGGCCCTAGATGTATTAGCTTGTGGTGTGTGTTATGCTATTTATCTTTTCACTACAATACAAATCCTGAATTTATAAGATACCCATCTATGCCCTGGTTAGGTATTTTGTAATGGTATTTATTAGAAATAGTCATGGTTTGGATTTATGAATGGGCCTCTTGGCTCTCAGGATGTAGGCTAAACAGGGGTTCTTGGATGTGGGTGGACTACAGCCCCCATCATCCTCCCTCAATCCCCCTTGAAATCATGCCCAGTATTTTACGTTGGTCATGATGGGGGTGTCCACCACTTATGGTCCAGATCTACTGTCAGTGGGGTTCACAATGTTGTCTGGATGTGGATGGACTACAACTTCCATAATATTAGGTCAGTCTTCCCCAAATCCTGTCAGTATTTTAAGTAGGTTTGCTGTCGACCTTTGCAGCCCGAAAGACAGTTGCATCTGTCAAGTAGGAAATTTAGGTACCGCATATGCGGGGAGGCTAATTTAACTAATTTATAACGCTATAAAAATCTCCAGCAAGCATGCAAAGAATGAGGAAGTTCTTAATCAGTGTCACAAATGGACAGTGATGTGACAGCTCCCCTGGTGGCCAGAATACCCTCATCAAAAGCTGGAATGTTAATAGCCTCTGTGTGTTTGTCTATATATGTTGTGTGTCTATGGCATTGAATGTTTGCCATGTATATGTACATTGTAATCTACCCTGAGTCCCCTGCGGGGTGAGAAGGACGGAATATAAATACTGCAAAACAAACAAACAAATAAATAAATAGATTATGGTAGGGATGTGTGCCACGTTTGTTCCAGATCCATCTTTGGTGGCTTTCCCAGTGCTCTCTAGGTGTGGCTGTATTACAGCTCCCATTGTCCAGGGTCAAGGGCCCCAAAACCCCACCAGTATTTTCAGTTGGTCTAGATGGGTATGTGTGCCAAGTTTGGTCCAGATCCATCGTTGGTAGGACTCACAGGGGTCTCTAGATGCAGGAGCCATTCTGAAAAATATATACAAACATAGATAGATTCATACATATTTTAACTTTTACTATATACATAGATAGATAGATTATAAATTAAGTCAAACGAAATTAATAAAACTATTATAAATTAAGTCCATACTTGCCCAAAGCAGAATAGATTTCCCAGCATCCTTTAACTCCAGATGCCATTCTGCAAAAGTAGCAAAGATGGCATCCAGTAAAAGAAATATAAGGTTCAGACTTGCAGTGAGCGCAGTTTCCCAATTTATGAAACAAGAATGTTCTGTCATACAAATTGCCTGTGTTTGTTTTTAGAGAATGTTTACAACATACGCAATCTCTTGAATAAAGAATGTATCATCCTCTTCACACAACTGAAAGGAAAGAGGTAGGGATAAAATTGAGTTAGATCCTAATATGATTAAGTCTGTATCCAACCTACTCTGTATATGTGGATTCTTCCAGCTATTCTGAACTCTGATTTACCTAGTTGGGCCAATAATTGATTATCTCTCTTTACATAGAGCCAATTCTCCATATCCACAGATTCTGTATCCATGGATTCAGCCTTTAATGGGTGAAAATATCCCCCCCCCCCTGAAAAATAGGCTTTGATTTTTCCATTTTGTATAAGAGACACATTATTTTTATGCCAGTGTATATAATGAGACTTGGGAATTAATGAGTTTGGGTATCCACAGGGGGATTGAGAGTTTCCTTGAAGCTGGAAGGGCCCACTTTATGTCTTTCCATTTATTCTTTGTAATATATTCTTATAACCAGGTAAATGGGAAGCCAAAATGTGGTTCTGCAGATGATGTTAGACTGCAGCTCCCATTAGCCCTTTCCAGCACAATCAATTGCATTTGATGCTGGAGGCTGGGAAGCTATGTTTTGTCTACTCTGGTATAAATATTTCTAAGCTAGAAACCCATATTGAAGTGGTGCAAAGACTCACCTGCAGGTGGCATTATCATTCAAATAACTTGAATTTGTCATATAAAGAATAGTGAATTACATTGTCTATCAATATACACCCAATTGCTTTGAATAGCTGAAATGCAGTCGTAACAAAAAGAAATGAAAGAACACACATTGCCACTTCATTTATTGAAATTTGTCTTTTAATATAGTATGTTTGGAAACTGGGTGTTAATATGGACCAGTGGCCCGCTGAACTGGCTGGGATGTTCAACGTGGTTGTATTGCCCATTTTATTTAAATTGAGTTGTGTTTTTTCTTATTTTCTGTACGTGTTGTCTTATCTTAATTGATAATGTTATTTTCACAAATGTTGATGTATTTTATGTGTTTTATGGCATTATTTGCTGTTCTGTAAGCTTCCTGAGTACCTTTTGGGAGATGGTGATGGGATATAAACATAAGATACACCTGCAATTCTAAGAGGCACCCTATTTTTTAATATGTTTATATAAGAAAATAGAAAAGCATTGGCTCCCTCATTTGACTGTCCCTTCTCATGCATGTCAACAATGAGAAAAACATAACCTGGCCCCCCGACTCTGGAACTCTCTCCCCAAGGACATCAGACAAGCCCCAACATTGGCAGTCTTTAGGAAGAGCTTGAAGACGTGGTTGTTCCAAGTGTGCCTTCCCAGAATAGGAAACTCCCAGCATCATGTCCCAAATGCACTTTACTAGAGATTTAAGATTGTCTGCACACTTCACTTATCTCCAAAAACCTATCCATCTCACTTGTCATGCCCAGCATTTTAAAAATTTTAATCATTACATTTGGCCCGGCCTTAGTTTTAAATGCGTCGTGGTGTTATTGTCTAATGTTTATTGCTATTGTTTTAATGTTTATTGCTTGTTTTATGAGTTTATTTATTGTTGTATTTGTTATGCTGTTGTTTTATTGATATGTTGGGCCTCGGCCTCTTGTAAGCTGCACCGAGTCCTTTGGGAGATGTTAGCAGGGTATAAATATAGGATTATTATTATTATTATTATTATTATTATTATTATTGCTTCTTATGTGTGGTTGTATAACTTCCACTTAACTTTATATAAGTGGAAAATACCAAAGAAAAGCTGCTGGTGGCCCCATTTAATAGAATAAACTAGCATCCATCTTCTGGACACCTTATATGCAACAGGCACCTAAAAGCTTTTCCTGTTTAAGCAGGCATTTTAAGCTTTTAACATGATCAAGTGATTTCATCTTAACTGCAATAATAAGTGGCAACCACTGCAAGGCTTGTTTGCATTATAAGAACTCCTTTTCCACTCATGCGACACACTCACTGCTAGGGAAACATTAAAAGGTGAAAGGCATATTTAGAATTTAGTATTTATGAATAATAATAACAATAATAACTTTATATATTTGTTGGTTGCAGTGATCCTGAAATTAGGGTACATATTACAATTGCTTACAATTTAAGAAATGTGGTACTTTAGTTGATACCTGATGCAGATAATGTCATATAAAGAAATCAGTGTTTAATCTCCTTATACTCTTACTCTCCAGAAATTGATTTGAGGCAATATTTATTTATTTATTTATTTCAAGGTTTTATATACCGACCCTCTCACCTTCAAAGAGGGATTCGGACCGGTTCACAATATGTGTTAACATACAAAAAATATACAATAACAACACAATGCCACTTCATTACACGATTAAAATATCAGCACCATACACATTAAAACATTATCATCCCAGTTAAAAGAGCCAAATCGTCCGACACCATCACAATCCCATTCATCATCCTCCTTTCATGTGGGCAAAGAATTAAATCAGTTGTCAAATGCCGCGTTCCACAACCAGGTCTTTGTTAGTTTCCTGAACGTCATGAGGGAGGGGGCAGTTCTGATCTCTAATGGCAGGGAGTTCCGAAGTCGAGTGGCCACCATCGAGAAGGCCCTGTCCCTCGTCCCCACCAGCCATGCTTGTGCAGGCGGAGGGACCGAGAGCAGGGCCCCTCCAGACGATCTTAGTGGTCTTGATGGTTCGTAGGGGAGAATGCGTTCGGAGAATACATTTTTAGCTGTACTAAAAACTAATTTTTGGAAAAAATGCTTAATTCTTTTTAAATAATATTTAAGAAGAACTATGTTTTGTTTCAGGTCAGAAAGCGAATGAAATTTACCTTCGTATCCCGTTTTCTTGGAAGATCACAGAGATCACCATGTGCTGTTAATTGCAAGGTTTCTCAGCAATTTTGTTTCCTTACCAGTTCTCCAGTTACATTTTCCGGGATCACAAAATGAACACAGCTGTGTTTGCAGAAGAATTGTATATTTTCCTGAAGGTTCAAATTGCAGGAGCTCTCTGATTTCTTGTAATAAAAGTATAGGTGACTCTAAATGACACAAACTTTTAAAAACAGTTTTATTTTAAAGGATTTGAATTGCCTTCAAATGGCATTAAACAGGATGAACAGGCAGGCTCTCGTTCTAACAGTGTCAGTGGCATAAGCCAAAGCTATTGCTTCTATTGCAGCTGTGGTGTTTCTCCCACTGGACAAGTGGGAGAAAGCTGTTTTCTGCTTGGAAAGCAATTTGCTGCATGGCTTTCCTGCTGCAGCACTGCTGCAATGCTGGGACTGGAGACAGGCTTTCTCTAAACTAAGGCTCTCAAATGGACATTACGGCCAGAGTGAAGAAGTTGGATAACATCGGCACAGGGATATTTGTTGCTTTCTCCTGCGTTCTGTGGTTAATAGCTTTGTTCAAATATTAGATATTGTTCTGCTTAGTATTTGCAGATTTTTGTTTGTCAAATATATATGTTAATAAAATAGTCATTTTGCTTATCTGGTCTAATTCCCCCCCCCCCCCCAAAGCATTGTACTTTTCAGAATTATAAATGTAGAGATCTATATTAATGTTCAGGAGATTTAACTTAGACAAATGAAAGCCAGTTTAAATACTGCACGAAACAAAGGCTTGAATGATGTTCTGCCTTGGTTAGACCACACCTGGAATATTGTGTCCAATTCTGGGCACCACAGTTCAAGAGAGATATTGACAAGCTAGAATGTATCCAAAGGAAAGGCGACTAAAATGATTAAGGGTCTGGAGAAGAAGACCTATGAGGAGCGCCTTAAAGAGCTGGATTCGTTTAGCCTGAAGAAGAGAAGGCTGAGAGGAGACATGATAGCCATGTATAAATACGTGAGATGAAATCACAGGGAGGAGGGAGAGAACTTGTTTTCTGCTGCCCTGGAGACTAGGATGCGGAACAATGGCTTCAAACTACAAGAAAGGAGATTCCATCCGGACATTAGGAAGAACTTCCTGACTGTGAGAGCTGTTCAGCAGTGGAACTCTCTGCCCGGGAGTGTGGTGGAGGCTCCTTCTTTGGAAGCTTTTAAGCAGAGGCTGGATGGCCATCTGTCAGGGGTGATTTGAATGCAATATTCCTGCTTCTTGGCAGGGGGTTGGACTGGATGGTCCATGAGGTCTCTTCCAACTCTTTGATTCTATGATTCTATCTGTTGGGGGCACTTTGATTGCTTCTTGGGAGGGAGTTGGACTGGATGGCCCATAAGGTCTTTTCCAACTCTATGATTCTAAGATCCAGAGCAGATCCACTGAATTGCTTGTTGAACAGTGTGTCAACACATAAGTAAATCCAATGTAGTGGACGTACTCTGATTGGATTCAGACCATGCTAAATTTGTTGTGGCTGTCAGCTTCTTCCTAAATAGTTTCATCTGGTCTGAGTGGTCACTTTCAACTGCTATGTATCATGTCCTATATTGGGTTCGTAAGCCTGGCAGTGGTGTTTCCCTTGTCAAGTACAGGCAGCTGAGGGGAGCCCTGTAGCTGCAAAAAAAATTCCTTGAGTAATAGTTACACAACCCCCCCTTCCCCCACCCCCCAAAAAGGGGGGAAATGTGACTAATATGCAATGAAATATGGTAAATGGAGCTGCCATTGTTGCTAATGTCCTGAAGTAAAGCAATACCATATATGCCCCTTTAATAATGATGACACTTCATTTTGCAAATATGGCACCAGAAGGAAAGAGATATTGAACATTTCCATTTGTCTAAAATATATGTAAATAACCAAGAGACATGTAGCACTTAGAAGGAAAATTGCATGTGAGGACACATACATTTATGAACCATAATATACTGTCAGAAGCATAAAGCCCTTAAACACATTGGTACTATTTGATTGAGTCTGTTTTGCTTCTTACAGCCCACAAAGGTCTGTACCGTTTTACAAGAGTCTTTAAAGGTGCTGCAATGGTTAGTTTATTTTGCAGCAACCTTACATGGCAATTGGTGAAATTTGTTATTGTATTAAATGCAATTGTTACCTAAGAAATACATCAGGGGACCACTAGAGGTCAGTACTATATCAAAAAAATGGTCAATCATAAGCAAAAAGCATATAACTTTTCCTTTCCTTTTTTGTATTTTAACTAAAATGTTCAATTTCTATTTTCACAGTGGGCAGAAAATATTTTTTTCTTACAAAAGTGGCACTCACATTTCAGTGAAGTAGAATTAAATTTCCTACTCCCTATAATTTGGAGGGGGGGGGGGCACGAAAACTGATTGCTATTAAGATTCTCATTTCAATCAGATTTATCGAATGCAGTGTCCTTCCTCACTCTTCTCAGTAGTGGAAATAGTCTGTGTGCCCTAAATAAATTGTGCAAATTATGTGGATATTGAAGATAATAATATTGACTATATTTAGACGTTAGCAAGAACGAAGCATTTATTTTTGCGAACAAACTGCTTCAGGCACATGAAATGCAATTCATTTCTTAAAGCTGTTGACTGTTTTCACAAAGAAATAAAGGATAGATTTGAAGACGCAGCCCGATCTTGCTTGATTTCATTTATTTTCATTGATCGCATCTGTATTGATTTTTGTCTTTAATTTCAGTTGTACCACTCTCAGCTGCGCAGATCTGCTCTCTTAAATGGTTCCATCTGTTCACCCTTGTTGCCTTTTGAATATAGTATATTTGCTTGTGTTCATATCATACTCACCCACGCATCTCCCTGCAGAAGTTTGGATTGTTTTGAACTCTGTTCTAAAGGAACTTCTTTCTCTCATTTTTGTAATAACATCTGAAAAAAATTCTGTTTCTGATTTGAAAGTGTTATTTCCTGTTTAATTGTGTGGTACTTACTTTGAAAGTAATTGTTATACTACAGTAACCTTTTAAACCTTGCAATGTTCAATTTTTAACCTTTCATATACCATTTTTAACCTTTTGTGCAGACCACAAAAACAAAAGTTTTTGCAGTTTAGTAAATTTTTCCATTTTTATGATAGACCCAATTAGGAAATTACATTTATAATCGGGGAACAAAAATTGTGTTACATAGTGTTCAGGGGCAGCTCAACCCATTACGCAAAGTAAGCATTTGCAGTATAGTTGATTTTGCCAGGGGCGCTCTTGGGGGAAAATAGATCTTGACATATGCGAGTTGTAGTTACGGAGATGTATAGTTCACCTACAATCAAAGAGCATTCTGAACTCCACAATGATGGAATTGAACCAAATATGGCACACAGAACTCCCACGACGGACAGAAAATATATATCAGTGATTGGTTTGCTTACCATTGAAAATTACCTAGGGCCGCCTCTGATAGTAATCATGCTGGGGCACTATGTCATGGGCAAGTCAGACAAATTGCATTCAGCTATTAACCAGAAAGTGGGACAGTGCACCCAATAGTTACTATGGCATATATCAAAAAAAAAAAGTGGCTCCTATTTTCCTCAGTATAGGAGAGGAGATTAAAGGTAAAGGTAAAGGTAGTCCCCTGACATTAAGTCCAATCATGTCTGACTCTGGGGTGTGGTGCTCATCTCCATTTCTAAGCTGAAGAGCCAGCGTTGTCCGTAGACACCTCCAAGGTCATATGGCCGGCATGACTGCATGGAGTGCTGTTACCTTCCCGCCGGAGCGGTACCTATTGATCTACTCACATTTGCATGTTTTTGAACTGCTAGGTTGGCAGAAGCTAGGGCTGACAGCGGAAGCTCACGCTGCTCCCCGGAATCGAACCTGTGACCTTTCGATCAACAAGCTCAGCAGCTCAGTGCTTTAACCCACTGCGCCACCGGGGGCTCCCAGGAGAGGAGATACTAAAGATTAATTAGCTCAAGTGTGGAGCAATGTAAAGCAGTGGACTAAATTAAGGCTTAAACTTACAGCCGTGACATCTTTCCACTTAATAAATTTATTTATTTATTTATTTCATACACTTTTACCTTGCCCTTCTCCCCCTAAGTGGGGGGGGGGGACACTCAGGGCGGCCTCACATAAGCACCGTACGATGCTAACAACATATAGATAATCAACAATTACATTAAAACATTAAAAACAATTCATTAAAACAATAGATTAATTACGCCAGTTTAAAACCAAATCCAAGTCTGGGTTAATTCAATGTCTTCTTTTCAATTGATGCTATCCAAGAAAGCACACTTGATAAAAAGAACAAAGCTGCACCTTGGGAAAACTACAGCCTCCTCTTCCCCTATTCTTCTGTGAGATTAGGCTGGCTTTCTGGTTGGCACAGACATAGGTGAGTACTAACACTGTCTCAGCTGAATGATATCTTGAAATCAACTCTGAGGTTTGTCTCTTAACATCTTTTCTGTTTTATTGAATTCACTTCTCTTAACTTAATAGTGCTGCTTGTTTGATAGAGTAAAGTTAAAATAGGGGTGAGTGCAATTTCCAAGTGGTGTTTTAAAATAAATATAGTGTATAAAACTAAAGCGCTGAACTCAAAACCCTTTTAATAAAAACAAACTCGATTCTTCTCTCATCCTGGGGGCAGGATGGGATTTACCAAGAATGCTTCCAAACAAAATTCATATTGTGTACTAGCCGTCCCCTGCCACGCGTTGCTGTGGCCCACTCTGGTGGTCATGGGGGTTCTGTGTGGGAGGTCTGGCCCAATTCTATCATTGGTGGGGTTCAGAATGCTCTGTGATTGTAGGTGAACTACAAATCTCAGCAACTACAACTCCCAAATGTGAAGATTCTATATATATAATTAATTAATTAAAAATACCCAAAGATCCAGGGCAGGAGCATTTGACCCTTTACATTCTATCCCACTCTCACAATTATATAAATATACTTTATATATAAACTCCACCAGTGTTCACATTTGGGCATATTGAGCATTCATAGAATCATAGAATCAAAGAGTTGGAAGAGACCTCATGGACATCCAGTCCAACCCCCTGCCAAGAAGCAGGAATATTGCATTCAAATCACCCCTGACAGATGGCCATCCAGCCTCTGCTTAAAAGCTTCCAAAGAAGGAGCCACACCACACTCCGGGGCAGAGAGTTCCACTGCTGAACGGCTCTCACAGTCAGGAAGTTCTTCCTCATGTTCAGATGGAATCTCCTCTCTTGTAGTTTGAAGCCATTGTTCCGCGTCCTAGTCTCCAAGGAAGCAGAAAACAAGCTTGCTCCCTCCTCCCTGTGGCTTCCTCTCACATATTTATACATGGCTATCATATCTCCTCTCATCCTTCTCTTCTTCAGGCTAAACATGCCCAGCTCCTTAAGCCGCTCCTCATAGGGCTTGTTCTCCAGACCTTTGATCATTTTAGTCACCCTCCTCTGGACACATTCCAGCTTGTCAATATCTCTCTTGAATTGTGGTGCCCAGAATTGGACACAATATTCCAGGTGTGGTCTAACCAAAGCGGAATAGAGGGGTAGCATGACTTCCCTGGACCTAGACACTATGCTCCTTTTGATGCAGGCCAAAATCCCATTGGCTTTTTTTGCCGCCACATCACATTGT